TGTTCTGTTGTTGTTCTGATGTTGTTCTGATGTTGTTCTTATGTTGCTCTGATGTTGTTCTGACGTTATTCTGATGTTGTTCTGACGTTATTCTGTTGTTGTTCTGATGTTGTTCTGTTGTTGTTCTGATGTTGTTCTGTTGTTGCTCTTATGTTGTTCTGATGTTGTTCTGATGTTGTTCTGACGTTGTTCTGTTGTTGCTCTGATGTTGTTCTGATGTTGTTCTGTTGTTGTTCTGATGTTGTTCTGATGTTGTTCTGTTGTTGTTCTGATGTTGTTCTGATGTTGCTCTGTTGTTGTTCTGACGTTGTTCTGACGTTGTTCTGATGTTGTTCTGTAGCTTTGACTGGAGTGTCAGCGCTATGTCACCAGAGCTCCAGCAGGGGGCAGCATGCTGTTATTTTCTGTTGTCTTCCAGTTGCTACTGGTGGTTAAATCTTCTTCCTGTCAGGAGTTCATGAAACAGCATCTCAAAGTATGAACATCAGTTTTTATCTGTGATATATAGGAACAGATAAAACCTGTTGATTAAGATTAAATGTGCTAAAACATCCAAGTTGATCCTGAGACGACGTCTTAAAGCTGCAATATTTAACATTTCCACATTAAAATGTCTGTAAACTCTAAACTCTGCTGTAGGTTTGGATGACTGGAGGAAAAATATGGAGGGGAACAGGTGACATGATGAAGCAGCGTGGGATCATGGGAGTTGTTGTCTTCACCACCATTGGCGTCATTGCAGTCAGCTTCTCCCGGTTAGGATTCCTTCAGTGTTCATGGTTCAGGAGGTTTCTACCGGGAGCCCAATGATCCACAGAGGTCTCCTCCTCTCCAACACAAACAGACCCGCTGATTAAAACCACTAAACACACTGAATAAAGCAGTTCCACCTTAAACACACTGAATAAAGCAGTTCCACCTTAAACACACTGAATAAAGAGTTCCACCTTAAAACACTGAATAAAGCAGTTCCACCTTAAACACACTGAATAAAGCGTTCCACCTCCATCTGATGTTGTTCTGTTGTTGTTCTGTTGTTGTTCTGATGTTGTTCTGATGTTGTTCTGTTGTTGTTCTGATGTTGTTCTGACGTTGTTCTGTTGTTGTTCTGTTGTTGTTCTGATGTTGTTCTGATGTTGTTCTGTTGTTGTTCTGTTGTTGTTCTGATGTTGTTCTGATGTTGTTCTGTTGTTGTTCTGTTGTTGTTCTGTTGTTGTTCTGATGTTGTTCTGACGTTGTTCTGTTGTTGTTCTGTTGTTGTTCTGACGTTGTTCTGATGTTGTTCTGATGTTGTTCTGATGTTGTTCTGTTGTTGTTCTGTTGTTGTTCTGATGTTGTTCTGTTGTTGCTCTGATGTTGTTCTGTTGTTGTTCTGTTGTTGTTCTGATGTTGTTCTGATGTTGTTCTGATGTTGTTCTGATGTTGTTCTGATGTTGTTCTGATGTTGTTCTGTTGTTGTTCTGTTGTTGTTCTGATGTTGTTCTGATGTTGTTCTTATGTTGTTCTGATGTTGTTCTGTTGTTGCTCTGATGTTGTTCTGTTGTTGTTCTGTTGTTGTTCTGATGTTGTTCTGATGTTGCTCTGATGTTGTTCTGACGTTATTCTGATGTTGTTCTGACGTTATTCTGTTGTTGTTCTGATGTTGTTCTTATGTTGCTCTGATGTTGTTCTGATGTTGTTCTGATGTTGTTCTGTTGTTGTTCTGATGTTGTTCTGTTGTTGTTCTGTTGTTGTTCTGATGTTGTTCTGATGTTGTTCTGTTGTTGTTCTGATGTTGCTCTGACGTTGTTCTGTTGTTGCTCTGATGTTGTTCTGTTGTTGTTCTGATGTTGTTCTGATGTTGTTTTGTTGTTTGATGTTGTTCTGTTGTTGTTCTGTTGTTGTTCTGTTGTTCTCTGATGTTGTTCTGATGTTGTTCTGTTGTTGTTCTGATGTTGCTCTGACGTTGTTCTGTTGTTGCTCTGACGTTGTTCTGATGTTGTTCTGTTGTTGTTCTGATGTTGTTCTGTAGCTTTGACTGGAGTGTCAGCGCTGTGTCACCAGAGCTCCAGCAGGGGGCAGCATGCTGTTATTTTCTGTTGTCTTCCAGTTGCTACTGGTGGTTAAATCTTCTTCCTGTCAGGAGTTCATGAAACAGCATCTCAAAGTATGAACATCAGTTTTTATCTGTGATATATAGGAACAGATAAAACCTGTTAGTTATATTTGATTAAGATTAAATGTGCTAAAACATCCAAGTTGATCCTGAGACGACGTCTTAAAGCTGCAATATTTAACATTTCCACATTAAAATGTCTGTAAACTCTAAACTCTGCTGTAGGTTTGGATGACTGGAGGAAAAATATGGAGGGGAACAGGTGACATGATGAAGCAGCGTGGGATCATGGGAGTTGTTGTCTTCACCACCATTGGCGTCATTGCAGTCAGCTTCTCCCGGTTAGGATTCCTTCAGTGTTCATGGTTCAGGAGGTTTCTACCGGGAGCCCAATGATCCACAGAGGTCTCCTCCTCTCCAACACAAACAGACCCGCTGATTAAAACCACTAAACACACTGAATAAAGCAGTTCCACCTTAAACACACTGAATAAAGCAGTTCCACCTTAAACACACTGAATAAAGCAGTTCCACCTTAACAATCACTGCTTCTCCCACGCTGTTGGACAGACAAGGGGCGAGCTGCTGCTAACGTTAGTTCAGCTTGTTCGAACTTAAGATTAGAGACTCTTCAACACAGTGTTGGATTCTGCTAACTCCTCTCATCTTTGAAGCACTTTGTGAACCCAGGTCCTTCTGCATCAACATATAAAAGATGGACGTAGTGTCTCCACTTCCTCCTGCTGTACAAAAATCAAGCTGAAATAAATCCCAGATACAACCGCTGCCATCTTTCACCATTCGGAACCAGAGTCTGCTCAGTAGAGTATCGTTGTCTGCACCGCGGTATCGAGGTCAGCCTGATGAACTGAGGATGAAAATGAAGACTTGAACAAACATGAGCGTGATAAGAACGACCTAAAAGGACAGAAACCATCTTTAGGAAAAATCTATTTAACTTTGATTTTTTAGTTTGTCCCATCTGCTAACATGGAGGCTTTATGGGCTTCACTGCAGTCAGCCACCAGGGGGAGATACAGATATATTGGCTTCACTGTCATCAACCTTTATAATTGCCTGTTATCGATCATCAGTGTGGATGTTTGTATTGTTATTCTGAACTTTATGGTCTGTTTTACTCTCAATGGGACCATCAGTTACTAAATGAACATCATGCTGTATGGAAGAAGACTGAAACTAGAGACTGAGACCAGAAACTCATCAGGAAACTGTTTACTGAGCTCATAAATAAACTGAGACTAGATTTAGATAGATAGACTCAATACTATCAGACTTATTATTGCAACCAGAGGCGCTGCCCCCTGCTGGCAGGTTGAAGACACTGTCCAGTGATGACCCTCCAGTCTGTGGTGGACACACGTTAACAGCCGGCGCTCTGAAGGATCAGATACGTGTTCTGGGCCTCGTCCTCCTTCCATATATCAGTCTGACCCGGATTCGGCTCCGAACGTCATCCAGCATTTGGTGTTTGTTTTCTGCTTCAGGTTTTTTCAGCAGCGGAGCAGAACACTGTGTTTTCATCAGAGTGTTTTCTGAGAGCTGCTGCTGCTTTCTGACCCAGTTTCCCTGCTTGACTTGACTGGGTTGTTTCCAGTGCTGCTGTGGGAGGTCCCTGCTGGGTCCCCTTCACACACACACACACACACACACACACACACACACACACACACACACACACACTCATGTGAAAACAAGGCTTTCCTTTTAATTTGTTCAGTTCTGCTGTAATGTGAATTATCTTGCCGTTATTTATGTCCCGAACAGTCACGTAATGTTGGTTGATTTGAACAATGTTTCCTGTTTGATTGCACGTTGCAGATGTTTTACTCAGAGCAGAACATCAGCACGTGTTTTTACATCCACCTCGGTAAAGTCTTGTGTAACGCAGAGATTCCCACGCGTCCTGGAAAACCTGGATGTTTTATAGGCTAGTTTTCCAGTCATGGAAACAGCTGCAATTTGATTAAATTACCAAATATCCTGCAGAAGAACCAGCCGTGGTGAGAATGATACGACGTGTCCGATAAAAGCCGACCACCTACCTGTGATAAACAAATGTATTATGAACCTGCATCGTTAAACAAGGAGGAGTAAAACTGGGAAAAATGTGTCAATACTTGACCTTTACTGGTAAATTATAAAACCAGTTATGAGTCCTGTGTTGTCGAGAAAAGTCCTGGAAAAAGATTTATTAAAAAGAGTAAAGCGACATACGTTTAAAGCTGCAGTAGGTAACTTTTAAATGAATTATTTTTAGTCATATTTGTTGAAACTTTCACTTTATGCTGACAGGAGAACTTGAGACAGATAATCTGTGAAACAATCGGGTTCCTCTGGTTCCTCCTGATGGAGTTCATAAGAATCCACCGGACCCGAATGAAAACAACCAATCAGAGCGTCTTTAACATCTTTAAGCTTTAAATCTTTCTTAATATATAAACTGATTTAATCACAATCACATTTATAAATATATTCACATTAGAGAGTTAGAGGAGTTTTCTTCATGAACATAAATATATAATAATCTATAATAATTGTATTCTTGGTTAGAACGCAGCATAAAACTAAAATATGACCATAACAGATCATTCAATTATATATAATATATTATATTATAATATAATATATATTTGATTTTTTTTTATTGAAAATGAGAAAACAACATGTTTCTTTTTTTTTTTTAAAGATTAAAAACCTTTTATTTATAATTATGATTTAAAATAAAAGTAGAAAATTACAGTTTTCTGTTATTTCCTCTTCTTATTTTATTAAAGTTAGTCAGGAAACTAAAATCTGTTGACGCAAACTACACTGACCCTGCTGGACCTCCTCTTCCTCCTCCTCTTCCTCCTCCTCCTCCATCATCATCATCATCATCATCATCCCACCACACTCCTCCTCCGCTCAGCCAGTTCATCCAGCAGCAGCAGCACCAGCGGAACACCCACAACAACAACAACAACAACAACAACATAATAAACAACAACAGCAACAACATCCAGCAGGAGAGGAAGAGAGAGAAACATCATGGAGGGAAAGAAAACATCCTCCTGGTGGGGAACAGCCATCAGCAACACCGGCTGAATACCAGCGGAGGAAGAGGAGGAGGAGGAGGAGGAGGAGGAGGAGGAGGAGCGGATGGATGCCAGTCTGGGATCAGCCACCACCACCAACAACAACCCTCCTCCGACTGGGACCAGCTCCGAGTTTAATCATTATTATGGGAATGGAAGAGGAGGGCCCAGCTTTGATCATCAACATGGCGGACAACAAAGCGCAGGGACTGGGGTAACGGCGGCGGTCCTCTCGGTACTCGACACTATGGATCAGGTTCAGAACTCCCACGAAGGGTACAGCAACAACAACAGCCCGTACAACCACTACCCGAACTACCGACCCGGGTATGGGAACAGTGCGTACGGGGGTATGATGAGTCCCTCCCGCCAGGGGACCAACATCCTGCTGGGCCCCGGCCCCGGCCCCGGCCCCGGCCCCGGCCCCGGCCCCGGCCCCGGCGGCTCGGCCGCTGCTAACCACAGTAAAGCGGCTATGGTCGCCAGCAGCTCCCCGGCTGGAGGCGGAGGAGGCGGGGGAGGGTTTCAGCGGTTCCCCGGTCAGCAGCAGCTGCACCCGTCCGGAGCTACACCCACTTTAAACCAGCTCCTCACGGCTCCGAGCACCGTGATGCGGGGCTACGGGTACCCGGAGTACAGTGCTGCCCAGCAGCAGCAGCCCAGCGTCGGGCTGGCGAAAGACTCCCAGTACGCTCCTCACGGATGGGGAGGACAACAAAGGAACCACCCGGCCATGAGCCCCGGGAACAACGGGCAGGGCGGCGGGAGATCGCAGGTGAATAACGCGTTTATAAAGTACGGTCAGCCGGTGTTCGCTGCGGATCCTCCGGATGATCACAGAGCCATCTTACTAATGCTAACCCGCTAGCCGCTGTGTGCCGTCAGCTAGCTGTAGCCGCCGCTGCTGTGAGACGTCATTTAACACAAAGTGCTCCACCTGTTCGACATTAACGTTAATAATCCTCACGTAGTAAGGCTCCCGGACAACGGTCACTGACCGCCGCAGGAGTTAGCGTTGGTTTGTAAAGTCAGCGGTTCGATTCCGCGTCCAAGGTGACTCCGGGTTTAGCTTGCTAGGCTAAGCTAGCGTTAGCATTTAGCTACTGCTAACCCAGACGTTGTTTTATTTTCCTCCCAGGATGGTGAAGGCACAGCCCGCCCTCCTCCACCTGGACTCACATTCACTACAATGGGCTTTATTATTGTTTATTATTATTATTATTATTATTATTATTGTTATTATTATAACATTACAGAACAAAACGGAGCCAGAAACAATTAAATCCAATATATAATGTAAGTTAGTGAATAATATGTACACAGGGTGACTTATTATTATTAATAATACGTTAGTAATCAATAAATAATTAAACAGTCAAACAAATGTAGATGTATATAGACTATAATGTATATTATAAGTTTAACTGTCTACATTATATTGTTCCTCTTTAATAATTATAATAATGTGTAAAATGTGTTTTTGGGTCTGAAACAAACTGTATGAGTAGAGCAGCTCTTCGTCATTATAATAATGTTTGTCACATTTTAACTCCATCAGAACATTTCAGCTCTTGAGTTATTGAGATTTCGATAATATTTTAATTTGGTTGTTGTTGTTTATTCTTTCTTTTCCCCCAGAATGAGGCTAATTTCTACATTTTTCACATTTTGGGAAGAATTCCTTCCTAATATTTAAATATTGGACGATATGAGGAAGTGTAATTCTGTCTCTGCAGCTGCCTCACTGATAGCACAGCCTGTCCTCTCCAGGGCACCGTAACCCTGACCAATCCTATCCTATCCTATCCTATCTGAAGCAGAGTAAGGCGAGTCATGACTTTGCCATCCTGGGAGGAAGCGGTCCAGGCCTAACGAGGCTGTATGTAGCTGTGTGTACAGACTCACAGTGTAATTACATTTAGCTGTTGTATTGTGAGATGAAGTTTGGGGACATTGAGATTCGGTGACAGAACAGGACAATTATCTGCCACCACTTGCTGTTTGTCTGACAGCCCCGTTCACACCTGACATCCACTAATTGCCTCACATATGCTAATGATCTCTTTTGAAGTCGTCTGATGTGTCTGCGGCCGTTAAGTTGTTTCCACCGCCGTTGTTAGCCTCTCTGTGATGCTAATAGGCCACCGTGTCAGCCTCCTTTCAGCTCGTGATCCGGCCTCAACTTCAGCTGGCAGGGAGCCCGTTATGGCCCCCGTCTCCACACAAGAGCCCTGACCTTCACTCATGCAGATTAGCCATGTGTCCATTACCACAGGCAACAACACTGGAGCTAAATATTCGTCATGCTCCTCCAGCTGCTGGAGGCCTCGGCCGCGAGTGCATCGCTGCCGTCGCCAGCCCTTCCTGCTTCCTGTGCTTCATGCTTTTTTACACAGTGTGCATGAATAGGGCTGCAATTAAAGGTCCACTGGTAACGTTTAGGAGGATCTATGGGCAGAAATGGAGTAAAATATTAAAGATATGTTTTCTTTAGTGTGTAATAACCGGAAAATAAGAAATGTTTTTGTTTTTTAAGCCGGCGTTCTACAGTAACACACAACAACAAACGGGTTTTGCCGCCACCGTAGTTTCTCCTACACGCTCGGGAGGCGAGTGATATTCAGATGGTTTCAATCTGCAACCTCGCCGCTAGATGCTGCAAAATCCTACGTGCTGGTCCTTTACCTGAAAGCAGCATGAAAAGGTCCAGTGTGTGATGGATACTACCTTGTCTCGCCCTCCCCATCCTAGTGTGAAGGGGAAACTGTGGTGTCTGTGAAACGTGGCGACCCCGCGGCGTCTGTAGCAAAGCAGAAACTTTATCATATATTAAACTGTCAAAAATGATTTGAATCTGTAGACGTCTGACATCTAAAGACATCTCGTAAGTTGGTAAACTTTATTGATTCAGCGTCTTTACAAAGGTCTTTACAGTACAAACATTAGAAAGTTATAACAGAAAATAATAAATAAAAACTAGAAGATGAATTTTCTGTAAAATGAAATAAAGTCTATTTGATTTGAACTGGTTCTTATGAGCTGTGGCCACATTAATGTTAATTAAATGCAAATTAACGTGGAGGCTCCCAAAAACACCGACCACCGACCTGTAATGAACCTCATCATCATAAAACCTGCATCCTGAAACAAGGAGGAAGTTAGATCTATAATAAGACCTATAATATAATATAATATAAGGCCTGCAGGTTAAGTATTGACACAAAGAGTATCCTGATATGGCACCTTTCAAATCCTGGGTTACAAAGCACAACAACATCCAGCGTACAAACAGTTTGAGGCATCACAGATCAACAATGGTGTACGTGACTCAGGCACCGAAGCAGTTGGGAGAGAGGGCGGGAGCCACAACTGCTGAGGCTCGGACACATTTGGTTGTAAGCCTAAATTTCAGGGACAAGTCAGAAGGCTTTGTTCAGTAGACCTCAGAGATCTCACAATCACTTCACATCAATCATTCAGACATATAAAGGGGGGGAGGCAAACCATCACAAATAGTCAGGAAGGCAATCCGGGTCCAGAACTTCTACAGAGTGATCCACCGGTGCACTGAGGGTGTGTGTGTCTATATATATAATGTCTGGAGATGATCTTTAAGACGGAAACACAGTCACAAACGGTTTAAAGGCCGGAGGAGATTGGACAGGAATGTGTGTTTCTGACTGACAACGTACTTTGAATAGCTGATATAAGATGAGATCACTTGTTATATAAAAACATTCGATAATTTCATTGTTTTTACCTCCTGTTGACCACGTGCTTTGGCCTTTTTCCAGCGGTGTGCATGTCTCCCTTTAAAATGTATCTATATACGTTGGTGACGACCCGATTCAGAGACTGAGTCTGATGCTGTCTGATAGATCTTACAAATGGCCGAACTTTCCTTCCTTCTCTTTGAATCCGAAAGTTTTTCAGACTTTAGATTGTAGTTTTGATGCTGAGCTGTAAATCGTGTCGGCATTATCGACGAGCCACGCTGCCCTAACGTTACTCTTGTTGCTCTTGTCGTGAGAGCGTGGCGTTGACCTTTTACTGTTGACCAGGAGTGTTTCAGTCAACAGATTCATAACTTTAGAATCGGACCATCGACCGGTTCTTCAGATATATGTAGATCCATCTCGGGTCCGCGTACCGATGTTGTTGCATCTATGAGGTTAAAACCGTCTCGGTAAATTGTTTCACCTCTACCTTTTCCTCATTTTATCTGCCGGCACTTTGTAATGTTAAGAAATGTGATATATAGTTATAGTTCATTGTTATTATTGTTAATGATATAGCATCAGTGGCCTCGTACGGCGGTATGAACAGTAATCTGATGCTTTGACGTGTATATTGTCAGACTGATTACTAAATTAGATTGTGTAAAATAATTTAATGAAATACAACAAAATATGACAGGAGTCTCCGTTTTCTTCACAGTTTGGAAAAGTTAAATTTCTGCCAGTTTCAGCTTCAGTCGGCGACTTAAAACCATTGAAGCTGATCCTGAAGCTTTGTGACAACCTGTCCGATCTCACGCTGAGCTGTTTACATCGGGATTATTGATGGGGGGGGTTTCCCAGTGTGGTCGTCCTCAGCTGACTGAAGGAAACGTGTCACCCAGAGAAAAGATTAAAGAAGGAGGAAATGTCTGGATCGTGTTTTGTGTGTAGAATCCATAAATGGTTTCTATTTTTAGCCGCAGCCGTCTGAGCAGCAGTGAAACATCTGTTCTCACTGAGTCACTTCTCTCACCTACTATTATGTCAGTGTGTCAAATACTTGTGTGTGTGTGTGTGTGTGTGTGTGTGTGTGTGTGCATATTAAAGTGTACCCAGGCGTGACTGTTGACTCCAGTTTAAAGTGGCCTCCCAGGCTTTTGGATTGCTCACATTTTGTCTGAGTGCTGCTTCAACTGAATCTGCTCTGACACGAGAGTTAAGTCTCAGTTGTCAACCCCCAACTTGATACCAAGATACCTCGATACCCGCCTCTGATGTGTTTACTGTCCTCCACCGGCTGGGCGATGTGCTCCACCTGGTCTGGAAGAAAAAGTATTCAGACGATTCAGGTTGTTCCGATACCAATTCCTCTGATATTACCGGGTATTGGTGGGAGGGGGCACATGTATTAGCAGTGTAATGCAGGAGTATATCCACTTATTGTCAGCATTGGGAATACTCACTTCTAAATCCCCCCATATGCTCATCATTCGGTTTTGTTATCCCAGGATGGTGAAGGCCTCACATAGTTATCCAGTTTTTATGAGTGGATGGAGTAAAGGAACAAGAAATACGTCACTCTCCCAGATCACCAAGGTTCAAGGTCTCTTTGGGGACAAAACTATAGCGACAGACGAGTAAAGATTAATTTGGATTAATGACGTTTGCTCTGCTGATTCTAACATGTTGGGAAGAGCCTCAAACTCCTACTGGTTCCAGGTGACTGGTTCCAGATGTGTTGTCATCTCCTTTGTAGTTTATCAATATGTTGATTTCATTCACTCCCACAGGTCATTTACCTGCCCTGAAGCTTTGATACATCGATGTTTTTTTTAACCTAGTAGGGTAAACAAATGTCTCATTAACCAATCGCCTCTCTCCTCCAGGTGCCTCCCATGGACCCGATGGCGATGAAGCGCTCTCAGCTCTACGGGATGAGCAACAATCCGTACTCCCAGCAGCAGGCGGCGCCGTACTCCGGCCAGCCCTACGGTTCGCCCTCCCCCCACAGATACCCGATGGCGATGCCCAGCAGAGGGCAGATGGGGATGGGAGGGATGCAGTACCCTCAGCAACAGGTAGGGGACAATCACGATAAATGACGCACTGGAGAACCAGCATCTATCCGACTACATTTACAGAAAGAGTCATTTTACTTCAAACTGGACAGAAAACAAATTAAACTCACGAAAACTGTTATTAGTCTTTCCATCTCAACAACAATCACCAACTCTGGTTTGGCCAAAATAAACCCAAAATTCACAGTTAGGTTAGAAAAAAGCAGCGAAACAGGCTACAATGTGCTGTAATGTTAGCTAATACTAACAGTAGTTGTTTGTTCCACTGACAGACTCAGGTTGTTATTGTCAGTGTCTGACAGCATTATGGAAAGGATCCCTACAGAGATAGACCTTTAGTTTAACCACAAACAGCCGTAATATCACTATCACTCTCCACCAGACTCCAGAGACACAAACACTCATTTTACCTTCAGATCATCAGAACTTCATTAAAGTGAACAGAAACAGAATAAAACTCATTAAAAGCGTCTCTGTTAGTGTTTCCAACAATCACCAACTCTGGTTTGGTGGAAATAAATCCTTAATTCACCGACGTAGATGATAAAAACAGCAGTTTCAGTCGGAGCAGACCGGCTATGGAAACAAACCACAGAGAGGCTGCGATACAACACAGGCAGAGGGAGAGAGACACCATGTGACTCTGTATCTTTATAAAGAGAATATGATGTTAGCGTAGTGCCGAACCCACTGTGAATCAACACTGACTCAGCAGCTCTTTGGAGCCTTTTAGCCTCTTTTTATTTTATAGTTTTGGTTTTAGGGTACATTTGGTTGCTGCTATATAAATGATTTAAATCTCCCGTATAACCTTTAACTCTCCGTCCCTACAGTTAGTGTTTGTTTCTTGTGATGCTCTCTAAGGAAGTTGTTTCCTCGATGTTCAGAGTGTGTGTTCCTGAGTGATGAAACACTCAGTGAAGCTCGTACGACCTCCTCTTGTTTTGTCTCTTTTGAGCTGGTTGTTTGTTCATGTGGTCGTCCTGCTGATTCATCTGCAGCATCATCACCACCTCGTCACTGTGGACAACAGACCTATTGATGTTGTCAGACCACATGGCTGCTGCAGAGCCGGGCCGGGCTGGGTCAGGCCGGGCCGGGTCAGGCTATTCCTGGCGCAGACTGGGCTGAGGCTATTTTTAGACTGCAGGCTGCTGGTTTTGGTTTACTGATGACTGACGCTGCCTCTGATACGTCACTTACGAGAACATTAAAAGACTTTTCTTTAGTGGTTGGCTGCTGTCGCTGGAGTCAGACTACAGGGAATTTAACTTCACAAAGAAAATTGCTGAGAGTTTGATTTCAGTCCGTTACAATGATGGCAAGTTTTCAGGGTGTTGAAATATCCATAGAAAGTTTCCAAACCACGTCTGCAGCACAATCCACCTCTCGGCTCTTCATCTCTGTCATCTAAATATGTGTAAATGTCTGCAGCTGAACATTGACTTTATTCTGAGGGAAAGTAAATGCAGCAGCACATTTTTAACAAAGTTCACTAGAAATCAAAATATTAATAAACTTTAAAGCAAACATTGTAAAAAATTACAGGTCAAATAAATACAAAAACGAACACAGACTTAATAAGCTGATATTGGCTGGTAATATGACAATCAGTTGAGTTCGATTAGTTGTTTTTCTTCTTATGTGATGTTAACCTGAATATATTTAGGTTTTAGTGAAGTGTTAATGCCATTTTAGACTGAACGAACCGTTTTATGTTGTTTTGAAAATAAAAAAGACCCATAACAGCTCATTTCCTGATTTAGATTTTTCTCATTTCGAAACTAGAATCCGTCGGCTGTAAAGTTCACTAACCCTGATCACACTATTACAGTCATGATCACTTGTGTCACCACAGCTTGTTTTAAATCCAGGTTCAACTGATCTTCGTGTTTTCTCTTCTCTTTTAACTTCCTAGTAAGAAGTTAAAACACCAGAACACATTTTTAAGACCTGGAGGAAAGCGGGATTGTTGCATCCAGGTCTCATATCGTAGATTTACTCCGATCACGGTTTTCTTACCCCTGGAGCTTTTCCTTCTTCGCTCCTCTGATGTCGTCTCGCTCCCCCGAAGCCTCTCGCAGAGACAGATTGTCATCACGGAGTAACGGTGACGTTATTACATCATTACAGCTTGACAGACATTTTCTTTTTTGTTCAGCCTGAGGGAACTTGTGTCAGCGTTGTCATCTTTGCTCGCTGAGACTCGGATGAAGACGCCGAGGCAGAGGGAGGAAATGTAATGACTTTTATGTGAGCGAGGCCCCAGGTGGCCCTGGGACTCTTCCTTTATTAACTCTCTGATTCCAGATGAAATTGGACCAGGCGGCTTCCCCCTCTGTGCCGCTTCGATTGATTTGGTTTCAGGAGGGTTCTTGTCCACAGTCGACTCTCTGACTGCTTAAAAACCTAAATCTCAACCAAAATGTTTGACGGTATTCAACCTACATTTTGGTAAATCCTCCAGTTCTGTCTTAGACCTTTAATTGTCCCTTCTGATTAAAACCACTAAACACACTGAATAAAGCAGTTCCACCTTAAAAATCACTGAATAAAGCAGTTCCACCTTCAAAAACAAATCGGTTGGGAGAATATCCAGTTGATATTTTCTGTAAAATAATGTTTTTGATTATTCAGTTGATCATTTGGTCTGTAATATGTCAGAAATTAGAGAAATTACCAACGTGGTGTCTTTAAACCGTCGCACCATCACGTCAGCTGTACTTTGTGATTTTCCACTCTGCTTCTGACACCTGCTTACATCATCACACTGATGTCACACCGCGGTTGCCGTTTACCCGGTGCTGCAGATGAACAACCCTTCACAGCTAAGAGCGCCTGAGTAGATGCAGAAGGTGCTCTTGAGCAAGGCAGGTGATCCTCGGGTCGTCCGGCAGCCGCTCGGAGGCTCCGGCTCTCACAGATTGCAGCGAGGTTGCGTCTTGTTGCGTTTTGTGGCATTTTTTATTCCCGAGGAGAGGATGTGCTTTTAGGGATAACGATCTGAGGAGGAAGGTCTGTGGAAGTGTTTACAATACGCTGCAGTCCTGATGTAATCTCAGCGGGTCTAGGCACCTTATTTAAGGTGGTATAAATGTTCATGTGGAGGTTTAATGTGACCAATTAGTTCCATTAAAAATGATGAAACTGAGTTCATCTGGAAAGCTTTTCCGTGCCGTTCTTGCAGTGTAAATAAAATAAATTTAAGTTAAGACATTCTTCACACGTACGATCAGCTTAGGGCCACCGTAGTTTCTCCTACAAGCTAATCTGCAATCTGCACTAAATCCTACACACTGGTCCTTTATGTTTGTTTCTAACATAAAGTGCCCGTGGAGCAGTTTGAGTGCTACATAAAAAAGCTTCCTGCCATCATCACCAGAGGAACCAGAGCTGATGTGCAGTCAGAAGGAATGCGTTTCAAATCATCAATGTGGCTGCGTGATCATGTGATTCTCCTGTGACTCCAGAACAAGCTGTAGCTCTCAAACACTGGAGACAGTAACGGCACGGAGGTCGCAGGTCACATCAGACCTCTTCGCTCACAGCACAGGGACACGATGATGAGAAGCAGCATTGTATCGTGGATTTGTGGGAGGTTTATTTCAGTCAGAGAACATGTTGAATCCTCGGGAGAGGAATTTAAATATATAGGTCACTTTCCAGGAATACAGCAGAGTTCGTTAGTCGGCTTGTTTCACATCTTCAGCAGAGTGGAAACATCTCAGACCTTTAATATTTTCTTTATTCACGCTGCAGCGAGTAGGGCAGGAGGTCAGGACGACCTCGGTTACGTTGCTGTCTCCATCACTCTCTCCCATATACATGAGTCCAGATACACAGTTGTCCGTGTTGTGCAGTGATGATTCAACAGCAGAGTTTCGTGTTGATCCAACATGTAGAAGCTCTCCGGCTGTCAGTCAACGTTTGTCACGTCTCCAAATTGAAACAAAATTTCCAGAAAATCAAACGGGAACACGACTGAATGTTTGTTTGTTGTGTGAATGTGAGTTCACTGGTTGACGGAGACAAACAGCTGGTGGAGATGATTCTCCAGCCGTTGCCTTCAGACCGGTGCTGAAGATGAGGAGATCGTTAAAAGAGACAATGAAACGACGGAAAACATGTTTTCTATTCCTCCGATACTGTGTGTGTTGTTTAGGATAATGTACTTTTGATGTTAATTACAGAGCAGAAACAAAGGAGAAATAAACCCAAAAAACAGGGAATAGTCAAAGGAAGTTATTAATTACGCTGCTGCTGCAGGTACTCTGTGATGGAGGTGGACGACACACTGTAGATTCTGTTGCTATAGATATTATAGATATATAGATATTGACCAAGATGATCCAGAAATGTATTACGGCTGTCCATCATGTCGTATCGAACCTTGTGCTTATATAGTCCACACTGTACACATATTCAGTGTAGTGCAGTTATCCAGGTTGAGTAAAAACAAAAGTTAATAATTGTATCCTAAAGTGTGATGTATTTTCTTCTCCTTAAAATGAGCTGATTACCAACAGTGATAGGTCTGGTAGAGGTGGGTCAGAGAGCTTTCTGCAGGAGGATCACACAGAGAGGAAATGGTTGGAAAGATTGTGTGCAGTTTAGTTTTTGAATAATGAAGCCTGTGCACAAGCTTTAAATTGGATTAATTGATGCCTGGCCAAACCTCATCCCCCAATCTGTGCTCCCAGTTCCTCCTCTAGGCATTTCTCAGAGAGAGCGGGAGAGAGTATATTGCTCTAATGTGTTCTTAATGGAAATGTTTGTTGTTTTTTGTTGTTTTTCCTGGTTAAATAATGAAAAATGATAATAATAAATGAAGGTTACAGTCTCCTCATCACTTGTGTTCAGCTCTTCACTGGAAGTGGTGTTTAAATCACGTTTCACCCACAAAATCCTTTATTCTGTTTCTCATCAACTTTTACACCTCACATTGCTGCGTTTCTACTTTATGTGCAAATATAAAAGATGGATGCTATTAGCACCCAGCTGTCAGTAGCTAACAACGCTATTTTCACCCTCATGGCAGAGACAACCCAACCACATCCTACACTGCAACAACAACTCTTCTAGAAACAGGCCAGATATTCTGGAATATAATCCTCATACTGATTAGATTGATAGAAAATCTTACAATATTATGCAAACCAGTGTTATAACGTGTTACTGGTTAGATGTAGCTCACTATTAGCTGTAATATCTTATTAAAACAAAGTCAGATATATTTTCTCAAAACCAGTTCCTAATGTAAAACATGCCTGACAGGATTATTTTATTTTTAGACTAAAAATAAGACTTATTTCCCCTTTTTTTTACTTTCTTTAAGTTCCTTTTTTGCAGTATGAATGTCACAAAACACCAGCAAGAAACTAAAAATAATTCAAAATAAGGTCTAAAAATGAACACTGGATTCACACGGGGCTCCAGCTTCAGTCTCCCATGTGGGGTCTCGAACCCTAGTCTGCCAGTGAAAGTCCCGTTCCTGCTCTAGATGGCTGGGTGTAGATATCCGGGTACCTGCTGTTACCACCCGGGTGCAGATAGACACTCGCTGGAGGCACTGAATATAAAAACAGGTGGATGGAAACAGTTTTGTGGTGATGACTCTTGGTTTATTCATCAGAGACTCACTGTGCTGATGTTTGTTGTGTCCTCAGATGGGTTCTCAGTACAGTCAGCAGCAGCAGCAGCAGCAGCAGCAGCAGCAGCAGAACGTGGGCGGTTACTGTCAGCCGGGTCAGCCGCCGTACTTCAGCCCCCCGCAGCAGCAGCCCGCCGCCCCGAGCCAGCCGCCGTACATGCAGCCCCGCCCACTGCCACAACAGGTAGAAACTGTAATGTTTCAGAGAGGGCGCTCTCATGACCCCACATACAGTGGATGTTAGCTATAAGGGCTCCGGACCTCTCCTCATACTGTACCAGGGCTCACTGAGCAGGTTTCAGACATTAGGAAGACGACACTCACTATAGAGCAGAGTTTCCGGGTTCACAGTGAGAAGAAAAGAACGTTTCCTGATCATTTTTACTGCCGTTTCTGTTTCATCACATCAGATTTTCTTGAGCAGGTAAAGCAGCCGTGTTGAAAAACAATGAACGCACTTTAAATACTTTAATAAATGAAACAGAACAAAGGCGATGAGGTTTACAGGTTCTTGTTTTTTATGATCTTTTCTTTTGAAACGAAACACACACACGTTCTGATTGTGTGTTCTGTAAATACAATGGATCGCTCCGTCAGATCCGACCTTGAGCAACGTCTCACTGCTCCTCTGAACACCGTTCTCTCTTCACCCTGATCGACTCTAACATACCGAATGCACAACAATGTGAAATAAGATTGTGGAAGACACCGTAGAGGAAACAAATCACAGCGACCGACGAGAACAGGAAACAGGAAGATTTCTTATTAAAATGTAGTCAGATTTACGTAAGAAACGGCCACTATTGGAGACATTTCTGTGTTTAACAAATCAAATTGGATGATTGAAACACAGTTGGACTCCGGCTGATGTTTCCGGTCAGTGAGCTCCTTCATCCTTTTGTCGTCCTGTCCCCGACTGAAATGAAAGCGGGTGTTTCAGAGGGAGAGCGGCTCAGTTGGAGCCTCCAGGGAGTTTAAAGTTTCTGCATTTCCTCGCGTCGTCTCAAAAGCCTCCAGAGGCTACAGCAAGGTCGACCCCTCCCCGACTGCTGCGAGAAAATGTCTTTACAAAGCATTTTGTCTCCGAGCATCATCTTCGTGAAACAGGAGGAAAACTCAAATGTTACTTTAATGTAGAAAGATGAAATTAAATCCTTTTAAAGGCACAAACTGCTGAACCAACAGCACAAAATAACAAATAAAAAGATTTTTATTTTAAGCAGCTTCCTGATGTACAGAATCCAGGGATTATTTTCCTTCAGTATTAAATGGGTGTACTTTATAAAGTGGCAGTAAGCAAACTTTATTGATACAGTAAGTGGATTGTTTCTAAAGTGTTTTACAGAAAAAACAACAAGTGAGTGAGGAAGAATTCACACAAGAATCTCAAATCTAATCTCGGCCTGGTCAGTTATTTAACCCGATATTCATCATTTTACTGACTACTATTAACCCGATTGATGAAATAAATTGATTAAAAACGGTATATAAATCAGATTATATTACAGATAATCTTATTCTCAGATAAAAACATGTTTGTTTGGTTCAGACCTCAATAAATGTCACATCATTGTGATTTTAATAGTTTTCATTAAAAATTTTATTTGTGATGCAAATTTTCACACTAATCATTTAACATATCACAATTTTAATATCTGTCAATCTCAATAAGATGTTTTTACTACATCCTGCAGCCAAAGAATTGATTAAAATGACCAAATAATCCTGGAAGTAATCGTTGTTATTTAGTATTTTTGTATTTCAGCCTCTCACTCCTACGTTCTCCTACGTTCTCCTAGGTAAACCTACATATTTAGTTTGAATCTCAACTGTTGGTGGGATAAGCTGCAGGTTATATGACACTTTTCATTTCCCATCTCAGTCAGTGCTTCTCTTCACATTCGATGCTGAGCGGAACGGACTCGCAGCGATCTTTTCACCGTTGAGTCAAATGTTTCTGTAACCACAAGCGGAAATCTCGACCCAGTGGAAATGTTGTAGCTGTCGTATATAAAGCTGAATGATTGAACCGTTTGTGAGCGAGTGCTGTCCTGTAATGTCAAGAAAAACTAAACAGATCAGATCTTTTACTTAAGTAAAAATATCAGTATCAAAGTAACTACCTCTGACAGATGAACGTAGTAAAAAGTAATATTTGCCTCCCATCTGTAGCGGAGTACAGAAACAGTCATGAACTTTCGTTCAGAGTATCGAGTTTATCACATCAATGAATCAGTCTCGAGAGTTTCAGTGTAAAGCAGTCGTGACGAAGAGGAAGTCCCGACCTTCAGCTGTGGTTTTATCTCCTTCATCAGTCTCGAGACGACACACTGACCTGCAGCAAACAGCCGGATCTTTATTTTCTATCAGATAACACGTAGAAGATCTGTCATTTTAAAGATCCACTCCAGACTTGTGTTAAGATGTTTGTGTATATACAAATCAGAGATGTCTTTCTTTGCAAGTCTAAGTCAAGTCAAGTTGTTTGTTATATGATCACTTTAAACAGGCTGTTGCAATGCAATATGAAGAAAACACACACTGAATGCTTTCCTTTAAAGGAAACTGTATTCTTCCAACATGAACATATAGTTACAGTATATCTTGCCCCCTATTGTGCAGGCTCAGTGGGACCATAATAAGAACAAATCTAGAAAATGTTACACTTCACCCAGTCAAAGACATTGTAATGAACATAATTCCAATTAGTACAAAACATCACACTTTAGCTAAATGCAAACAACTTGTAAGCAAAACACTTAAAAGTACTTTAATCACTTATATATGTTACTTGTGTGTTATTTGCAAAACAATTTGTTCACAAAAAAAAGCAAAACTGTTGCTGCCATATTATCTGAAACAATCAACAGTGTTGTTATGTGTAATGTAATCTGGTAAACCTGTAACATTAACGCTACGTGGTCAACAGTTAACCTGTAACCTGCCTGTAAGCCGACAGTATAAATATGGATTTTTCTGCAGTTAACGTTAGCCAGTAGATGATTAACGTTACCACTCAATGCAAACAAGTGCGACAAGCAAACTAACATTCACTCATCTATTCAGATATTCAGTTACAAAGCCAGTAGCAAGCTAAGAGAACGTTACATAGCTGATGCTGAGCTAACCGTCCATATGCGCTAATGTGACTGATGTGGTGGATCCAGCATCCTTGATTCAGGTACTGCAGACTTTGCAGTCAGCGCTCCTTTTGTTGGTGCCGTCCTGTTTGAAGTTTTTATAACCAAATGTAATCACAAATGGTACAGCAGCAGCTGCAGGTGTGCCACCGGTCGCTATAGTCGTCGTCCGAGGTACTAGTGCGTGAGGCCGCGAGGCGCGCACCCAATGCGTAATATGGTTACCATGGTAATACACATTGAGCTCGTCAGACGTTTCAGAGTTTCCTCAATATTAATACGCAAAAAAAGAAAACATAATGATTGTTCACGAGTCCCAAAACACGAGTCCGAGTCGAGTCTGAAGTCTCTGTGTGTGCGACTTAAGACACTCGAGTCCCCTCTCTGATACAAATACTATAATACATCTGATTCTGCCTCATTAAAAATCAATACGTTATATAATCAATAAGGATCCTGTGAAATGGTTGAAAGCTCCAGAACACCAATGTCATCAGATCCACTGAGGGTAAAGAGAGTTTTGTAGTTTGAACTTTGCGTCTTCGTCTGTCTCGACTCAGGAGGTGCCGCAGGAGGCGTACGGGGGGCGGGGCCAGTCTGCTGCTATGACTCCTGGGAAACCAAACCACGAGGAGATGAGTCTGAGCCAACAGGAGAGACCATCCAGCCTCCCGGTAAGTCTGAGGAGCATCAGTGCTGTAAAATATCTCATTTCTCTACCAACCAAAGTCCAAAGTGAACTCCCGCCAAACGTCTCGACTTGTGAATCATTTGGAATCACAGCTTACAACCACCGTACTTATCACAGCATCAGTGAATCAAATCAAAGCAGCTTACCAATATTCACACTTTCTACACAATGTCTAATAACGATCTTTAGTGCTGATGGCGTCTCTAGTAAAAAGAGGACATCAGTGAGGACTTCAAAGTATGAATAATTTGTCATCAAAAGGCGAAAACTGTCGTAATAGTAATCGTGTTTGAGGAATTTTAGATCCGTCTGGTTTCTCTTTGTTCCTCTGTGCGGCGTGTACGCAGCTTTACTGTGAAACTGGAAGTTGGGACAGAGTTTCTCAGGTCAGCTGATATCTGCCCTCCTGTGGGTTTGTCTTTATAAAATCAGCTGCTGTTGTCACTTTGATACGAGGATCTTAAAGAGTTCAGGTTCACTTTTAGTCGAGGTCGTCGGAGGACGCGCTGCCCTCCAGTACGTGTTCACACATCTTGAGCTATAACTGGGCCACGTCACATCGGTGGCGAGTTAAATCTAAAGTGACAGTCCGGTTCAGAGCTACTCGCAGCGACAGAGAGAAAAGACATCTTTCTTCCTCAAAGATCAAACTTCACTTACAGTCTTGTTTTATTCAAAAACACCCTGAAAAAGTGACAGAGGAGCTGATGCAGCAGCTGTCCTGATAACAACCATAAAGCCGACAGACGGATTGAAAGAAGAGTCGTTTTGTTGCATCAGGCTCGGTGGTCGTGGTTCAGCCCCGCCCCCCCGCTGTCTGATTGTCCTGTAGCTCGCCACTGTTGTCGGTAATGACGCAGTCCTCTTTTATCCGGAGCTGAACCTGGCAGGTATCACGCCCGGAGCGCCTGATACTTCCCGCTGGGTCGGTGCCGTGTGGGCCGGACCTCCCGGAGAGAGACACAACTGAAATAATGACCCTGTGAACACCGACTGAACTGTAATCTACATCGAAGTCTCCAGCTCTGCATGAACTGATGGTCTCACTGAAGGCTGAGCGAAGCAAAAAGACTTCTCAAATTGTATTTGTTTTGGCACTTTTGGTCATTTCAAGGTTCCCACTCTTTAATAAATCATTTTCCAGGACCTTTCAAGGACGTTTTCAAAGTGGTTTGTTTTGACAATACAGGACAGCACCTGCTCACAAATGCTGGTCACCGTTGATGGAACAGTTTTTGAAGTGGACTCGTTCGTGGTGCACTTCGCTGTTCTCAGCACAGCCGTTATTTCTGCTTTCCCAAAAAACCTTTTCCACAGCGGACATTTTGACATGACAAAGTAGGGTAAACAGTAGGGTAAACACAGGTGTTACCAATGATACTAATTAAGGTTGCGTTCCATTTAGTGTAGCTGAGCCTACCTGTGAAAAAGGTCTGACGGCAGCTTTCCACCAACTGTTACAATAACTTGGCCACAGCACAGGATACAACACATTATTTCCTTTAATGGAACCAGCGTGTCGTCTTTATGCAGTGTGTAATAAACTGTCCTGTATCATTTGTATAAGTATGAAATAATAGAGGTTCAGCGATGGAGCTCTGGGGAACACCTGAGTCTGTTTTAAAGAGGAAGAATATTTTAGCTTCACGACTCCGTCACGTTTCTCTCTGTTTGAAAACCGTTTTAAAGCTGCTTGAAATCACTTCCAGCACTGAGACTCTGACTGTGAACGCTCCTCTGCCCACTGCTTTCTCTCCCTGCTTCCCCTGTAATTATTTCATCTCTCCATCCATCTCTCTATCTATGCCTCTTTCCATCTTTTCCTTTTATGCATCCTCCCTCTCTTCTTTCACCTTCTCCCTTCTGCTCCTTTATCCCTTTATTCCTCCCTCTCTACCTCTCCCTATTCCTCTGGTTTCTTCTTCTCTCTCTCTCTCTCTCTCTCTCTCTCTCTCTCTCTCTCTCTTTCTCTCTCTTTCTCTCTCTTTCTCTCCGTGTTAGCCTGCTTCTGTCCCTCATCCTCTCTCTCTCTTTCTCTTTGGAGCCTCCTTTTGAAGTCGGGTGCTGATGCAGTTGCCATGGCGACAGGCAGGGGAGACTGCTCGGTTGCAGGAGGAGCAAAAAAAAAAAAAGAAATCAGCAGAAATCAGCTGCACCCGAAGGCCTCACAGACTCTTTAATAAGTTGACTGCATGATTTTCAGTTCAGTGTCTTATTTCCTCTCGTTTAAAGACTAAATTCTAATTGTTGCTTTATTTTTGCTCTCATCGTCTCTGATTAAAGGTGGAACTTCAGTCGTTGTTCAAGGTTTAACTGTGAGTTGAAGCTGTGCTGCTGTCTGTGAACAATATTCTGGATACTGGAATAAAAATAAAGATATTTATTTATATATAGACATAGTAAACAGGGAAATGTGGAGAGGTGTGGCCGCCCTGGGAGCAGTTAGTTCAGTGTCTTGCTCAAGGGCACCGCAGCAGTTCAGGACTTGAACCACTGACCCTCCGGTTCCTGCTGCACCAAACTACACTTAAAACTTTAGTTTCAGCTAATTAAATCAAGTCTTGTACAATAGTTAAAGACGGTTCAGAATAAAATATATCGAACAAATCTTTCTTCTGCCCCCAGAACGGTTGTGTAAACGGGGCTTATCAACTTATCAATCATACTTAACTTTCCTAGAGCCACAACAATTAATCAATTAGTCATCGAGTAATAAAACTAAAGAACTATTTTGATAATCGTTATTTTTTAAGAAACAATTCTTTGATTTCAGCTCCTCAAATGAGAGTTTCTTTATTCCTCTGACGACGTCGCTTTGGACATTTTATGGACCAAACAACTAATCGATTAAATGAGAAAATTATCGACAGATTAATCGATAATGAAAACGTATAAATAATAATTATTTGCAGCTTTAAACTTTCCCCAGTTTGTTGCAGTAAAGAAAGTCAACGAAGGTGCAGAGGGGCAGGAGACGGGAGCGAGGTCTCTTTAATAATACTTATTGATTAATCACAGTCGATGTGAAGGTTGAAGAACGGGAGGAAGAGGGAATAGATGAGTGAAGAGGAGAAGGTTAAGGAGGAAAGAGGGAGAAAGACAGCAGAAGATGAGGAAGAGGATGGGGGAGGGCATGAGTAGAAAAGGAGGTGAAGGCTGAAAGCTGGAGGTGGAGGAGGGGTACTACTACTAAATGTACAGTGTTTGTGTCTCTCTCTGTCACACACACACACACACACACACACACACACACACACACACACACGCAGTGATTCATGCACAGCGGCTCCGACAGTCGAGGCAAGAGAAATATTTAAATTACAAAACAACAGCCGCTGACTAACAGAGGAGCGTGTGATGGAGAGACGGAAGGAGAGAGAAGGAGGTGTAGAGGCTGATTAAAGGACGAAGAGGAAGAGGAGAGACAGGAGAGGAAATAAAGACCATGAAAGGAGGAGAGATACTGGAGGAGGAAGGAATGAAAGGAGAAGCAGAGGGGGAGAGAAATAGGAGGAAGTAGGAAGGAGAAAAAGAGGAGGGTAGCGGGTGGAGTTGTATGAAAGGAGGAGAGGATAAAAGAGGAAAAGGAACAGAGGAGATGTATGAAGAAAAGGAGATGGGAGGGGATGGAGGAGAAAGATGGTATGAGAGGAGAAGGGGGAGAAAAAAATACAAGGAAACAGAAGGAAGGAGGTGAAGGAAGACAAAGAAAGGAAGGGAGGAAGTATGAGGTAATGAGAGAGAAAAAGGAGGTGAAGGCAGGAAGGAGTGGGGAGGGGAGAGAAGGAGAAGAAAAGAAGAGGAGGGGGAGTCAGTAAGCAGAGAAGTTCAGGCAGGTGAGGAGGAGGAAGAGGAGAGAAAGTGGAGGAAGATGCGGAGGCAAAGTATGAGGTAATACGAGGAAAGGAAAGAGGAGGGAAGGAAGTGAAAGGGGGGAGAAGAAAGGAGGTGAAACCAGGACAGAAGGGGGGAGGAGGAGAGGAAGAGGAGAAGAAAGGAGATGAGGAGTAGAGGAAGGTCGAGCGAGGCTTTCAGACAAACACTCTCTCTCTGCAGCTCACTCTTTATAATTAGAACACACACCAGGAGAGTGTGTGTGTGTGTGTGTGTGTGTGTGTGTGTGTGTGTGTGTGTGTGTGTGTGTGTGTGTGTGTGTGTGTGTGTGTGTGTGTGTGTGTGTGTGTGTGTGTGAGAGTGAGAGAGAGAGTGATGCAGCGCAGCAACCGATTGGCTGAGCTGTTGGCAAGGGGCGGAGGGAGGGAGGGAGGATGGGTCGCTGCGCTCTGATTGGCTGGCCCGAGGCCCAGGGGCAGATGGGAGATTTCAGCGCAGTGCTTCTCTCTTCTTCTTCTTTGATTCTCCTCCTCTTTCCTCTCGTCCTTCGCTCTGTTCCCTCCTTCCTCTTCCTCTCTGCTTCCACTTGTTTAACTCTGTCTCTCAATCTTTCCTTCTATGACTCTTCATTTTCTCTTGTCTTCTCTCGTTTTAGCCGAACAGCTCAACATTTTCATTAGTAACATGTTCAACTGTTGTTCACGACCTCTCTTCTAAAATCATCTGTGAACACAAAGACCCTGATCTGAACATCAAAGTCCCAAATATAACAAAGAATAACACAAAGCTGGATCTCTCTTCATGGAAACACCTGGAAATGAATTCAAATGAGTAAATATCCTGAAAATAATCTGTCTTAGAAACTTTTTATTGTTTTTTGGATGCAACAAACACTTTTACTTCCTTTTTAATAAATACATTTTCTGTAAAATAAAATAAATTCTACTTAAAGTGAACTTTTAAGCTGTGGTCACATTAATGTTACAGTTAGAGGAAACAACTGTAGTCAGTTCACAGGAGAGTACGCAGCAGGGATAACACGTATCGATACATTTATATTTAGTGTTTGTGAGTGAGTGCGGCTCTAAATCATCAAGAGAAACTGACAAATGATTTTTCAAAAAGAGTGGGAACCCTGCTGATGTTCGTCTGCACCGAACTCAACACCAAACCAAAGAGTGGAAGCTCTGACATTGAGGCGGACGCAGGCGACGGATCTGCAGTTTCCACTGGGTTCTGTCGGTTCTGGTCGGACCGTTAATGTCCTCCAGCTGAGTCGGCGCAGACGAGACGTTTCCGCCTCCTCGGCTCATTTAGGAGCAGCTGAACGAGGCGTTCGTGAGCCCGTCACCGGAGGAACAGTCAGTGATCCTCCTGTGAGTGACGTCATGAGCTGCAGCTGCGAAGGTTCATTAAACGACTCGTCAGAAATCCCACAGGAAGTTTAAAAAAGCACCGAGAGCAACAGGAGAATGTTTTCAGAAGTTGTTTCAGTCCAAAATAAAATCCGGTATCGTCCATAAATCTGACCTTCGGTCTGTCTGTGTTTCAGGATTTGTCCGGCTCCATCGACGACTTGCCCACCGGCACGGAGGCGGCGGTGAGTTCAGGGGCGTCGGGCTCCGGCAGCGCTCAGGGCGACCAGGGGACCCCGGCCCGCTCTCCTTTCTCCCCCCACGTCTCTCCTCGACTCCCCCCGCCAGCTCGCACCGGGCCCTCGCCCTCCCCCTCACCGTCCCCCGCTGGCTCCAGCCGTTCCGGACCGATGTCTCCCGCCACCAGCGGACCAGGTATGCAGATGATGTCACTTCCTGTCTCTTTGAAACAGGATAACTGAGGCCTCATAGGGAGTATTAACTCTGTTTGTGTCTCCCTCTCAGGCTCTCAGCTGACCCCGCAGGTCTCTGGTCCTGGATCAGATCCTGTTCCTCATCCCTCCCAGTCCGCCATGACTCAGGACAGAGGTACGACTCATCAGTGTGACAGAGTGGATTCATATTAAATATATATAGCGATCATCATCCTCCGTCTCTTTGATAAATAATCTACAGGCCTTTCAGAGTTTCTCTCTCTGTGTCTGCAGCAGCTCTGAGGAACATTCCTGAAAGCTAAAAGAGGAAAAGTCGTGTAATCCTCTGATTCATCCTCTGGGGCAGCGGCTCCCAGTCGGGTAGCTGAGAGATTTAGTCATACTGAATTCTAAATCAGGCCTACGCGTCCTGGAAAACCTGGAAATGTAGTTTTCCAGTAATGGATTAAAATGTTGAAATATCCTGGAAATAATCTCTGTTGTCCTGGAAACCTTCAGTTGTACATTCCCAAACTAACCGTCCTCCCTTCTCCTTCCTCGCCTCTGTCTTCTCTTCAGGTTTCCCTCCCTCCATGCAGCGTAGCACCCAGGGGCCTCAGTTTGGCCCCCAGCAGTCAGCACCACCCATGTCCCCTCACTCAGCGTCGGGGGGGCCCATGCACCACGGCTCCTATCAGCAGGGCGGCTCATACGGCCAGTACGGACCCCCAGGTACGCACTGCAACCTGGAAGGAAAAACACTAAAACATAAAAGTAACAGAAGTGGAACAGTTTTTGTAAACGTGTCCTCCTCGCTGTCTCCAGGTAACTACCCTCGCCCCCCCCACTATGGCGGAGCCCCCAGTGCCAACTACAGCAGCCCCGGCCCGGGCCCCGGCTTGGCCAACAGCCTGGGGTTGAACGCCAGCAGTCCCATGCACGGTCAGGGCCCCTCCACCCCGGCAGGTCGCGGCCCTGGGCCTGGCCCCGGTGGCCGGCCTTATCCCGCCGGAGGGAGCGTCATGGCCCCCACCTCCCCCGGTATGCCACAGCCCGCCGGGCAGGGCATGGGTCCTCCGGGGCCCAACGCCAGCCGCAAACCTCCCGAGGTCGGCCCCAACGCCGGGCCGAGTGCCAACTCCTTGTCCTCCTCGGTCTCCGCCACAGCCGCCCAGGGCAGGTGAGTCTGGGAAATCCGAACTATTTCAGGAAAGTTTAAACGTTCAACAACCAGAATCTGTTTAAATATTCCTAAAGAACTTTAAACTTAACATTCAGTCTCTGGTTTCTGCGGTAAGAGAGCCTTAAAGGAGTGAAACAGAACGGATTTAAATGGCGACACAAACAAGATTCAAATGAATCGAGATATAAAGACTTCAGTTCAACCTAATAATTCTATAATTTGATAAATAAAATAGATTTTGTAGATTGTGAAATAAATCCTCATTTTGTTAAAAGAAATTGTTACATCCCTTTAATTTCACTAAACATTATATCCTGTATTTTTTATCACTAATACGGTACAGGGTATCGGTGTACCACTGCAACCCTTCCTCACTCCTGTAAACGCCTGTTTACTAGTTGTTTACTAGTTGTTTACTACATTATTACCATTAAAAACTATTTCAGTTTTTAGATAATTTGAGATTTGAAACTTCCTTCAGAGAGAAGATCCTTTGGCAAACATTAAAGGTGCCTCCTGTGAAGAGGAGAGCAGGTTTTGGGTCTTAGTTTGGCTGCGAGCATTAAAGATGTATAGAAACTTCTGTTTGCACTTTTTTTGTTAAGTAAGATGTTGGAAATAAATTCAGAATATTGCTCTTTCTTGTAGTACTGTAGTGTTGAAGTGGCCTCAAGACAATTTGAGTTTGAGATCCGTGATTTCTGCTGAACATCAGTCATTTAAAGTGTCTATAGCGATACGACGATGTATATGTTGTATATTGTATATTAAAGAGATGCTTGAACCTTGGAGCTCAGTGAGTCTGGGTGTTTTATCAACCCGCATCCTGAACTCACGGACTGAACGATAGAAATCCTCTCATTAGTTGCTCGCTGAGTTTTAATTTGACCTTCAGCACTGAGATGTTTTAATGTCTGAAGCTGCAGATAGTCGAACAGTTTGGACCGAATCAAAGATTCTGTTGCTTCTCCCTCCATCCCTCCGTCCTTCCAGGCCTCCCTTCGCTCGTTCCCCAGCCTACCACAACCAGTCCTGGCCCGGGGCTCGACCTGCCCTCTCTCCTACCCTTCACCCCTCTCATCCCCCTCCTCACCCCCACCACCATCACCACCACCACCACCACCACCATCCTCCTCCTCACCCTCCTCACCACTCCCAGCAGGGAACCTATGCTCAGCCGCAACCCACCCTGCAGACCCCCTCTGAGCATTATGGGTAGGTTTGGTACCAGAGCCTGACAGATACACTTGAACTGGTTCCTCGTTGGATTTTATTATTTGGTGTCGTCTAAAAACCTTCTGCAGAATTTGATTGAATGAATCAAAATGTGGAGCTCTTTCTTTGAAATCCAGCACTTTATAAGTCTGTGTGTGGTCATGTTTGGTTTATTATCACAATAAAACAGAGAATTATGAGGCTGTATGTATGCGTCAGGCTCTGCCGCACACACAGAGGTTATGGGATGTTCTACTAACCAGACCACTTCCTGTCCTCTGACGGGTCCTGCATGGCTTCAGAGGGGCTGCTGCTGATGTGTTTTTATGTCCACAGCTGCTTTAGCTTAATTTATGCTCAGTCATAGACAAGGACTTCTCAACATCAAAGTTGGCTTAAAAGTTGAGACTGAACCTTTTTGTTCTGTAGCTTTCAACTGAGTTAGATATGAAAATATTCCTCTGCGCGCTGTCGCTGCCTCTCTGATGCCCCCGACCTCCCTCGCTCTTCTACCTCTTCATGCCTCTCCTCCCCTGCCGCTCTCCTGCCCCTGCTGTGTCCTCATCGTCCCCAGAGTCAGAGTCTTGTTTGGAGCCTCTGCGAATCACCTTGTAACTTTATTCCCCGTTGTCAGACTAGTGGAAATAAACCCATAATTCACTGCAGTTAGTCGTCTGTCACCGAGCGGATCTCTTCAGAGGCCGAACATTAAATTAGCTAAATAAAATCCATCCAATCACCCAACTCTAGACTGTATCCATCATACAACATCCTATTGAGCATAGAGACAGTACTGTTGTGTGACTGACCATAAATTAAGCTGGTCACAGATCAAAAGGATTCACTATGTATGTGACATCTGACAGCATGCTGGAGAGGTGCAACCGCTGACCTAACTGCGCTCTGTCCACCAGCTTCAGAGGACCAGAACAGATTTCTCTTCGTCTGTTTCTCTGTTGTTTTTCAGCCGTGTCCACTAACTGCTTGAGTCCCAGAGACAGACGCTTTACTCCTCAACGTAACCTCCTGCATGCAAGCTGCCGCCTCGATCACATCTCGTAATCATAATCCAAACCCCTTTGTTCTCTCTGTGGTGTCCAGGCAGGGCAGCTACCTGGGCATGACACCAATGGGAGGAATGGGCCCTGGAGGTCCTGGAGGTCCCTACAACCAGCAACCAGGCAGCAACTCTGGAAGGATGACACCGCAGGGACCCCCCTACAACGCCCCACCCTCAGGTAGGACCACAGATCCCAGCGCCTGTTGAAGAGTATGTTTGGAATACTTTTATAAATGACTGATCTTCTAGGCCCCATGATGATGCCAGCAGAGGGGATGGGTGCTCATCCCGACGCCAAGCAGAGGGTTGAGCTCAGCAAAGAGGTGGTCTGCCCCGCCGCCACCAACCCACCCAAACCTAAGGTGCGTCCTCTGGCTTTTGTTAACCAGTCACAGTGGCTGTTTGCTGTGCCAACGACGCTGTTGTGCTCTCCTAGCATGTTCTAACAGATGCATGCGTGCTGAGGCTAATGTGAGAATGCAGCTTCACAGCACCGATGCAGGTTTCTGAATGGTATTTTAGATTCTGCATACAGAACAGAATCCAGTGAACCAATTATCCCGGTCCTGGTCACAGTACAGGCTTCCTACGCATCCTGGAAAACCTGGAAAATTTTAAACTTTAGAGACTAGTTTTCCAGTCTGGGTAAACACCTGGAAATTAATAAAAATGATTAAATATCCTGGAAATAATCTATTTTCTTGGAAATTTTCAATGTATTCTAGCCTGTGCTGTGGCCAAATTAATGTCACGTTTTTGAGCAAATGCTGTCCTGTATTGAGAAAAACTCCTGGAAAATATCCTGGAAAGGTCCTGGAAAATGATTTCTTACAAAGAGTGGGAACCCTGCCAGTAACAACTTAGCATTGTTTTGGATAGTTGTTCTTTTCCAACCACATCCTCAAGCTGAAAGATCCTTGAGGCGTTTGGGTCTGATATGAGGTTTATAATCCCTTCAGTGAGTTCTGGGTCGGCTCCAGAGTCTCCTCCTTGTTGGACTTGAACCTCCACAAGGAAGAATCATAGACACACCCTGATCAGTTCCTTGAACCACCTCAACTGGCTCCTGTCAGTGACTAAGTTTACAGGCACAAAAATGTCCACTGTTATTCCAAATAATAATATTCCGGATTCCAAGGGTCATCATTATTCCTAATCAGGCCTCTTTCTGAATAGAGCATTTTCCAATTAAGACATGTAGATATGCCGATATTATCCAGGTATTGGGAGCATTCTTTGGACATTCGGAGTATTTATATAATTTATGGTTTTCACTGCAGTTTACAGTCAGCTCATTAAGCTCTTGGAAGGCTGGAGTAGAGATTCACACACAAAGGGAAAGACAAATGGTCAGAAGGGGAAACACCTACTGTTAAACATTATGAGAAACTTGGATATCAACGGGTTTTTGGGTATATGCAAATGCTGCAAGGGTGATCTTTTTAAGAAGGTGGTTGATCAAAGGTCATTAACAGAGCAACAACAAGAATATTTTGTGCATGTAAACATAGTCACTGTTCTCCTCTCAACTCGTCCTTCCTTCCTTCCTTCTTTAACGGGTCCAAACACCCTTCGTAGGACTCATTTTGACTCCTTGTATCCGAACTCTTTGATCAGCACCCAGAGCTGCTGACTGTAGGTCCGACCTGTCTACCTTTCCTCGAGTTGTCTGTTTGCCCAAAGCTCTTTCCAGCAGACAGAATCTTTTTCTATCTGGCCTCCCAGAACTTGTTGACATTTTCGCTTCTGCAACTGCAGAAAATACCTTTCTGCTGATTCAGGACTCCCGCGGGCTGCCTTCAGTTTGACAGCTTGAGTCCACCAGGGGCGTTTTTTGGAATGCGTGACCTTCTAGTTCAAAGCAATGGAGAATTGGCCGTGAGACCCTGTCAATAAGGTCTTTAATTAACTGCCTCAGCGAGACGAGCCCAGTTCAGGTCTTTCCTCCAGGCTCCCTCAACACCTGATGTGTTCTCCACATGTAAATCCACTTCACATGGCCACAGATCGGATGATTATCCACCTTTTGTAGTTGGCAAGACCTACAGACTACAGACTGTTTTATTTCTACAGTCTCCGCTGCGTCCCCCACAGGTTTCTGAAGAGCGGCTGGGAAGCTCAGTGTGGTCGGCTCTCTGAATGACTCACTGCTGGAGCCAGCCTCAAGTGGCTGTTAGAGGAACTGTAGTTTGTGTTACTTCTGTGTTGGCTTCGTTTGCAACCACAGTGGGATGTGTGAGGCCTCTACACTTCACCTTGTGGGTGGTCTGCGCACTGAAATCTGAAAGTTTAAAGCAGCAGTGTCCAATGTTTTTCCCTCAGAGAGCCAGCCAACGGTGGGACACCTTCTTTGTTGTATTATTAAAATGCTAAATGTTACTAGAATCCCAGATTCCCCTTAATCGACTGACTTCATGCACAAAGTTTGTGCTCAGATAATGAAAAATAATTGGGGATCCCACATATTTACAGAGCATTTTTACCCCATAAAAAATAGTTTTCCAATCATGGAAACGCCTGGAAACTGATTTATAATGACCAAATATCCTGGAAATAATTTGTTGTCCTGGAAATGTGTTCACAGCAGGTTTACCAGATGCAAAGAAGAACTGAACTGAAATGGTCTTATCTCCATGCGTACAGCCTATTAATGACGTTTCCCGTGGTCGATAAATACATCCACAGTGATGTTAACTGTACGTGCAACAATTTAACTTTGTAGAAGATTCATTTTCTGTAAAATGAAATAAACTGGACGTGATTTGAACTGTTACTGATGGGCTGTGGCCACATTAATGTAGTTAACCACAGCTTTTATGACCGTTTGTAAGCGAGTGCTGCTCCTGTATTGTCAAGAAAAAGTCTGGGGGGACGAATCGAACCTCATGGTGGACCAACTTGGCCCGAAAGCCCCACTTTTGGAAGCTCTGGTTGTAAGCTTCCTACAATAGAACCGATAAAGTTTATTATAAAATAAATCAGCTGAACTAAGTTGGGGAACACGGGGGACTCGTTAGTCACCTGACGGAACGAGACATCGACGTGAGAAAACAGCATGTCAGACTTTGTGGGAGAAAACTGTAATTCAGATTGACATTGTCGACTTTTTTGTGCAACCAGGAGAGTTTTCACAAAGAATATGATTCCCTGGTTGAGCTCACTTTATCCGACAGTATTGATCAACGTGTTTCCAGCAGCATGCTGTTCGTTACACCTGTCATTATTTCATCTGGTTGTTTTTGGTGTGTTACAGAAAAACCCCAAAATAACCAGTTTCTGCCAACATGAGCCAGACTTCCCTCCGACGCTGCTTCTGTTTAGATTTGTTCTTCTCTTGCTTGTTTTATCTTGTTTTTTCCCCCACTTGTTTTCACTCTCAGCTCAGCAGCTGGAGAGTTTTGAAAGCTCCGACTTCTTCTCCTCGCTGCTCTGCTTTGACTTGCCTCTCCTCATTATCCAGTAGTGAGGAGTCGGCCTTGATCACAGATCTGTGCGGGATGTAGATCTGCCGGTCGGGGTTACGAGAGACGACTCGTCTTTGTCTCGGCTTTGACTCTGGTTCAGTTGATGAGAAGCGTCTGCTTTTTTGTGAGGAGCTACAACAGCACGTCTTCGTGTTTCTCCAGAGCTCCTGAGAGACTGTTGCTGCTAATTTTTTATTTTTGTGTGTGTTGTGCTGAAGCAGTTTGCTCATAGTTTGACGCTCCGCAGGTAAGGTGTGTTGTTTTCATGTCAGGTGTCAGAGAATAGATGTGACACAACAGGAAAATGTGAACCTGGTGGAAACTTTTAAAGTCTAGGAGTTCAGTTGGCTGTTAAAATTCACAATAGTTCCATTATTTTCCCAGATAACTGGATTGTTTTTGCAGAATAACTCAAAATAACTTCAAACGGCGATGTAGGCCGAGGCAGGGACTGATTGGGTTTTGATCAGGATCAATTAGCACTAAAGGAAGAAATAAAAAAGGAAAACTGAATTATATTTATTATTTAGAAGGAAGATGGATCCTGTCACGATAACTACTAATTGCAATAAATTATATCATTGCCATTTTAAGACCATTTTATGCCACTGATACAATGATAAACAAACAACATCCTGTAGTCACATCTTAAGTTATTTAAGGAGGAAGTTGACTGAGGCTTGCTCAACTTTTATTGGAGCACAGAGTGAAAAGGGGCGGGAGCTCCGACATAAGTGTAGCTTGACTCGAGATGCTGATTGTCTTTAAGGAACATTACAACCTTTTACTCTCGTCTCTTTGATCAGTCCAAACAATCTGTTCCTAAATGTTTGGTCCTCAGAGGGTTGTTGACCTGTTGCAGTTGATAACCTGTTGTTAACCAGGTATCTGCTCACTGCTGGTTGCTTCCTGTCTGCCGCATTAACCTGAATGTCCATCTGCTACCAGCTGCTAAATGCTAACGCTAACGTCTGAAGCAAGGTTTCACTCCCGAGCTGCTTTCGCTTTGTCGAGTTGTGTTTGTGCGAAACATTAAACACAAATCTCTCTTTATTCTTATTTATCTTTTACATCTTCTACTCGGTCGTCCTGACGTCCCCCTCACCACATGGTGTGTGTTTGTGTGTGTGTGTGTGTTTTGTATCACAGGACAGCTACAGCTCTCAGTGTGTGTCCAAGCCCCCCACCCCCTCCCCCATGTCCCCCAGCTCAGCTAGTCTGTCCTCCTGTCACGGGGAGGACAGTGATAGCATTAGCAGCCCTGCCTGGCCCAAGACGTCCACCAGCCCTGTAAGTGCAAAGCAAAAGCACATATATTTTTGTGTATTTTATATTTTTATTTTTGAGGGTTCTGCTGTGTGTAAATGTCAAATCGTGCTACATTTATTGGACTTTCATCAACGTTAAATCCTACTTCTTGCTGCCGATGTGTGAAAACCTCGTACTCTCAGCTCGAGCTCTGTTATAACTCAGTGGTTCCCAAACCTGAGGGGGGGGGGGCAGTCCTTCTGGATTTTAAGGGTTGTAAGAAAACTTTATTAACTGTAAGTTTAGTAACTTTATAAACTGTATATTTTATAGTTTTCAAGAAATAATTTGCTCAAAATTCATCCAAATCTCTCGTTTTACACAAACTTCCAGCAGTTATTGAGTTCCCTGTTTGGGTTCATTGTACAGTTTATCAGCTGTTCTCTACTGTTATTGTTATTGAATATAATATGAAATATCCATAAAATAGTCAGTTTACTCAATGATAGAAAAACGGGTCCCTTAAATAAAAAGGTTGGGAACCGCTGTTATAACAAAATGTGACCTTTTTTGGAGAAGCAAGGTTTTCATTGGACGAAGCAGCATCTGATCTTTATTATTAGTTTATGTATTTATCAAAGTCCAAAAGCTGCTTTTTTATTTATTGTAAATGTTTTGCATCGTAATTTGATTTTCTGCGTGTTTACTGTGAGACTTTCTCATTTAAAAAAGCAGAGAGTTCAAAGTTCAGTTCTAACGTCACAAAATGATCGGGTTATAGATTTTAATCTGTTGGCAGACTGTTGAGAAGAAACCTGCCTCGATACCACGATTGATTCTTATCTCACCGATTTGAATATTCACACATTTGTGTCGATAACGACCGAACTTCAATCGGATCAGTGAACTTTATATCACGTAGTCAAACTCTTACTGAAACCAGAAGAGCAAAAATCTTTCAGTCGTTCGTTGCTCCTGTTTCGATGAAGAAATTCTCTCCAGTTCTGATACAACTGACGGTAGCAGCAGCAACACTAACCTCTTTAGCAGCCGCCATTATTGTTTGACGCTGATTGGTCCGAACCAGTTTGAGGCCCGGTAAGATGGATGGGTGTCCAGCTCTCACAAGATTATACAGTGAGTGCATTCAAACCAAACCAGGGAGGAAGAGCTACAGATCATCGAGTTTGGAGTGAATCCCTTTTAAACAAATGGGGCCTAATAAAAGAACCTGTGAGAAAAAGTGCAGCAGTGCATTGAAACCTCAGAATAAAACTACGAGTACCACAATAGCAGATCCTGGGTGAAGGTTCTCTGTGGTTGAGGTAAGAAATAATATGTCAGGGAAGATTGGTTTAATTTAATTACTTTGACTCTTTGAAAAAGATGAAGAAACATTGGGAAACGATTTATGAATGAACTTAAAACACGAAACGGACTCTTTGAATTTCAACTGTTTTAATGAGAAAGTCTCGTTCTGTGACGTCTGTCAGACACCTGGTTGTTTCTGTGGTGGATCTTCTGGTTGTGTCCTTACTGTCTATCAGTGCTGCCCGACCTCCTCAGCCAGCCGTACACGCAGAATTTAACCCATTCTCAAACTACTTTACACGTATTGATCGCAGTCGATGGTTGACAGCTTTAATGGATTGGGAGCTGGACTGAAATCGAGGAGCTGTGATCAATATAGTTTTAGTAATGAACCCATAACGCTGGCAGTATTCACACTGCAGCCCTTCTAGAAACAAGTCAAATATTCTTAAGTAGAATAAACATTTTCTTGTAAAATAACTATTTTATTTGACTAGAATTCTTAAAACAATCAAATAGAACAAATTTAAAAAAGTTGGGCTTAAATGCTCAATCAATGAAAACTCAGTTATTTAAGATTCTTAAAGTAAGTATTTTTATTTCACTTTATTGAGCTGAATTTAAGAATTTGTACTTTAAAATCTTACAATAAGACACAATTTCTTCAAACAGCATAAAAACAATCAGTCACTTTGTGTTAAAAGAAGGAACCGGAAACATTGTTATTTTTATGATTTCTTATTAAAACAATAAAAAACTGAACAGCTGACGACTTTCTCTTAAACTGAGAAGTTGTGCTTTTACTCTGAAAATAAGGACAATAATCTGGTTCCTCTGCTGGGATATTATGCAATCATTGTTGGTAAATTAAGCTCAATATTAACTGGAATATTTTTAAACTGATTTCCCAGAAACAAGATGTTTTTACTTTCTCTAGATTCCTTTTTTTTAAGTCATTTAACCAGCAACATTTCTTACTGGAACCACTTTTAGACAATCTTGCTTATTTGAACAAAAGCTTTGTTCTGAATTTGTGGATGTTGAGTTTTCAGAATAAAAGCAGATGTCTCAAATGTTTCTAACACTAATCTGCAGTAAAGGAAACATAACTGACTTTGAGTCTCAGTGTTGGGACCAACAGGATGCTGGTAGGATATGAAATGAGAGGTTTGGTAGCACTGTTTTGTGTTTGTGTTGTTGTGATGTGACAGAACTGTTGTGTAGGACTGCACAATATTCAAAACATCTGTAGTCGTACAACACCAAACTCACGTTGTTTCTCATTATGAAGATGCAGACCGTGATTTTATTCTCACTGGAACAAATTGACTTTGATTTTTAATGAATTTATACAAAAAAACTTGGAACTATTTTTTCAGTTTTCACTTTCTAAAGCAAAAAAAGCCTAAAAACATCTGTTTTTAGAGAAGTTGCCATGAAATTAGGCCGTTAAGCGTTTTCTCTCCTGTAGTGATATTTCTGATACTTTTTATTTTATTTGTCACGTTATTCAGAAATCAGCCTACATTGATAGAAATATACTTTATTGTCCCCATGGGGAAATTTTACTTGAACTCTACAAAACATTAAAAAGTACACAGAAATACAAATAATACCAAAACAAATACTAAAATACACACAATTAATCAATTAATCAATCAATCAATCGTGTGATTACTGCCTCCACCTCAGTACCTAATAATGGAAGTCTCTGTTTCCATCAATATATCATAAAGCAAAGTGTCGTCTTAGTGAAGTTTGATGGAAACGACAAAATTCAAAGAAACTTCCTCAATTTCACAAAGAAGTTTTTACTCGTTTCATTTTTGATAAAAAGAGTTAAAGCTCTTAATGGAAGATAGAAACACTCATTCTGAATAAGTTCTGACGTCACAAACATTTAACTCACGACTGATCCAGTTTCCTCATCGCTGCCGTGACTCAGGTAACACAGGTCTGATGCAACCTTCCTCACATCAGCATCATGTTTACATCCTGTTCTCTGTATTTGATTTTCACCATTTGAGCTTCCACAGGTGCTGATTTATTACGTCATCAGCTCTTAATAATAATTCTGATTTATTCGGATCAGATTTTCTTTATCTGGCTGATCATTTTTGAATGTGGCCCAAGTCAGTCTTGAAGTGACCAATCAGTCAAATAGATCTAGAGTGACATTAAAAGTCTTGAATTCTGATTTGTTCAGACTGAGGTCACATTGACAATAAATTAGATCTGATCTGGACCACATATGAAAGTTTCCCAAATCAGAACTGATCAGATTCAGTGTGATTTGTCATTAATCAGAGTTACTTGGATGGAAACTCGGCTACCGACCGTCAGTCTCTGGCTTTATATTAAGTTCTGGTGGACTTTGGCTGCTTCGTGCTGTGACACAGGTTTCCTCCCGTGTGTGATTTTCAGTGGTATTGTGCAGTCCTTCCTTCCTTCCTTCCTTCCTTCCTTCCTTCCTTCCTTCCTTCCTCCCTTCCTTCCTTCCTTCCTCCCTCCCTCCCTTCCTTCCCTTCCTTCCTTCCTTCCCTTCCTTCCTTCCTTCCTTCCTCCCTCCCTTCCTTCCTTCCTTCCTTCCTTCCTTCCCTTCCTTCCTTCCTTCCTTCCTCGGTGAGTGTGAGTCTGACCGTGGTCTCCGTGTCTCGGTCTCTCCAGAAGCCCAGCGCAGCCACCATGACAAACGAAAAGATCACTCGGCTGTATGAGATGGGCTCGGAGCCGGAGAGGAGGATGTGGGTGGACCGGTTCCTGTCCTTCATGGAGGAGAGGGGGACGCCGGTCCCGAACCTGCCCGCCGTGGGAAAGAAACCTCTGGACCTCTGCAAACTGTACCTGGCCGTCCGAGAGATCGGAGGCCTCGCCATGGTGAGAGACTCTTCCTCTCTCTGCTGTTGTCTTCTAATGAATATTTGAGTTCAACATTCGATGGACAGAAAATAATGACCTCCTCCTCCTCCTCCTCCTCCTCTTCTTCCTCCTCCTCCTCCTCAGGTGAATAAGAATAAGAAGTGGAAGGGGTTGTCGTCCCAGTTGAACGTGGGGACGTCCAGCAGCGCGGCCAGCTCTCTGAAGAAGCAGTACATCCAGTACCTGTTTGCCTACGAGTGTAAGGTGGAGCGAGGGGAGGAGCCCCCGCCCGAGGTCCTCGGAGCCGCCGGAGACCCCAAGAAACCTCCGTCGCTCCAGGCCAGGATCCAGCCTCCCTCCCCAGGTGAGGAATCACCTGTTTCCTCTCTGAACAACCTGTAACCCGTGATGTTCTGGTCCGGCGTTTCCTGGTGATGACATGAGGAAGTATTTAAGGTGGTACCCACAAAGAGCACAGACACGAGTGTTAAGGTGGTGGAGGTGAGCGGTGAGTATTGGTGGTCATTAAGTCTTCCATCAGCCGGTGAGATAACACTCTCTTCTTCGTTGGTACGCTGTTCTCCGGCTGTGACATCACTTCCTCTGTGGATCAGCTGACAGGTATCATCGAGCGTTGTGACTCTTTCTGTAGATGATGTCTGAATGAAGCTGTGAGGAAGCTTTACATCAGAGACAGAAGAGTCAGCAACGTCTCTCACACACACACACACACACACACACACACACACACAGACACACACACACACACACACACAGACACACACACACACAGACACACACAGACACACACAGACACACACACACACACACACACACACACACTCACGCAGTCTCACTCATCTGATTATGTAACAGAAGCAGAGTGAGTTGTCAGGCGGGGGAGGAGAGAGTGAATGTAAACATCAGTGACCTCAATCTGACCTAATTCCCACGATGCCTCTCTCTCTCTCTCTGTCTCCCTCTGTCTCTCCCTCTGTCTCTCTCTCTCTCCCTGTCTCTCTGTCTCTGTCTCCCTCTCTCTCCCTCTCTCCCTCTCTCTCTGTCTCTCTCTCTCTCTGTCTCTCTCTCTCCCTCTGTCTCTGTCTCTCTCTCTCTCTCTCTCTCTGTCTCTCTCTCTGTCTCTCTCTCTCTCTCTCTTTCTATAATAAACAGAGTTTATTTAGCTGATTTAGCCACTTTCATCCCGTTTCCTGGAATTATAAAATAAATTCTGCTGCACAAACATCGTAGTGATTGAGTTTCTTTTACCACACGAATAATAATATATAAGAATATATATATAATATATATATATATTTTGTAGATACTGTGTTTTCTCTTTTTAATGATCAGCCTAAAACTACGTTACGTACTTAAAAACCTTTTTTTCTTAACCTCACTGCTGCTGGTCCTCCATAAAACAGACCTCAGACCTCTACCGGAACCAGTCTGGTCCATATTCTGGTGATATTTCTGTTCCACAGACTCTCCTGGTCCACCTCTTTTTGTCTGAATAACTGCGGTGTGACGTTACATGATGACACGAAACCCTTGTTCTCAGCAGGTTTTCTGTCTGGTCTGTATCTCTGCAGCCAACTCGGGCTCCCTGCAGGGCCCCAACACCCCTCAGTCCAGCAGCAGCTCCCTGACCGAGGCCCCTGGAGACCTGAAGCCCCCGACCCCGGCCTCCACCCCGCACAGTCAGATGGGCCCCCAGCCTGGAAACAGGTAGAGCTCAGATCCTAAACTCACCGGGTCCCACTGAAGGGTTCAGTCTGGTGTCACATTATATTTTGAGTTTAAAGTGGATAACGTTTGTGTGCGATGGCCCCTGAAAATAACAAATAAACCAAATAGTAGAGGCCCCATGATCGAGCCTTGTGGCACACCTCATCTAAAATTAACTCTTTTAAGGTTTCTGAGTGACATTGTGCTGTAATGACTTTCTAATGAGATTTTATGAGATCAGCATGAGTTTATACTCTATATCTAATATTTGTATTTACTCATTTATTTTACTGTTTTTATATTTAATTCCATATTTTTTTTATTGTCTACCACTTTAACCATCCTGATGTTCCATCATCGTCTTCCCTCTACCATGTTTTCTTGTTCTGGGCTCTTTGTTGTTAAATTGCTTTTGTCAGTGTTGTGTTGTGTTACAAGTTTAAAGCCAAACTTTGGGTTCATGTTCTTTCTGTTAATCTCTCAGGAACATGGGAGGAGTGAGCGTCCAGGACCCGTTCTCTGAAGGCAGCGATCCAGCCTTCCACAACAAGCGAGGCCCGGGACCCGGCGGCGCCCCCTACCAGCAGGGAGGAGGACCAGCAGACCCCTCAATGAGGATGCAGTACGACGCCAACAAAGACCCGTACGGAGGACCGAGGAAAGGTGAGGAGAGAACAGAAGAAGAAAGAGGATTCTAGGATGATGAAAGGGATACGGCTGTATTCACAGAGCCGTCACTGAACACAGATTTTAAGCAGATATATGTTGTGAAAAGGTACAGACTCATTCCTCCGGCAGCCCAGTGGTTGTGACCCATCATCAGCCCGACTGATCCAGAACCACCTCGGACACAAAGTGAAACCAGTTAATCATCTGAAGCCGTCGTAGAGAAGGAACCAGAGCTGTGGATGGAAACGTGTCTTTATTCAGGCCTTCAGTCTCAGCCGCTGTGCTCTGCTGCCCCCTGGTGGTCACACAGTTTCACTTCAGCCCCATTTAAAGGACGTGTTTCATATGTTAGTCTGTTAGCTCGTATTGCATTCACATTACATCACCACATTACATCACCACGTCACATCACCACGTCTGTCAGCAGTAATATGTTAGTGAAAGACAAGCAGATAATATTAATCATTTCTTTAATGATTAATTTTATCTGCTTGGTTCAGAGCAGTTTTTATTTTTACCAAATGAACTGATGTGTTTCTACCTGTTCCCCTCCAGGTCCAGGACCCGGTGAGGCCTTTGGTCCCGGTCAGATGCCCAGCGGTGCCATGCAGGACATGTACCCCCGCGGGCCGCCCTCTGGGCCCCTTACAGGGATGGGCCCCAGACCCCAGTACCCCTACGGCCCCGGGTACGAGCGCAGGTGAGATTTTAATGATGTATTTCTACCTCGTGACGCACCTGAATGATTGTTGTGTTCATACAGTGGGAAAGGTCTTCACTCCACTGACCCAATGTTATCACATCCAAATCCATTTAAGATTTACTGACATACAAACAACCAAGACTAATACAATCCAATAATCTGGATTGTATTTCTTATGTTTTGTACTTTGTTTCCAGTGTGGAAGTAAAATCTTAAATTACATCATAAAGGTTTCAAATGTGAGCAGCTGTTTATTTTCTACCAATCAGAGGTTCTCAGTGTGTCTGTGGTCCTTTCTCTGAACTGCAGGCCGGAGCATGTGATGGGGCCTGAAGGAGGCATGGCGCCCCCTGGAGGTCAGAACAACATGGGTCCATCTGGAAACGAGGCCGGCATTTACCCCAACAGATACCCCCCCCAGAGGTAGAAGAACCAACATCTGTTTGTACGCTGATGTTGAATACGAGCGGAAGAAACTTTATCTGTTTTATCTTCTTCAGACACGGACACGACGGTTACGGGCAGCAGTATCCTCACAGCATGGCCTACACTTCCCATCAGCCCCTGTTTCCTCAGCAGCAGGTCAGAGGAAGTTCCCAGCTGATATTTTCTGTCCAATCAGGGTCTTTGTTTGTCAGGAGCTCTCTGATTGGTTGTCTCTGTCGTGTGTCTCCAGGGTTACAAGCGTCCGATGGAGGCGCTCTATCCTCCGGCGAAGCGTCACGAAGGCGAAGCGTTCGCCGTGCAGCAGTTCGGCTCCCAGCAGCCCGACATGTTCGGCCCCTACGGCGGGGGGGGCGGAGGAGGCTACATGGGCCCCGAGCGGCGGCCGGTCCAGAGCCAGTACCCGTATCCGTACCCGCGGGACCGGCAGGGGCCTCCGCAGCACGCCATGATGGGCTCGGGACCGCCGGCGGTGAGCGGGGGACCCGGGGGACCCGGGGAGGGGCCGCAGGCCAACATGTGGCACCCCAGGACTGACATGGGCTACACATACAGCCGGCAGGGCCAGGGGCCCCCCTACCCCGGCCTGGGGCGGGGTGACGACCAGGAGGGCAGGGCCCCCCAGGACAGCCAGTGGCCCCCCAGTCATCCAGGCCAACGCCAGCCCCCATACCCTCCTCCCTCCTCCTCCTCCTCTTCCTCCCCCCTCAATCCCCCCCTTCCCTCCAGACAGCCCCCCTCCTCCTTCCAGGCCACGCCCACTGTCCCTAACCATGTGACCCGCTCTCACAGCCCCTCCTCTTTCCCCCGGCCTCTGGGGGGGCTCTCTGTCCCCCAACAGCGCCCCCTATCTGCCCTCCATGAAGAAGCCCGCGCACCCCGGCGTCCCCCCGGCCCCCCGCCCGCTCAGAGCCTCCACCTCATCCACAGAGAGGTCAGCTTCCCCCCCAGCTCTGTGGAGGCCACGCCCCCCAAACTGAAGCCCCGACGCAGGTTCACCGCCAAGGACACGGGTGAGGACACACACACACACACGCACGCACACACACACACACACACACACACACACACACACACACACACACACACACGCACACTCTCTGACTCTCTGTCTCGTCCAATCAGGAACCCCGGAAGCGTGGCGGGTGATGATGTCACTGAAGTCCGGCCTATTAGCCGAGAGCACCTGGGCTCTGGACACCATCAACATCCTGCTGTATGACGACAGCACGGTGGGCTCCTTCAGCCTCACACAGGTCAGACACACACACACACACACACACACACACACACACACACACACACACACACACACACACACTGTATTGATCATTGATCGATCAGCTGACCTCCTCCTGTTCTCCTGCAGCTGCCGGGCTTCCTGGAGCTCATCGTGGAGTTTTACCGCCGCTGCCTCATCCAGATCTTCGGGATCCTGGAGGAGTACGAGGTTGGAGCCGAGGGCCAGAGGACGCTGTTGGGACCGCTGCTCGACCCCCCCGAGGAGGAGAAGGAGGCGTCGCCGGCCGCCGCCTCCGAACCCAACGACCAATCAGTGGAGGAGCAGAGGATACCGAGGAGCTCGGCGGAGGAGATGGAGGCGGCGCCGTCGCTGCTCGTGGTCACACCCGCCGCCGACAACGCGAACGACGGCGAACCTGTCGTCAAAGAGGAGGCGGAGGTGAAGGAGGAGCGCCAGGAGCCGGCGGAGCCCCGCCCCCCGCAGGCCAGCAAGTACGACAGGCTGCCGATCAAGGTGGAGGAGACGGGGGAGGAGTGGGAGGAGGTGGAGGAGCGCTGGGCCGAGCTCCGCCGACCCAACGGCTTCATCAGCGGCCTCCTGCACTGGAAGGCCGGAGGAGGAGACTCCACCGCTCACATCCAGACCGGAGACTCCACCCCCACCGACCCCCCAGGGGAGCGGGACGAAGGGGGGAGGCAGGAGAGAGGGGGAGGGAGGCAGGAGGAGGCGGAGGGAGGCAGCGAGATGAACCTGCCAGCGGGTGAGGAGACGCCACCTGAAACAGAAGAAGGTAAAGAGGGGGGGGGGAGGAGGAGGAAGAGGAGGAGGTTCTTGATAACGAGGCCTTTTAGACAGGCTGCATTAGCATAACAGAGGAAGAGCTGCATTGTGGGTAATGTAGTTTCCGTTGCAGTGCTGCTGTTCGACCACCAGGTGTCTCTGTTCGCTGAGGATTTAGTGTTCAACCAGGTGAACTGATGTCTTCTGTCTGTGGTTGTAAACTGTCTCTCTCTCTCTAGGCTCGCTGTCGGAGGTCTGGGGTCAGAGGTCACCGGCTCAGAGTCCCATCAGCCAGCTGGATGACGAGCCTCGCTGCTGGGACGAGGCGCCGCTGTCCACCGCCGAGAGCTGGCAGGACTCTCTGGCCAAACGCTGCGTCTGCATCTCCAACATCGTGCGCGGTCTCTCCTTCGTCCCCGGCAACGACGCCGACATGTCTCGGCACCCCGGCCTGGTTCTGATCCTCGGCCGGCTGGTGCTGCTGCACCACCACCACCCGCGCAGGAAACGGACGCCGCCCAGCTACCAGCGGGAGGAGGAGCAGGGGCTGGCCTGCAGCCGGGACGAGTGGTGGTGGGACTGCCTGGCGGCGCTCAGGGAGAACACGCTGGTGACGCTCGCCAACATGTCGGGCCAGTTGGACCTGTCGCTGTACCCGGAGAGCGTCTGCCTGCCCATCCTGGACGGGCTGCTGCACTGGATGGTGTGCCCGTCCGCCGAGGCCCAGGACCCGTTCTCCTCGGCGGGCGGCTTCTCCTCGCTCACGCCGCAGCGGCTGGTTCTGGAGTGTCTGTGCAAGCTGAGCATCCAGGACTGCAACGTGGACCTGCTGCTCGCCACGCCGCCCTTCAGCCGCCAGCAGAAGCTGTACGCCACGCTGGTGCGCCTCATCGGCGAGCGGAAGAGCCAGGTGTGTCGGGAGATGGCGGTGGCCGTGCTGTCCAACCTGGCGCAGGGCGACCCGACGGCGGCGCGCGCCGTGACGCTGCAGAAGGGCAGCGTGGGAACTCTGATTGGCTTCCTGGAGGACAGCGTGGCCATGGCGCAGTACCAGCAGAGCTCGCACGGCATGCTGCACGCCGCCGCGCCGCCGGAGCCGCCCAGCATCAACATGATGTGCCGCGCCGCCAAAGCGCTGCTGGCCATGGCGAGGGTGGAGGAGAACCGGGCGGAGTTCGTCCTGTACGAGAGCCGGCTGCTGGACATCTCGCTGTCGGCCGCCCTCAACGCCTCGGTCGCCGCCATCATGTGTGAAGTACTGTTTAAAATCGGCCGCTCGTGACACGAACACCGCCACGGAGCGCGCTCAGTGGAAGCGGCTCCGCCCATGTGACGAACTGGCTCCGCCCATGTGACGAACTGGCTCCTTATTATATTTTTATTTAAAGAACAGAAATGTTTTTACATACAAATGAATATATATAGAATCTATTAAAGCTCCTCGGATCCATCAGAACTTTATTTCGGGTTTTTAAGTAAATTTAATACGAAAATATTTAATACTTGTATTTTTAATTTTTTTATTCTTTTGGTTTCGTTTTCGTTTTAACCAAAGTGTGACGGTGGAGAGCGCCCGGGTTCTGGCTCTTCTTCGTGGTGGTTTGTTTTGTGTTTGCGGGGCTGTTTTTGGGGGGCGGGGTCTGTAGATACGCTGACGTTGTTTTGTTTTCGGTGCAATAGGTTTCGTTTTGTTTCTACTTTTTAAATGTGAATCATTTAAACCATCCGCAGTCCGACCATCAGTATTTCTGCCGACACACAAACGGTATCAAACGTCTCCACCGTCGTCCTCCGACTGTAAATAGACGACCAACATCGACTCTGTGATGAATCTTCATCGTTTATCATCTTCGTCTCTTCCCGGCAGGCGAAGACTCGACTCTGTATTTAAGGAGAAATCTTCAGTTTCAGGACGTTATTTTTGGGATCTGGGAGGGTGTGTTTGATTTAAGAGTCTGTACAGTGAGGGGGGGGGGGGAGGGGAGGGGTGGGGTGGGGGGGGCTGTAATCATGTTGCTAACTGACACAACTTTAAAAAAACAACAGTTATAAGAAATGTAAAGAGGAGAAGAAGAATCTGGACTTCCTGAACGTCTCCTGTTTGTTCAGTATGAGATCTTTATATGTTCCACAACAAGAATAAAAACGTACATGAACTCTGGTTGAGCACTGTGAACTGTGAACGCAGCTCTCGACTCCTTCTGTCAACTTTAATGTTTATTTATTATTTATGTTCGTTCAAAAGGACAAAGTGGGAGAGAGTTTAGGGATTTAATATAATTAGAATAAAGTAAAAAGTCATGTTTTGAGAATAAAATCAAACATTTGTTTATTATTATGAAATTCTATTTAAAATGTAAAGATAAAATATTGTGAAAAACATTCGAAGCACAAATAATTATATAACATTATATATAACATTTATATATTTATTTACTGCAGAACAGTATTAACTAATCATCTTCAGTATTTTCAAAATAAAATCATTTATCCGCTGTAATATTTTTTAGTAGTTTCATACGAGTTTAAATTTCCCCTGAAGACCTTCAGAACAACCAAATGATTATTATCATTATGTATATTTTTACTTTAGTTATTTTTACACATTATTGTTTGTTTTTGGGTTTATTTGTTATTTTTACTTTAGTTTTAATAAACTATAAAAACCTTTGTTACCAGTTAAAGTCCATCAGTGTTCTCAGCTTCATGCAGTAAAACTGAAATCTGACTTTATGTGAGATAATTGGATTAATAATTAATTGGTGATCAATGTTATAGCAGCATTGGGTCCAGTGGTTCCCAACCTGGGGGTCGGGCCCCTCCAAAGGGCCACCAGATAAATCTAATTAATATAATAAATTAAAATCTAAAGTGGTCACAGGCCTTAAAGCACTGAACTAGTTTACAGACACACGTATGTTACAACCAGTCCGGACTTCAGTCCATCATGAGACAGAACTCATCATGGAGCAGCAAAAATGTTTCCTCTTCCTCCTCTTCTTCCTCTTCCTCATCCTCATCCTCTTCATCCAGAGGAAGTGTAATAAAAATAAACAAACACACTGAAGGTCAAATCGCAAGTTCATGTTTAAAAGGCACAAACACAAACACACATCTTTACAAATATACACAACGAGTGGAACCAGAACTGGAACCAGAACTGGAACCAGAACCGGAACCAACTGGAACCAGAACCGGAACCGACTGGAACCAACTGGAACCAACTGGTCTCCACTGATTCTCTGAGAGTCTCTGGAGCTTCATGTCAGCAGTTTCCGTCCGTTTCCAGCAGCATCAGGTTACTTTGACTTGAAGACGGCGTCCCAGTCTGGAGGTTCTGACCCGGCTGCAGACGCGGTGGACTTTGGGATGGACGGGAACAAGGACTGCATCTTCTGTCTGAACTCCGACAGCTGGAAGAGACGAAGAACGTCAGAGAAACATTGTCAGTTAATTTATCATCGTCCTTCTGTGTCGTACCTCAGAGGAACAACAACAACAACAACAACAACAACAACAGTTTTTTGAGCAGCAGAGATTTTAACTGATAGAACTAAACTTTTAATGTCTGTTTTTATTTCTACAAACATTTTAATGTTAGGATTTTATGAATATTAAATTATTCTAGAAATTAAAAGATTTTAAATTTATTTTCTAAATTTTTAAATCTATCAATTTTTGCTCAAAATATTTTCAATTTAATATTTTTTTCTTGCAATATTACATTTTAAATTAGAAAAATAGAAAACGTTACTTTATTCTCACTATTTATCCCTCAAAACATTTCAATATTCTAGAAATGTAACAAATGTTTAGATTTTTAACATTTCACTAAATATTTTCACTTTTTCAAGTTTATGACTTTTATTTATATTCTAGCAAAAAATATTCTGAATACTTTAAAAAAAAAAAACAACTTTGACTTTATTCTTTATTGTGCAGGTTCTTTTGCAATCAATCAATCAATAACTATATGAACTGAAGCTCCTTATCTGTAGATTAACATTATAATCTTACACATTAATATAATCTTACACATTAATATAATCTTACACATTAATATAATCTTACACATTAACATTATAATCTTACACATTATTATAATCTTACGTACGCTGTGAACATCCAGAAGTTTCCACACAGTGAAACTGATCAGTCCGACTCCACAGCAGGCGAACAGAGAGCCCCAACCCAGAGCTCTGAGGGCCAGAGAGGCTCCGCTCTCCGGGGCCGCCGCCGTCCCCACGACCCCCTGACAGAGAGACACTTAAGAGACTAAGACGATGTAAAGACGACGTGAAGACAAACAGCTTCCTGACAAAGTTCAACTGTTTGTCTTTTTCAGACGTTCCGATTTAAAAGAGCGAGTTTGTTCCGTCGGTTCGGTTGTTAAAGTAAAACAAACAAATTAAAGAGACAGAAAGATTTAACTTTAACCATGAACACTGAAGGAATCCTAACCGGGAGAAGCTGACTGCAATGACGCCAATGGTGGTGAAGACAACAACTCCCATGATCCCACGCTGCTTCACCACCTCATCATATTCCTGTTTTCCTATAGTTTTAATGTGAGCGCCCCCTAGTGGCAGGAAATGTACATTTAATTATTTTAGGCTCAAACTATCTCTGGTGTCTGAATTCAGTTTTTATATTAAAGTATTGATCTGAAAGAAAACCATAGAAAGGTGTAATAACATCAATATGAAGCTCACAGTAACTTTTATTGTCCGAACTGTGAATTAAAGTGAATTAAAGCCGCAGTTTGAGATGAAACTCGAGCAGAAACATTCCTGAAGCTCCTCATTTCGTCTCACGTCACTGCTATCTGGGGCCGACGTAGACGACAAAGACGAGTCTGTGACGGGAATAGAGTCTGGGAACAAACGCCCGATTGTGCCTCCACATCAAGTTTATCTCGGACACAAACGTCCGTGTGCGTCACGTTTAATCAGATCCTGCGAGCAGCCAATAATCACACAGTCACAGCGAACCGCTTAACGGACACATTTCATGGACCGTTTCTCCTCCGCACTGCTTTCAGGTCGACCTCTGGAGGAATGTGTCCAGATGTTTTCTGCTCGGTCGCTCAGAGAGTTTAAACTCTGAAACTGATCCAGTTAGAAATCTGAGCAAAACGGGACGAACTGAGATCATCGATTGCTCCTCACGCTGTCGACACGTTGTCCTCAGCAACTACTTTTATAGTTGTCACCAGTTTCTCAAACCTTTTCATCCTGTTTGTTCACATTTAGTCAAAGTTCTGTGTTAGCAGGTTAATACCAGTCACAATGCACCAGACTCCATAAAGAAAAACCTCTATTTTATTCTCACAGATCATCGTAACTTCATTAAAGTGAACACAGAATAAAACTCATTAAAACCGTCTCTGCTCCAACAATCACCAGCTCGGGTTTGATCCTTCATTCAGTAACTTCTACTAGAACACCTTCCTGTTGTATCAAAAGATAAACGTATAAAATATGAAGCTGATTAATCGACAATGAACACAAACGTTGGCTGCAGCCCTGAAACCTGCTGAAGGGTTTTATTCTTTATAAACTCTAAACAATCAGTTTTATGTGGTTTCAGGTCATTAAAGTTCATTTCGTAACGTTTCCGACTGAAAGGAACGTTGGAGCGTAACCGGAAGCCACAAACAAGCTGCACTGATATCTGAGATGGATCAATAACCCCCCCCAATGAACTGATGGAGTCCTGTACCTTATTAAACCAGTTGGGGCTTTTTTTCTTGGCGAGCGCCAACGTGGAGCCGAATCCTGCGATCATCCCGGCGGACGCCACCGTGGTCAGGAACGCTGCACCTGCACAGGAAGAGAGACGGCGTCAGTGAAAGTACAGACATCCAAAATGTGTTTCTGACTTTATAAATAAAGAATATTTCAGTGTTAGAGGAGTTGAGTTAATACAAAGGAACAACAAATACCAGATTCTGATGGATTTTATTGAGCCGAACTGATCAGAAGAACTTAATGTTTCAGAAACAACATTTAATAATATTTAATGTTTCAGGCCGAACGCTCGACAAACACAGGAAACTTAAACTGCAGACGTTTTAAATGGAGTCTGGTAGTCTTGTTTTATTACACACACAGAAATTATAAATACAGCAACAGACTTATTTCGTGTTTCCAAGGTGAATGATTAAGGAAACATTAAAATGTCAGATTTTTAAGAGGAGTCTGGTGTGGAAAAGGGAAGATATAAATAAATGTTCTGCTTTAAAAATCCTTTTTCCAAATGTGTTTTTGAATGGAGAGTCAGTGTGTAAAGTCTGACTTTATAATCTTTGTCTCAACTTAACAAACAACATTTACATTAAGAATATTCACATTCAATCAGTGAGCTGCTCTTCGCTTTATACTTCAGCAGAAGTTGAATAAGAAGAAACAAATGAGGGATTTTGATGGATTTTATTGAGCCGAACTCATCAGAAGAACTTAATGTTTCAGAAACAACATTTAATTATATTTAATATTTTAGGTTAAATATTTAACAACCACGGAAAACTTAAATTGTATTAGTTTTGAATGGAGTCTGGTGTGACGGTTTTAATGCACGGCTGGAGAGCAGCGGACACATTTAATATTGACAAGATGATAGAATAAAGATTAAAACGGCAGATTTTTGAATGGAGTCTGGTGCAGAGAGTGAGCCGACATTGTTGTGACCTCAGACAGGAAACCGCTGATAAACAACAACAAGCTAACAATGCTAACAGCCACTGCTAATGTAAACTACATGCTAACACGCTAACTTGCCTTTTAAGAAGTGTAGTTTCGCCTCTTCATCACTTTCTGCTGCCACAGCTGAGTCTTCATCACGGGCTGCTGTCATGTTGCTCCGGTCCGTCTGGGTAAAGCGACCGGGTAGACACAAGGTAGCTAGGAACGTTTGAACGTCGTTTTTTATCATATATTCATTAATAACAGTAGAACATGATTATGTGCTAAACTTAAAGTCACATGTGGGTTATTATGGTATGTAGGAAACACTGCATGTATTTTATTTTACATTTTTAAGGCGAGTTTTTGTTTAGTGTTTCGGGGACGGCGGGAAAGAGACGGAATCCTGAAGCAAAGATCGTCTATTGTTGTAGAAGCTGTGGCGGCAGAGACGAGGAGGTCTCACTCTGTTCCCTAAAACTATTCGAGTTTGAGATTAGATTATATCAGATTATTAATAATATATAAAATCATAATCTGTTATATAATCAGTTAAAGCAGCAAATAAATGTAATGGAAGAGCAAAACAGGATAAAATGGGAATATTAAAGTAGCACAATATTAAGAGCAGTACTTAATTAAATATACAATATTGATTATAATTATAATTAATAATGTGAATATATTTTTTTATTATACATCACAAAATGGTAAATGAAAATAAAACATAGAAACTCAAACTACAAAGATAATTATTATCAAACTGGATCACAAAGAACTTTTTTTATTTATGAAATTACAAACATTCAAATTTAATTTAGACAAAATGAAGAAAAAAGTAAAATATAAATGGGCTATTGTGCTTTCTGTATAATATAATGAACAGAGGTTTCTTAGAGCTTTGACATAAAAAGCAAAAGGATCAATGTGATACACAAAAAGTGATTAACTATAAAATAATGGAACAATAATGTAAATATCTGTTCTGAAACTATTATTTCCTTTACAGACAACAGCTACTGTTCGACAGATGTCGTTAACTACAAACTTTATTTATCAATTAACCTTATTGTAGAACAATATTAACTGTAAATTAAAATATATATTTAAGGTTTAACCTGTAAAATAACCAACAAACACCAAACAGACACTTTGAGCTCTGAGCTGGAAACTTATTCGGCTCATTTACTGCAGTAAAAGTAAAAATACTCTATTACAAGTAAAAGTCCTGCATTGAAAATGAATAAACAAGTAAAATCAGTAAAATGTAGTTAAACTGACTGTTTTATATTACTATAAAATATACTATATATATATATATATATACTATTATATATGATATCAGTACACACACATTAATACATTTAAATACTAACACACGGATGACATTTCTTTAAATAACAGTTATATTGAACATATTGTCTCTGTTTTTATATTTATTTATGTTTATTTATATTTATTTATGTTTTATTTATGTTTATTTATATTTTATTTATGTTTTATTTATATTTATTTATGTTTTATTTATGTTTTATTTATATTTATTTATGTTTTATTGTTACTAAAGCAGCTCTCTTCTATGTGAAATCCTGTCTTTCCTCCTCGGAGTGGTTCCTCCTCTCAGTGGAAGATCTGTGTCTCGGAGCTCCAGCAGCTCTGCGGAGGATCAGGATGCTCTTCACGTCCTCCTCCTCCTCCTCCTCCTCCTCCTCTTCCTCACCGACACAGACCCTCTGATCCTCCACAGCTGTCTCCAGATCCGGACACCCGGTCCTCCTGCAGGCTCCCCGTCCAGAACCGGACCCACCACCCGGGATACAGAGGCTGGATTATGTGAGAGGGACGCTGCCGGGGCGCGAGGCGGGGGTGTTGTGGTGGTGGGTTTATCTTTGGGGGGGTGGGGGGGGGGTTGTGGACCCTGCGCGCGTGCGTCTGACCACGAGTGTGTTTGTTTACGAAATATTACAAAATAAAAGCGGCTGGATTAAAGATGTCGGTTCTGCTTCTGTTCCGGATCCTGACACCAGACCCTGACCGGGGGGCTCCTTTGGGGGGCTGACTGAACGCACCAGCAGCGCGCGCACAGCTCTGTTATCAGTTCTTTATTCACCTGTGGGCTCACCTGTGAGGACACATGTCTCAGATCCACCATGCGGCTCTGGACCAGCAGCAGCAGCCGGGTCAGTACAACCAGATCTGCACCCGCAGCAGCAGCGGCTCCTGCGCGGCCCCCAACGACGGATCGGAGCCAGCCTGCCCCGGACACCGGAGCCGGACCCCCCGCAGGAAGTGGCAGGTGTTCCCGGGAAGGAACCGGTTCTACTGTGGCGGGAGGATCATGATGGCGAGACAGACCGGGGTCTTCTACCTGACCCTGGTCCTCATCCTGCTCACCAGCGGCCTCTTCTTCACCTTCGAGTGAGTGGACACACACACACACACACACACACACACACACACACACACACACAGAGACACACACACACACACAGACACACACACACACAGACACACACAGAGAGACACACACACACACACAGAGACACACACACACACACACACACAGAGAGACACACACAGAGACACACACAGACACACACACACACACACACACACACACACACACACACACAGACACACACAGAGAGACACACACACACACACACACACAGAGACACACACAGAGACACACACACACACACACACAGACACACACACACACACACACACACACACACAGACACACACACACACACACACACACACACACACACACACACACACACACACACACACACACACACACACACACACACACACACAGACACACACACACACACACACACACACACACACACACACACACACACACACACACACACACACACACACACACACACACACACACACACACACACACACACACACACACATTCTGGGGTCTCTGACTTTGTGCTCATTCACGTCCCCACAAAGTTGTCGGACCCCACAAATACAGAAAAACGAACCTTCACACTCAGTTTCAGTCAAATAAAACAGGAAGTTGACCTTTGACCTCAGCAGTTAATGAACATTAAACTCAGTCACAACAGTTAATCAATCAATCGATTAACTGTCAGCTATTTAATTAATTTCTTTCTGTATTATGGTAAAATAATAAATAAGATGCTGCTGCACGGTAAAAACTGTCAGCTGTGGTATAAAAATAATATATTAATATATATATTAATATATTATTAACAATATATTATTAATATATTATTAATATATATATAGTTAATATATTGATTTTATAATACAGAAATGATATGAACAGGTTTTTATACACAGATGTGACTGATGGAACAGATATTATTGAACACATGGTGTTTAGCTTTATAATCACACCTGAGTAATGTACAGTCAGGTTGTGATTCATCAGCTCTGGTTTTAAAATCAAACTTCTTTTATTGGGAGAAATGCTGGAAAATGGTGGTTTAGTTCTGAGAAGTTATAATTTTAAAATCATGAGAAAAGATTAAAGAACAATATTTCTGTTTGTTATTATGTTCTAAATGACTTTTCTCTGTTTTCTTTGATGCTTCAAGCCTCTAAAAAATCCTTTAAATGAAAAAATCTGAGAAGAAAAACTGGATCAAAAGCCAGTTTAGTTTCATTTTAAAGCAAAAACCGTCGTTGTGAAGCACTGCTCTGGTGTTAGGTAATCCCTTTTATTATGATTTGTTTAGAATAAAATTCCCAGAAATAAAACAGAGTAAATGATCTGTGTCCTCAGTGACTTTATCTTTCTACCAAACCTCAGGCTGTTTTCTGCAGATTTTTTCTGCTTCAGTTCTCTGATTCGTCTCGGAGGATTTCCTCTCAACAAACACACGACGGAGGACGTGAGTGCAGAGCAGGTAGAAGGTTTCAGCCAAAAACAGCCTCAGGAGCTTCGTCAGAGCTTAATTTACCCCTCGAGTGTCACATCAACACTGATCCACATCTGACTCACAACTTATATCCACCCTCAGGTCCACAGACACTGAAACCGTTACAGATTTAGATAATTGTTTAAGGGGCTAATTGTGCAGAATCAGGTTTACAGAGCGCTGCAGGAATAAGTCCTAAAACATGGAAGTTAGTTCACATTTCACCGCCTCTGATTTCTTTTTCTTAAAGTCAGTTAATTTTTGGTTAAATGGTTGAAATAAAGTCTGTGGTTAACACAAGTTTAAGCTTGTTATCTTTCACCGATAAGTAGGAAAAAAGGCTGTTTTGTTTTGAAATAAGTTAATTTAGCTGGTGTGTGAAACACATTAAATCTGGAGATATTTTACATTTTAATGCTGAAACATTAAATATTATAGCTTGAAGTAAATGTTTAGTCTGTAAAATGTCAGAAAATAGTGAAAAATATTAATCAAATGTCTTAAAATGTCAAAAACACAAACACATTCAGTTTACTGCAATATAACAGTATAATAATTAGTCTGTAGAAGCTATTTATGAGTTATTTTATGTAGTATTTATTTTAATATATTAGATTTCTTTAGAGGAAATTAATTTGATATTTTATCTAGTCAGTATTAGTATCTAATCTCTTCGTTTGTTTAGTTTATAAACCTCAGATTTATTTAGAAGGTTGATTATTTTCTTCGTTTTTTGTTAATGTTTTGATGTGAGAGACAGAGTGGCAAACATTACAAATTGTTTAATTTTGTGTTGATTCTGGCGCCCCCTGTGGACAGAAGTGTTTCTACCATCATTGATTTCAAGGGGAAACCGACCTGGTGGCACATTAATAATAACTGTATAGAAATATCTTCTCTCTGATGGTCGTGTTTGTTTATGTAGGTCACACAGAGGCATCAGTGTTACATTGAGACTGTTTCATAACCAGTTTAAAATTCCTTGTCGTACGTTTAAATAAACAAAAACCCAAAGATTCACAAACAACAACAATAAAACACGGAGGAATCCACTGGTTGTGTTTTTCTATGTTGAAACTTGTCTTTAAATATAAAAATAGGCTCACAACAGATTCTCAGAGAGACGTCTGGAGGGTTTATTTTATTTTCTTCCTCCCACATTCCTCACTGCAACTTCCAAAACACAGCAACCCCGGTGTTTCCCGTTTCCACGGTAACCACTTCCTGCAGCTCGTGTCACTACGGTAACAGCAGGAGATGGGGGGGGGGGGGTAGGTAAAACCTTAAATTCAATTTGCCACATGTTTTAAGGTTTAACTGCTGTGGTGATTTTTATTTATTTTTTATGGGGAAAAACTAACAATTATTCCACCTCTCAGACTCAAATAAACCTTTTTTAAAACCTTTTAAACCAATAAAATCATCTCAAACGTTCATAACATTAAAACTGTCAGGCGACGCAGTGTTTGTCAGTTTAAACCAGAATCCAACTTTTAATCAGATGACAGGAGAAAGAAATACATCTTCATACGTACGTTAACACATCTGACTCCACAGAAAAGACAAACCAAATGGTTAAATATCCGTCTCAGACATATTTAATTCGTATTATATAAAATGTTATAATGTGAAGAAGTTTCTCGGAGGTGAAACTTTGTTGTTTTGGTGTATTTGTTGAACTCTGATTGTCTGCTCCGTCCTTCGGTCGGCAGCTGTCCCTTCCTGGCGTCCAACCTGACTCCGGCCATCCCGGCAATCGGCGGCATCCTCTTCATCTTCGTGATGGGGATGCTGTTCAGGGCGAGTTTCACCGACCCCGGTGTTCTGCCGCGAGCCACGCCGGACGAGGCCGCAGACCTGGAGAGGCAAATTGGTAACCATGGATACGCACGCACACACATACTGTTTTATATTTACATTTAAAGTTACGCATTTGTTTCTTTGTTTTTAATTTTTAAAAATGTTTAGTTTTTTAAACACAATAATATGGATGGTTGTTTGTTTTTGTTTTTATTTTTTTTATTTATTGTTTGACCAAACTGACTAAAACTAAAGAAATTTCCTGTATAATTAAAAAAAAAAATCTTAGTTTTATAAGGAAACAGCATTGTTTTATTCTCAAGGGACTTCCTGGTCAAATAAAGATTAAATAAAAATGAGAATAGTTTTTATTCTTATTTCAATTAACTAAAATGTTTAGTTTTAGTTTTTAATTGTAGCTATAATAACCTTAATAACTTTGGTCCAGACTTGTTCTCAACACATTTAATCAAAATAAATGTATTTATAAAGCACATTTAAAAACAACCCTTGTTGACCAAAGTGCTGCACAGACCAGAGCACATAGAGAAAACCATAATTAAATAAATTAAATTAAATTAAATAAAAGAGAAACACCATTAAAAACAAATACTGACATTAAGAAAAAATCTGTTCATGTTATATACACATAAATAAAACAATCAACCACATCAGGAGGATTCAAGCACTGGAGAATAAAACGTTTTTGAGGGAGTTGATGGAGATCTGATCACTTCTCTCTGTTTCATGTCTTGTGGAGGTTTTGTTCTTTGTAAGAAACTGCTGCAGAATAATCTGCTCACTAATGATACTGAGTCATTACAGGAAGTCAGTCACCACCTCCTCGAGTCAGTGTGCGTTCAGTCACATGTCATCTCTTCAGCTTTAGACCTTCGCTGTCAGAAACGCGTCTCGGCGAATATCAGTCGTTTCCACAGAAACTGAACGTCAGCGTCGAAGATCTGTGATCTATTTTCAGAAACCTCTTATTATGTTTTTTCTTGTTTGCTTATTTATTTATTTATATCTTTTCAATGCGGATGCAGAATCTGCAGAGCGGACTGAGCCGCCAATCACAAACAGAGCCGGGAGCTAGGAGGACGACCAAATATGGGCGAAGAAGCTGGATGTTAAACACACTCCAGCTGCATTGAGGGACATTTAGAGGATGGATGGAAATAGGGGACAGCTTTTTTTTTTCACTGTTTTTTTTGTTTTCAGGAATTTATTCTGTGACGCACAGCTTGAAACAACATCCTCACTTCCTGTCTGACAAACAAAACACAAAGACAAAATCACCCAACATTTAAGAAATTAGACATTAAAGCTGTAATACATTAACAATAGATGAAATGTTAATGTTAAAGTTTCTCTCTGTGAAGCTTTTTAGCCTCTTTTAGCTCCTAGTTTTGGTTTTGGTTGTTTGGGAAATATTTGGGGATATTTTGTTATCATCATTTTTGGATATCAGCCAAAGAAAAGTCAGTATCAGACTCTGCAACGATGTTTTTAGGAGAAAACTAACAAAGAAAAGAAAGTTTCTTCGTGCTGTACGTGTGATTTATCATGCAGCTATCATGAGGCAGGTGAACATCATGTTTCTTCCCAGGAGGCTTTGCAGCTGTAAATCCTGTCAGCTGAGAAGCTGCATGAAATTTACAGACTGCAGTTTATCTCACTGAGCAGAGACGTTCTCTGCAGGGCTGTCGAGGATTTTATGATCCTGATTGTCGAAAGTGATCTGACCTCCAGGGAAAAGACTTAAACTCCACAGCCAGAACAGCCTCCTCCGGATCTTATAAATACAGATAAAGTTTGTCCTGAAGGTGGCGCCGGAAAAGTCTTATTATTACCAAAATCAAAGGGTTTATTGTCTGTATGGTGGCCATTTTAGGACATCTCAGACTCTCTAGTTCAGCTTTTATCAGTCCAAAGTTTATCTATGCCTTGTTGAGCATATTAGCGTATTTGCATTATCATAAAAGGCCATGGTAATGAGGTAGTCAATAACATAATCTAATTGTCAAGGTCAGCTCTGCACATTCAGATTTAAGTCAAGTTTCATTAGCTCTGCTTTGTGCTTTGAATTTCTAATCAGCTGGTTAGTATGTAGCATATACTGAGTTGGAAAGTTAACATGATAGGATGTGTTCAGATAGTATATGCTAATGTATAGCATGCAGAGGTAGGAAGTAAAGTACAAACACTTTACTATATTTTGCCCCATAAATTTCATAAAAATATTTGTACTTTCCACTTCTTGCAGTTTTAAAACAGGCTTGTTAATTATGTGTTTGCATTGTTTGCCTTCCCAACACCAAGACCAGTGCATATTATGCATTACATGACAAAAACAACGTAAAAGGTAACAAGACAAAACAAACAAGACGGATCCAGGAAAGTTACCCTAAGGCATCTTCTAACATAAAATCACATGACAGGTTGGACACCTCACCAGGAGGATTTAACCAAGACTTTAAAACCTTAGTGACAAGACTGGGTAGAGCAGAAAAAGGAACTTCTGGTTTTGGAAATTATCTGCCATTCAGTTTTATATATAGTTTATTTAAAACTCTTTCTACATTTTGAGACGTATAGTTGAATATCATCTGCATAGAACTTATAGGAGACACCGCTGATACAGCTACTTGAACTGTTGTTGTTGTTGTTTTGTTTGTGTTGTGTGTTTTCAGACTCGACGGGCTGCTCCAGACCTCCGCCTCGAACCAAAGAGGTTCTGATCAACGGACAGACGGTCAAACTGAAGTACTGCTTCACCTGCAAGATCTTCAGACCTCCTCGGGCATCACACTGCAGCCTGTGTGACAACTGTGTCGGTCAGTAGGGTTACACTGATTGGATCCGACCCCAGTTATTGAATTAATTCCTACAAGTAACCAGTAACAGGTTTAATGTCTCATGTTTATAACAAACCTTCAGAATTAAGTTGATTTTGTAGTGAAGTCAGCATCTGTCAGTATTGTTAACTAGCAGATTTTCACCTGCCCAATATGGCGACCGCACAGACATATAGCAGTGGCATACAGCATCGACCAATGAGGTATCTATGTTTTTATATTTTATGCTATGTCGAGTACATATGTGGACATTTCATGCATCATTTCAGTCATTTCAATGGAAATTGAACCCTGTGGCAATAATACGGTGGCCCAGAGGTGTCAGGCCAAACACAAAAGCCACAACGGAAGTGAACGGTAACAGATTTTATTTTATTTTTATTCTTTTTATTTTTTTAAGCTTTATTTGTGAACGGTAACGTATGAAGCCCATAAAGGGATATATCACGAGATACAGGCACAGCCTTAAGCCGGACACTCATTTGTCCTCCTTTTGAGAAAATAACTAAAAAGGTCGCCTTTTGACACATTACCTCCTTAGTTTAAATGTGTAAAAATGTGTGTCAAAATAAGTAATTTCATTGGTTACATGTGACCTATCAACACATGGCTAATTTTAATATCCAAATGAGCCATGTGTTGATTCATAACACTCACTCACTCACTGCAGTTGCTACCACCAGGCTGTCAATCAAGCTCTCAGTCATTGTTGGTTGTACAAATATGGACTTTTATTGGTGCAGTAAAAATGCTTGATATCAAGTATGTTTTTTATTCATCATGGTCGCATGAAACACTTTAATGTAACATATTTTATTTTAAATGTAGGTTTGAATTATAGCTTACTGATCTTAATACCTTTATTTTGAAAATCGGAAGTGAATACGCTGTTTCTCCGCAAATATATTTAATAATTATTATATTCTATAATTTGGAGAAATTTAGGGGCTCAATACGTTACCGTTCACAAATAAAGTTTAAAAAAAAAAAATTTAAATAAAAAATAAAAATCTGTTACCGTTCACTTCCGTGTTGTGACTTTTGTATTCATGTTGTGGCTTTTGTATTCGGCCTGACACCTCTGGGCCACCGTACATTAACAATATAGAAATATCCAATCTTCTCTCTGATGTTTGTTTCTGTAGCTCATATAGACGCACCAGAATTAAATGTAACCAGTTAAACACACAAGTCTTCTGTTTCAGTCTATTTTTAAAATTCTACTTGATCTCAGTTTGAGTTTTATAGTAAAAAGCTTTATTGTTTCCTCCCTCAGAGCGTTTCGACCATCACTGTCCCTGGGTGGGCAACTGCGTCGGACGGAGGAACTACCGCTTCTTCTACTTGTTCATCCTCTCGCTCTCCTTCCTCACCATCTTCATCTTCGCCTTCGTCATCACACATGTCATCCTCAGTGAGTAACGCCGCCCGACACCACCTCCTCCACACGCTGTTTCTACTGTGAATCACTTATTGATCTCTTTATATGTTGCACTCTGTGTTTTCTCTGTGATATTAATACTTTTACTGACGTAAGTAATCTGAAAACTTCCCGTAAACTCATGTTCAACAGCTTCACGATGACTCAGCGCATTTTAATTCTGTGACTGTTTTAATTATCAGTTATTTTGCTGTTTGTTATTTAATTAATTGACTCATCATTCAGTTCATAAAATGGAAAAAAAAGTGACAAATTAAACTAAAAGACATTCAATATACAATTCAGTGTATATATATAAGAAAGCAAAATAATCTGAAAGTATTTCAATTACCAACATCATACTTACTGCAAACAGCAGTTTCAATACTATATCTATACTATATTATATATACTATATTGATATGTTTATATCATCATTTTATATATTTGTTGTTCGCAGCCAAACAACAAATAAAGGTTGGAAACTGACTCCCATGAGTATAAAGAGATTTCAGTTGTTTAAAATTGTTAATTGTTTGTAGTTTTCTTGTGATTTTTGTGAAGCAAAATACGTTTTTCAAATAGAATTTTATTTTATATGAATGATTAGTTTAAATTCATATGAAACACCTAGAAAAATAATATAATCTTGCGATAATGATCTATAATTTAATCTAATAATATTAAACTTTATTTATACACTTTCCAAAACAAAGTTACAACCAATCTGTGTATAATTTTCTGAGCCTTCAGTGTGTGGTAACCCCGGCTGGCTCTCCTTACTGAAGCATGTTGCAGCTCTGCAGCAGCTTCTCATCTGCGTAATGGACAAGGCATCGAACCCCCCGCGGCCCCGCCCACTGCCCTGATTGACAGGCTGTCAGAGAGAGGCTGAGGCTGCAGTCTGTTCCCGTTTCCTGACATTGATCCATCAGACGTCCTGCAGTCTGTCTTTATATGCAGATACAGAGTTAGTTCAGAAATCTGATCTTTAAAAAACAACCTTATTTAACAGGATATATCTGAGGTGTATTTCCCACCATAGTCCGCCCAGTAAACAGTAAACAGTTGGTCTCAGTCTCTAGTTTCAGTCTTCTTCCATACAGCATGATGTTCATTTAGTAACTGATGGTCCCATTTAGAGTAAAACAGACCATAAAGCAGGGTATGCTTTAGGGCGGGGCTACCTTGTGATTGACAGCTCATTCTCAGTGAGTCCGTCCAGCTCAACGCTCCAAACTCAGATCAAACTGTCAAACAGTGCTGATCAGATATGGATCCAGATTCTGTTGTTGACTGTTTCTCCTCAAATCTGTTCACAAACACATTTTACTGTTTATCTGGAACACCAGATTGTGTGTGAGCAGGTGAGTCACCATTGTTTCCAAACCAAGAGCAGCCAATGAGAGCAGCTCAACTCGCAGTACGTGACCTCCGCTGTGAAAAATAACAATACATTTATGATAATCCTTAATTTAACCAAAAAATACACATCATACCTTTTGTTTAATTCGTTCAAAGTATTCATCACACTCATCATATGAGTCTCTTTCATGTTCTCTGCACATTTTTAAGTAAAAAGTTAATCATGTAATCTTTGTTTTTACGTAATATTCTCCTGAAAAGTCACTAAAATTCAGACAGAAGTGATCTGTGTAATCGAAGGTTTTCTGTGGATGGATTCAATCTCTCCACAGCTGCCTGGAAGTAAGGATAAAGCTGATTGATGGTTGAGTTTGTGGATCTAAAATCGCCTCCGCGCTTCTTTCCCGTCACGCGTCGTTGACCTAATTCTCTGCGTTGAGGCTGCTGATGTTGTTTTCCTGCCCTGCAGGTCCTAACAGTCCAGAAACTGGAGCCTAAGGGCTGCTTCAGATTCACACTAACAACCAGCAGACTGTCTGAGATCAACCCATGTCTTTCTCTCAACACTACACCGCTTGTTGTCTGTTTTTAGCAGCAGAGCTATAAAAAGATCCAGCAGAGTGTCGTGACTTTGATCTACAAGATGTAAATTTAGAGGCGTGTACAGACGATTTCAGCTCATTACTGAAGGCTCGTTGCTGCTGCTGTTTACTCGTGTTGTTGTGAGGAGTTTCTGCTCCTCCAGCAGAAATCTGTCGATCTCAAGCTCTGATCCGAGACCAGAGGTGGGAAGTAATGAAGTACAAATACTTAGTTACTGTCAGCATAAAAATCTAACCACTGACAGACTGTAATGGGCCTTAAAACTAGAAAAAATGCTAAACATGTGAAAACAAGTTACACAATTTCTTCCAACAGCATAATAAAAAAAAATTAACTTTGTGTTAAATAAAGGCTCCAGAAACATTCTTATTTTTATAATTTTTTAATAAAACATTGAAAAACTAAACAGCTGCTTCATTTCCAACACTGGGACCAGACGACTTTCTCTTAAACTGAGAAGTTGTGTGAGTGCTCTTATTCTGAAAATTATAACAATAATCTGGTTCCTCTGCTGGGATGTTATACAACCATTGTTGTTACTGGTTAAATCCACCTCAATATTAGCTGTAAGATCTTATTAAGACACAGTTAGTTAAAGTTTCTTAAAACCAGATTCTAATACAAAACATGTTTGACAAGATTATTTTTCTTTTTAGACAAAAAATAAGAACATTTTTCCAGAAACTAGGATTTTTCTTTCTTTCCTGAGATTCTTGTTTTTACAGTGTTCAGATTTCTGAGTATTTCTATTTCTGACCTCGACACAAATATCTGTACAAAACAGGCTTGTCACTTGTGTTTTAAAATACACACAACAGACATTCTAGGTTAAATCTAATAAGCTTAAAGTAAACTTTATTGACCGTACGAATTCTATAATATAAACTATCTGTAGTCGGACTATACAAGTAAAGTGTCTTTTTCCTCTCTGCAGGATCCAACCGGACGGGTTTCCTGAGTGCGCTCAAAGACAGTCCGGCCAGATATCCTTTAACTGTCCGCTGACTGGAGGACTCAGAGACGCTGCATATGAGTTCACTCCCCCGCTCTCTCTCTCTCTCTCTGTAGGTTAATATCATGTGTTTCTGATAAATCAATGACTCTGACGCAGTCACCAACCACAGGTCAATATGTCCCATGATGCTTTGCCAAGGTCAAACTCTGCCACACGCTCTGAGAGTCACATTTACATTCAGCTCCACGTCTCCCTTCTCCTTCTAGTCTGTTTGTTAATACTTCAGCTACAAGATAACATCTGTACACATCGTAGTCTCACGTGCACTGGTCAGTTTCTGGGATTTTATTATTATTTTATTTCGCTTTGTCTGTTTACGTCCGTAGATTTCACCAAACGTTAGCATTTCATCATTCCTCATTTGCATATTTAAACATACAATTTCAGAAAACTTGTAATACAAAAAATAATTGTCTTAATGTGAGTAATCAACTGGGGAGGTTTCATGCTAATATCTGTTAGTTTAAATTTTCACCCCATTAATCTGTAATGAATATTAAAATAAGGTAATTTCCTCTAAATTAGGTTTTTTTCGTACTCTGAGACAGAAATCTGAACTTCAGCAGCTCTTACATTCTCCAGACCTTCCAGTTTTATTCCTGTCTGTATTCTGAAGGTTTGTACAGAGAGGTTTGTTCATAAATCCTTCACAGCCTGAGTTATATCACAGACGGCTTCTCAAAATGAGTTATTTTTGAACTTCCTTTTGAACGAAATGTTTGCCCTTGACTCGGCTCTGCACCGTCCTGGAGGTGGTGGTGTGTTTCTTCTCCGTCTGGTCGATTGTCGGCCTGTCGGGGTTCCACACCTACCTGATCAGCTCCAACCAGACCACCAACGAGGACGTGAGTACATACGGAAGCCCGACTGTGGTCCCTGAGACCCAGGAGGACCCGGGTTTACATTTATTGGCTCTGATGAACTGAACCAACACTCTCTGTTTCTGGTCCTGGTCCAGATTAAAGGGTCCTGGTCCACCAAGCGAGGGAAGGATAACTACAACCCCTACAGCTACGGAAACATCCTGACCAACTGCTGTGCTGCTCTGTGTGGACCTCTGCCCCCCAGGTCAGTAACCTCTGGTGCTAATACTGACTGAGGCCCACCAGCATGTGCTGTTAACAAATAAATGTAGATAATTTCATTTAGCTCAGTTTTTATGTGGTAAAACATTTTGAAATTGCCACAAACAGAATCTACTTCCCTCACAGCTCTATTCTGACTTTTCTCTCATATTTACCATCATATGTACTCCTCCTCCTCCTCCTCCTCCTCCTCTTCCTCCTGTCAGCAGACGATGTGTTACTGTGTTTAATGAGGACAGTTTTCAGTTGAGACCTTCCTGGAAGTAATTACAGTCTTCTCCCTCCTCCTCCTCGCCGTCTCAGAGAGCAGTTCCTCGTCTCTCAGCTGGGTTGTTCTCCTCCTCCGATATCGCCGTTCTCCCTCGCCGCCGACAAACCGAGCTCCGCAAAAATTAATCAAAAAACAATCAAAGTCAGCGTATTGGATCGCTGCGGTTCATCAGAGAAGAATCATATCTGCCTCCAGCTCTCTGCTTTCATCGGCTCTTATGTTCCCATCCACAGAACCTGTGTGGTGATTCTGAGACTCTGTTATAAGTTAATGGGAACAGAAATGAGTAAAAATGAAATGAGGTTGGAGCGAAAAGGGAAAAGTGTGAACATATACTGTTTATGTGTATGTTGTAATGTGGATTTCCACCAGAGACTTGAGACTCTTTGTCCTGAGGTCCAAACAGGGTCGTGTCACTGATCTGCTTCCTGCCAGCTGCGTCCCGGCCTGACTAACAGAGAAAAGTTTGTTTGATTATTGATTGATTATTGATTGATTGATTGATGGAGGCTGGCAGTAACTCTCAGAAACACAAACACACTTGAGTGATTGAACGATGACGGAGGTAGATGAGTGAGCTGCCTGGAGGGAGGATATGAGGGAGCTGGATTTTCTAAATAAGAGCATGTGTCAGCAGCAGAGGAAGAAGGCGTGATTGATGAGAGACGAAGGTCGAGGAGATGTTTTGTTTTTCAGGACTGAACATATGGATACGGATTCATTACACAGTCTGCTTGTTACAGTGTCACCAGCTGGTGTGTGTGTGTGTGTGTGTGTGTGTGTGTGTGTGTGTGTGTGTGTGTGTTTGACAGCTTATTAACATGTTGTTTTCCACCTGCTGACACCCGGGATGACAGGTGGTGAGATCCATCTGCACACACACACATAAAAAGGCTTTTTTTTTTAGGTCAAGTAGCAAAGGAATAGTGAAGTGTGAGAAATTATCTGAGGATGCGAATATAAAAACCCTCTCAGACTTTTGAAACCGCCATAGTAAAGGCACGACATGGCGTCACATGACTCTATGGCCAAATAAACATGCCTCCAAAATATGGAGACTGGCAATCTGTCTGTTTTTTTGTTTTCGAGCCATCTTCTCTTCCTGTTTATCTCCGTGCTGTAGAGGAAATCGTTACACTGCCACCTGCTGGTGTCTCGCTTTCAATCAACATATCAATAGTCCTTATGAACAGCTTTTGTGATTGGTTGTAACTTCTCTTTGTCTGTTATTTATTCCCAAAGTCAAGTCCCAAGTCCTAAACCTAGAGTTTCGAGTCCTAAACAGGTCCTAATGCTCTTCACCAAATGTAATTTCATTTTAAACCGAACAAATGAAACAAAATTATCTTTGGTTTTGTCAAATCTGGTCCAAAGTCCTCAAATCTTATGTTGTTATTTATGAGGCTGTTACAGAGTCATCACAGATTAGTTGTGTTTCATCATATCTGACAAAATTCAAAAAAAAAAAACAATTTTTCTAAGCAAATCTAAAGTCTACATGTTAATATAATCCATCATAAATCTTGATTGATCTCTACAATTCACCTGAAAAGTAAACAACTAATTTTTTTTTTAGTGCAGAGAACTAAGTTATATCAGTAACCAGCTGTTAAACACTGCATGTATTTCTAAACTAAATGTAAGTTTTTTGATATCAGAACATTATTTCAATAAAGTTTGAATGTGAATTGACTGTAATTACTGAGGCTTGTTGTAAACTGACGTCTCTCTGTGTGTCTGTGTCCCAGTTTGATTGACAGGAGAGGGATGATCCAGTCTGACACGCCGCAGACCGTCTCCCAGACCAACGGGACCGGTGGCGGCAGCTACGCCTCCACGCAGCTCCGCAGTCACATGGTAGGTGGAGGATGACATCAGTGCTGATCGATACTGACACTTTATGTATTAAATAAATCAGCAGCAGCACATAGAGGAGAAACTGAAGAGAGGTTATGTTATCAGAGAGGACACGAGGAAGAACTGATACTGATACGGGATTCATTTAACTGACACTGTAGACATTAGAGATATTATTGAGTTTATATAGTGACTTTACTGTTGCTGCTATAGAAACAATATTTAGTTATATCTAAAATATAAATCAATTCTAATTATCTTCAGGACATTTTGTGTAATGTGAAAAACTACAACCTGTTTTATTGTAATAATAATAGTTTAAAATTATCTGAAAATAAATTTCTGGGTTCATCCAGAGTATTCAACAAAAACAGTAACAGTAGTGGCTAAAAAATATGGGCAGTTTGTTATATAAATATCAGTGGTGGTGACACTTTGTTCTGTCCTCAGTGTGATCAGGATCAATGCATCCAGAGCACCAAGTTTGTCCTCCAGGTTGCCACCACCCCTCTGCTCCACAGTGACCCAGTGGTTCTGGCCCCTCTGCCAGGGAAGACCACCACGCTGGGGGGCCCCTGCGCCTACCTGGCCCCCTCCCAGCCCTCCCTGCCGTCGTGCGGGGGAGACGTCCTGACCCTGAGGGACGCCGCCGCCGACTCCCACTGCCACCACCACCTTCACCATCACCACCTTCACCACCACCACCACTTCGTCAGCCCGGAGGAGACGCCCTGCACCACGCCGCAGGGTGCCCTGCCCTGCCCCGCCCACCTGCACCTCCACCCGCACCTGTCCGTACCCACCCCCACCGCCCTGTACGACCCCTCCAGTCAGGACGCTCTGCACGAGGACTCTGTCAGAGGGCTGGTTAAACTCAGCTCCGTCTGAACCAAACTGACCACATTTCTTTCCTTTAACGACGCTTCAGACTGCAGGTCCTCATTCAACGTTTAATCCACCTCAGTGTCAAAAAACAGCAATTTATTCTGACGATTGTCTCGAAATTTGGTAAAAACTTTCACTCGGCGAACATTCGGATGGAAACTTGATTGATGACGAGAGCATGTGCGAGAGGCACCTCCGTTATCTCAGTAATCTACACTGTAAAACCAAATAAGTTCATTTAACTTTATTCACTGATCTTAGTGACGATAGAGATATGGTGCACTGAATTAGGTTGAAACACCTGATATCCTCTCAGTGATTTAAGGAGTTTCCTGGTGGACAAATAGCTTTTTACTTGTTGCTAAAATAACCGATAATTTCTGTTAACTGTGGCTGCCGTTAGCTTCATTAGCTCTGCAGCTAGCGGCCCCCACTCTGCTCCATTCTCTGGTTGGTGGTGGTCCAAACCTCCTGTCCTAGCAACACAAACACCCTCCCCTGGTCAAACTGTCGGGACAAGTATCCCTGTATCATGACCGCTAACTGAGATAACGAAGGTACCTCCTGCAGACGGCCGCCAAAGTCTGCAGCCGAGTTTCACAGGGCAAATATTTACAATAACGCTCTCTGAAATGGAAATACTCAAGTAAAGAAGCAGAAACTCCAAACTACTCCAGAATTACATTTGACAAGCGGGCGATTTCCCTTTTTACGACAAACATTAAGTCGTTTTTTAAAACCCTCTGGAGTCCAGCTTTAAGTTGTGTCCTCACTCCACTTAAACAAAGTAAAATGACACAGGCGCCTATAAAAGTTTACTTTTTATTTATGATAAGCACTTAAAATATTATTATAGACATACAGTAGAAACAATTAAAACTAAAATATAATCTATTTACATGTAAAGTGGTTTAAACTTGTTTGCATCTGCCTGTAAATCAATAATTTAAAGTTTGAATTTGAATTTCTTTCCAAATGTTCTGCAGATATAAATAGTCGTCAGTTGGTTTGTCTCAGTTTTGTCTTTATATGAGCTATAAATAAAGTTGTTACCATGAATAATAAAACATGCTCAGAAGATGAAACTCCAGAGGGTTTTAAACAAAAATAGAACAAATGCAGACGCCAGCGACCAGAATAAACAAGACACAAACACTGTAAACGAGTGAGGAAGTACAGTCAGGTGTTTGTTTCTCTTTCTGTTTGCTCTTCAGAAGATCGGAGAAAATCAAAAACCTTTCGGATTTCTTTTCGCCCGTCATCTGCAGGACCAAAGTCATATTAAGTTCCTCCCTTTTTCATACTCCTCTGTGGTCTTTGGTGAAGTCTGTTTCCTAAACATTTTATCCAGAATAAGCTACTCCGGTGCCAAACGGAGGTCCGGCTCCAGCCACAGTCGGACCGGGACCAAAAGGACTCTTTTTATTAAAGCGAATTAAGCGGTTGATTGAGGCGACGTGTTTCTCACTGAATGAAGATAAACTTAGACTGTTATTGTCAGACGAGCTGACTGAAGCTTCAGGTTTTCATTCGAGGACAAAACGAAGCAGGACTGAGTTTCCCAGAAACATCTGCAGACCCGAGTTCATCAGCAACACTGCCAGATGTTCAGCAGGAGTTCACCTTGTTAAAGGCTCAGTCACACCCAATTTAAAACAACCACATTTCAATTACTTTGAATGTCCAACAGCACGCCTTCCTGACAGAGCTGACCTTTGAGTGAAGCTCAGCTATCGTAGGTTATTAGCTGTGTGTCATCGTCCAGTTTTGTTGAAGCTTCTCTGCCAGAGTTTAAACGGTTTACAGAGACAGGAGGACTGAGCGAACAAGCTTGTTAAATAACCTTTAGCAACCTTTTTAGCTCAGATAGTTTTATTTCCCCTCCTCAACTTTTTTATTGAATCAATTAGTGAACAATTATGAACGACTCTGTCTCCTAAAAAATGTACTCTTCGTAAGTCCCGCCCCTTTTTGCTCTGTGCTACAATAACTGTGAGCAAACCTGGGCCTTCACTCAGGTGGAGTCACCTGAAGCTCCAACGCTGTTCAAACCCACAAAACTTTATTTAAAAGTCTAATGGAGATCTCAAATGTGTTTTATGCTTTAACAATCAGAGAGGAATAGCAACGTTAAGCTAAGAGACTGTGACTCGCTTGTTTCCAGCGTGTAAGTGCAGCATGAGGAATGTCAGTTTTTATTTATTTGCTCTGACAGTTAAATGTTGCATCACTTGATTTAATTCCGTGCTTTTATTTTGAAGGTCAGATACATATTCTAGATGCTTTAGTTTGTCATTGGTTTCACAATTTGTTGATTTAATGCAAATATTTTTTAGAACATCTATATGTGACCCCCAGGAGTCTCTGCTACCTTTAATTAAATAAATAAATATACAGTATTTTTTACTTTTTCTCCACCAGTTGTTTAGCATTGTGGAGAAACTGCCTTTAGATCTTAATGTTGGGACAATAATAAGATAATAATAACTGTAAACAGTTTACAGATAGTAACATTGAAAAGAAAATAATAAAATAAAAATATAAACATTTGGCCTTTATTTGTTATATAACCTCAGTATTTCTGAGTTCCTGGTTACAACCCAGCTTGTGCTCATGTTTCATTATGTTTACATTTTTTACACTTAAAGTTCATCAATTAAACAACAAAGTTGAAATTTACCTGCGTCCAGGTTGTTTTATTGTTATGTACAGCTGGGAGGTATTGACAAAAATGTGACATAAATATAAATAAATCAATGTACTTAGTAATTGTAGGCCATTTATTGTGGAAACTCTGTGGCAGCTGTCAGCGATGTGAGATTCAATTAAAAACAATAAATGCCTTATTTTTTATTTTATTTATTTAATATGAGATCTGCCCCCCCCGCCCGATGTTGGGTTTCTTGACTCGCTGCAGGGACAAAACGCTGGATCTGATCTTTTCTATGACAGGTGAGGAATGCTCACCTGGGTGCTGCCTTCTGGGAAATGTAGGCATCAAACTGCAGATCGGCTTTAAGGGTTGAAGGCAGAAGAGGTGAACTGTGGAGTCCAGATGTTGACGGGTTCAGGACTTTGTGAATCCTCATGTTGTCTTCACTCTGGTGATGATGTAACAGATGTTATTATCCAATCAGCTTCAGAGACACCTGGTGATCGGACTATTGATAACATCGACTCTGCATTCAGTTTAATTATAATGAAATAAAAAACGTGCACAGATTGTAGTTTTGTGCCAAGAATTTCTCCTCCACCTCCAGCTGTCACATTAACAACTGTGGATTTCAATAAAACACACTTTTTTAAAAGGAAGAGTCTCTTTGTTTCTGTTTTAAAGCACTGGTTCCCAACCCGAGGGTCCCGACCCCCACTAGGGGTCGCCAAAGCTTCTTGATTTTAAAGAATGTAAGAAAACTTTTTAAAGGAAATATACAGTTGGCCTATAACTCAGCAATTCATACATTTCTGGGAAGAAAACTAAAGGAAATTGTTATTTTTAAAGTGTTTAAAGATATAAACCTTTAACATTAAAAAAGTTAAAACAACAAAGATCTGACAGAACAATGACATAGGCCTATTAATTCTGTATGATTGTTAAAAATCCAAAACATGCACAAAACAAACAGAGAATTGTATAAAAAGTTCCTAAAAATGTCAGTAAAACTAATCTCTGATCAATATTCTTATAATGCAAAATCAATAAAATATTAGACATAGTGTAAACAAAGATAACGACCAGGTAAGTGTGTAAATGTGGTCCATGAATGTCATACATTTACTTTTTACTAACGTTATGTTGTGATTATATACAGAATACAGGGATACAAATAAAAACTAATGTTGTATATTTTATATTTATATTATTGTAATATAATATATAATATTTACAAACAATAATAATTGATGATTTACTCTTTATTGTTGCCTAAATATAAACTATTAACAACCTTTGTACAACCAGCTGTTGCAGCTGTTCATCCCCGTCGCTAGGGGGCGTCTCTAGCTGTGACGTGGGTTTACAGGCTCTGACGTTGTCTGCCCAAACAGCCAATCAGAACGGCAGCAACCCGGAAGCAGTTGTCAGGTCAGAAATCCGTTTCATAACATCGGATAAAAACATCCGATAAAAAACATCATAAAAGAGGATTAAATGGAGCTGAAACGTTTCTTCACAGCCTGAAAGCTTTAATAATATCAGGTACAACAATCCAGCGACACAAATACACAATAATTATCTTATTAAATCGGTTTTTATTCTGTCGAAGGACAAATTACCGACAACCGCGAACCTAAAGATCCGTTTTAATCTAAAAGCATCGATTAAAGTTCTGATTATAAAACCTGATAACACAAATACAACCTTTAAATAAACAGCTGGAATAATATTTAATGTTTAAAACCATTTTTGGCGCTAAATTATGGAGACAACGCCTCAAATATAAGGGAACAAAGAAAAGCGCGGCGGCGGGAAACCAACCAGTAATTAACAGTATAAATAAAGTTATTATGTTTATTATAAACAGGATGTTTGAGCTGATGTGTAACTATACAGAGAACTGTTTACACTTTAACCTTTAATATAGTAAATTAAACATTTAACAAGCTGTTGTTTCTCAATACGGAACTCAGTTGGACTTTTAGCGGCTTCAACGTTATTTTAACTTTATTTAACAGTTGTACAATCTCAGTGTATCTGTTGTTAAAGTGAAATAAATGCGTGTCTTTGTCACAGTTGTTGCATAAAGGCTCATTTCGTTGTGTAACTGCGGTTTCGGGCGGTTTTGTAACCCCGCACGAACAAAGCCGTTTGAATCTCCCGCAGAGCTCCGGGTGGCACGTGAGCGCGGCTCGCCCCCTGATTGGCTCCGTTCGCTGCGTCAGTTTAAAGAGCCGCCGCGAGCTGCGTTCCTATTGGCCAGCTGCGTTCTAGCGCGAAGATTTCAATAAAAAGGCGAGCGGCCAACAGAAGCCGCTTCAGTCTGTGCTCTCCGTCTGTGTCCGCCGCTCGTTAGTTCACACTGTCTGCTGCTTTTTACTCCAACTTTTAATTTATTAACTTATCTTTTTATTTCTCTTCAGTCGAAGGAATCAAGATGCTTTCTGCTCGCTCTCCTCTTTCCGTCAAGAATGAAAACACACTCAGCAGTGAGCTCAACAAAATGTCTGTGGACAAAGAAAACACGGTGAGAACTAAAATACCTTAAAACTGTCGAGTCATGATCCGTTTAACGGGTAAAACCTCCGGTTGAAGTTACAATTACACTGTTTTTAAGTTGTAACTGCCGGCAGCCATTTCCTGCCCGGTTCAGTGTGCTAGCTGCAGATATAAAGTGTGTTTGAGCGGTACAATAAACGCATTAATTCGCGGTATAAATCGTGTTTCGGTCACTAAATGAAGGAGTTTGTGTCCGTTTGTCTTCCAGCCACCGAGTCTGAACACGACCCGCATCCTGGCGTCCAAAACCGCGCGGAAAATCTTCGACGATGCTCCGGTAAGTGGATCCAAAGCTGCTGAAAGCTTCCAGATGTTGAACAGCTGCTGCAGACAGATGTTCTGGGTTCATATTAAAGTCAATAACGAGCAGTTTGTGCCGGTTATTGACGTCATGTGGCGCCTAAAATGTCGGTTGAGGCGCCAACATGGACGATCAGCTGTTGATACTGCTTCCGGTTTATTAGAGAATCGATTTCCATTTACAGCTTTATTACTTTATTCTGGAGGCTTCTTAATACCTGAACAACCAGAATGTAAAAGATTATAACTGAATACTCTTCACTCACAACAGCTCGGCTCATCGGTTATCTTCATATTCTGACATTATTTTACTCTTTAAACACATTTTATCTTTAACTCTGGCTTCATGCACATTATAATATATATTTAATATAGTTTAACTGCAGCAGACTGAAGTCAAAGAGCTCCAACTAATGATTATTGATCATCAGTCCATTGTCAGCTCTTTATTAATCAATAAACATTTTAAAAGTCCATTTTCTGATTTTATCTTCTATAATGTGAATACTTTGTGTTTCTTTAGTCGTCAGTGACTTTAAATTGAATATATTTGGTCACATTGGGCTTTTATTGACAAACTGATCAATAAACTGAGAACAGGGAGATCAATCAACGTATTGCCGTTGTTACGGATTAGTTTATTGACCGATCTTCAGTTTGTGATGATATAAATTATAATTATTATATATTATATTAAAGAGAAGCAGCTCACAGTCGAGGAACCGGAGAACGTTTCAGCTCTGATTTAAACTTTATTAGTAAAGTCGGCCGTTAACAATCGAACCCACAGACGGGTTGTAAAACGTGTGTTTGAGCTCGTGGTCGACGGACGCTGTTTGTTTGTGTTTCAGCCCAAAGCTGTGAAGAAGAGCAGCGGTGAGGAAGAAGAGGAGCCGCTGCTGAAGGAAAACCCTCGCCGCTTCGTCATCTTCCCCATCAAGTACCACGACATCTGGCAGATGTACAAGAAGGCCGAGGCGTCTTTCTGGACCGCAGAGGAGGTACGTGTGGACCAGTGTCTGTGGTTCAGGTTGTCAGTGGAGAGCAATGTGTGGTAGGGCGGGAACACGGCGGCGTGGCGTCCTCTCTTTATGAACGCCGTCACACGAGCAGCTGTTGGATGAGGAGATGTTAACGGAGCGTGTTTGTTCAGGTGGATCTGTCCAAGGACCTGCAGCACTGGGAGGCTCTGAAGGACGAGGAGAGGTACTTCATCTCTCACGTGTTGGCGTTCTTCGCCGCCAGCGACGGCATCGTCAACGAGAACCTGGTGAGGAAGAGCGCTCGCTTCTTATTTCTCTGGTTTTAGTCTCAGACACTCGAACGCAGCGAGGCAGAAACAGGAGGAATAATGCGTCTGATGTTTCCACAGTTTCTCTCCGACTGTCGGAACAAGAAGACAAACTTTAATCAAATAATCTGTAAAACTCAGAATATTCTGTTTCAGATCAATGATCTTTATTGGTTGTCTCACCTTTGTTCTCCGTTTGACCACCAGGTGGAGCGCTTCTCCCAGGAAGTGCAGGTGACGGAGGCCAGGTGTTTCTATGGTTTCCAGATCGCCATGGAGAACATCCACTCAGAGATGTACAGCCTCCTCATCAACACCTACATCAGGGAGCCCAAAGAGAGGTGAGACAGCGCTCTGGTTCTGGTCTGTGCTGGACCCTTCTGGTCTGTGCTGGACCCTTCTGGTCTGTGCTGGACCCTGCTGGTCTGTGCTGGACCCTGCTGGTCTGTGCTGGACCCTTCTGGTCTGTGCTGGACCCTTTTTCTTGCCGGACCCTGCAGGTCTGTGCTGGACCCTGCAGGTCTGTACTGGACCCTGCTGGTCTGTGCTGGTCTCTGACGCTGCCTTTACTGACCCACAGGGAATACCTGTTCAACGCCATCGAGACTCTGCCGTGTGTGAAGAAGAAGGCCGACTGGGCGATCAACTGGATCGGAAACAAGAACGCCAACTACGGTAAAACTGCTCGCCGTGATGTTCCCGATCGATGGGGTTTGGTATTGATCTTCTATCGGGTATTGATCGTGACTCTGTGGTTCCTCCAGGTGAGCGCGTGGTGGCCTTCGCCGCCGTGGAGGGAATCTTCTTCTCTGGTTCCTTCGCTGCGATCTTCTGGCTGAAGAAGAGAGGCCTGATGCCCGGACTGACCTTCTCCAACGAGCTGATCAGCAGAGACGAGGTGATTGATTATCGATCGGAGCATCTGATCAATATTTAGAGTGTGTGTGTTACTGGTTTCAGGGTGTAACGGTGTGTGTGTGTGTGTGTGTGTGTGTGTTACTGGTTTCAGGGTGTAACAGTGTGTGTGTGTGTTACTGGTTTCAGGGTGTAACTGTGTGTGTGTTACTGGTTTCAGGGTCTGCACTGTGACTTTGCCTGTCTGATGTTCAAACACCTGGTGAACAAGCCGTCGTCAGAAACCGTCACCAACATCATCAAGAACGCCGTGGAGATCGAGCAGGTCGGTCCTCAACCTGATGCAGATCCTGGTTTTACTGGTTCTGATGGTTTTACTGGTCTTAATGGTTTTAATGGTTCCCCGTTTGTGTGTCCAGGAGTTCCTGACGGAGGCTCTGCCGGTGAAGCTGATCGGGATGAACTGCGGGCTGATGAAACAGTACATCGAGTTTGTGGCCGACAGACTGATGCTGGAGCTCGGCTTCACAAAGGTAAACCCGGTCCCGGTGAAACCACAGCTCCCAGTAGGGCCGGCCCACTGGCTGCAGGTAGTTGGAGGAGGATCGGGTCTGTGATGATGAGAAGCGCAGGGGTACGGACCTCAGCCAGTGATGGGGGCTGAGTGCTGCTGCTGATGTCTGATTGGAGGGCGAGTGGTTCACTGACAGACCAACAGCAGCACGAGACAGACGCCACTCTGAACAGACCCGACTGATCCAGAACCAGAACCGGTCCTATCTGAATATCTGTTCTTCCATCTCCAGTTCTCATCCTGCAGAACGTCTCTAGTGCAGATTAAAGTAGCTTAAAGAGGAATTACTGTCAGAACCAGAACCTCCTTAATGGGGTCTGTTTGCCTAGAGGGATGTGACCTCTGCTGTCTGTTAGTGCTCTAGATATGAGGAACTGACCTCTGCTGTGGCTGTTAGTGCTCTAGATATGAGGAACTGACCTCTGCTGTGGCTGTTAGTGCTCTAGATATGAGGAACTGACCTCTGCTGTGTCTGTTAGTGCTCTAGATATGAGGAACTGACCTCTGCTGTGGCTGTTAGTGCTCTAGATATGAGGAACTGACCTCTGCTGTGTCTCTATAGATCTACCGGGTGGAGAACCCCTTCGACTTCATGGAGAACATCTCTCTGGAGGGAAAGACCAACTTCTTTGAGAAGCGGGTCGGCGAGTACCAGAGGATGGGCGTCATGTCCGGAGCCACAGACAACACCTTCAGGCTGGACGCAGACTTCTGAGGACTGACCCGGACCGACCCGCGCTCAGTGTCACACTAAGGACTCGGTGCTTTGACTCCACGCTGGTGGACGTTTACATTGAATGAATCTACCGGTGGAGACGCCATAGAGACGGTTTTTAAGTATCTCAGGACGGTGGCTGGTCAACTGACTGCTGGTTGGTGTCATTAATGAGCTCTTCAGCCAATCAGGGTTCAGCTAGTGAGAGCACTGCAGGGATCTGACCTCGGACCAGACGTCTCACCAACTGCTACGAACGGTTAAAGTCAGCAGTTAACAGATGACCTGGATCAGAACCTGGTTTTATGTTTGTTTCTGTAAACTAACTTTATAGAGTTTGTTTTAAAAATCTGCTATATTAGTATGTTTTATACAACCTACTGAGGTCTTTTTGGTCATTCTGTGTTTTTTGTACAGTTTAGAGGTTTTTTTGTAATAAAATTATTTGTAAAACAAAAGTTTATATTAGTGTGAAGTTAATGCTGAGTTTATATTAATTCAATTTTATTTGTACCTCACAAATAACAGAAGTTATCTCAGGACACTTTTCAAATAGAGCAGGTCTAGACCGAACTCCTTATAACATTATTTACAGAGACCCAACAGTACCACCATGAGCAAGACCTTGGCGACAAGGGAAGGGAAAACCTCCTTAAAAAAAGGAAAAAAACAAAAAAAAAACCCCCAGTTTATGGGGGGGGGGTCTTTTCTACAAACAAGTGGGGGGGGGAGGGGAAAAAGGAGAAAATGGCAAGGAAAGAACTGCCTGTTGAGAAAGGCAGAAACCTAGGAAGTAGTGGGGTAAGTAACAATGGGACATAAATGAGTGCAGAAAGAGAGAGGAAGAGAGGACCAGTGCACATGGAATCCCCTATGAGTCTGGCCTTTAGAGATAACTAAGGGAAGGGGGCCTGACCATGAAGAGCTTTATAGGTGAGGAGGAGGATTTTAAATTCAATTCTACATTTTACAGGGAGCCAGTGCAGAGAAGCTAGTACAGGAGAGATGTGATCTCTTTTTCTAGTTCCTGTCAGTACTCGTGCTGCAGCGTTCTGAATTAATTGGAGCGTTTTAATGGACTTATTGGGGCAACCTGATAATAAAGAGTTGCAGTAATCCAGCCTAGAAGTAACAAATGCATGGATTAGTTTTTCTGCATCTGTCTGTGATAGTATGTGTCTAATTTTTCTAATATTACGTAAATGAAAGAAGGCAGTCCTAGAGGTTTGCTTTATGTGGGAGTTAAATGACAAATCCTGATCAAAGATAACTCCAAGATTCCTGACAGTGGTGCTAGAGGCCAAGTTAATGCCATCTAGAGTGACTATATCTTTAGACAGTGAGTCTCTAAGGTTTTTGGGGCCAAGAACAAGAATTTCGTTTTTTTCTGAACATTAACATCAGAAAATTGCAGCTCATCCAGGATTTTATGTCCTTAAGACATGTTTGTAATTTAGATAATTGATTAATTTCATTGGGTTTGATTGATAGATATAACTGCGTATCATCTGCATAACAGTGAAAGTTAATGGAGTGATTCCTAATAATGTTGCCTAAAGGGAGCATATATAAAGTAAATAGTATTGGTCCAAGTACAGAACCTTGTGGAACTCCATGACTAACTGTAGTATTTATTGAAGATTCATCGTTAACATGTACAAACTGCGAGCGATCTGATAAGTATGACTTAAACCAGCTTAGTGCGGCTCCTTTAATGCCAATTTGATGCTCAAGTCTCTGTAAAAGAATATCATGGTCAATGGTGTCAAATGCAGCACTAAGATCTAATAATACAAGTACAGAGACAAGTCCATTGTCAGAAGCAGTCAGAAGGTCATTATTAACTTTAACCAGAGCTGTCTCTGTGCTATGATGAACTCTAAATCCTGACTGAAAATCCTCAAATAAACTATTGTTATGTAGAAAGTCACACAACTCTTTGGCGACTACTTTCTCCAGAGTTTTTAATATTAGTGTAAAGTTAATGAGTTTATATTAGTGTAAAGTTAATGAGTCTATATTAGTGTAAAGTTAATGAGTTTATATTAGTGTAAAGTTAATGAGTTTATATTAGTGTAAAGTTAATGATGAGTTTATATTAGTGTAAAGTTAATAATGAGTTTATATTAGTGTAAAGTTAATGATGAGTTTATATTAGTGTAAAGTTAATGAGTTTATATTAGTGTAAAGTTAATGATGAGTTTATATTAGTTTAAAGTTAATGATGAGTTTATATTAGTGTAAAGTTAATAATGAGTTTATATTAGTGTAAAGTTAATGATGAGTTTATATTAGTTTAAAGTTAATGATGAGTTTATATTAGTGTAAAGTTAATGATGAGTTTATATTAGTTTAAAGTTAATGATGAGTTTATATTAGTGTAAAGTTAATGATGAGTTTATATTAGTGTAAAGTTAATAATGAGTTTATATTAGTGTAAAGTTAATGATGAGTTTATATTAGTGTAAAGTTGATGAGTTTATATTAGTGTAAAGTTAATGAGTTTATATTAGTGTAAAGTTAATAGAGTTTATGTTAGTGTAAAGTTAATAATGAGTTTATATTAGTGTAAAGTTAATGAGTTTATATTAGTGTAAAGTTAATGAGTTTATATTAGTGTAAAGTTAATAATGAGTTTATATTAGTGTAAAGTTAATAATGAGTTTATATTAGTGTAAAGTTAATGAGTTTATATTAGTGTAAAGTTAATGAGTTTATATTAGTGTAAAGTTAATGATGAGTTTATATTAGTGTAAAGTTAATGATGAGTTTATATTAGTGTAAAGTTAATGATGAGTTTATATTAGTGTAAAGTTAATGATGAGTTTATATTAGTGTAAAGTTAATGAGTTTATATTAGTGTAAAGTTAATGATGAGTTTATATTAGTGTAAAGTTAATAATGAGTTTATATTAGTGTAAAGTTAATAATGAGTTTATATTAGTGTAAAGTTAATGAGTTTATATTAGTGTAAAGTTAATGAGTTTATATTAGTGTAAAGTTAATGATGAGTTTATATTAGTGTAAAGTTAATGAGTTTATATTAGTGTAAAGTTAATGATGAGTTTATATTAGTGTAAAGTTAATGAGTTTATATTAGTGTAAAGTTAATGATGAGTTTATATTAGTGTAAAGTTAATAATGAGTTTATATTAGTGTAAAGTTAATGGTTTATATTAGTGTAAAGTTAATGAGTTTATATTAGTGTAAAGTTAATGAGTTTATATTAGTGTAAAGTTAATAATGAGTTTATATTAGTGTAAAGTTAATAATGAGTTATGAATCTTAAAGAATGTGATTTTAAAGCAGTGAATTAAAGAAATGAAGGTATTTATGTGTAAAGTTAATTAATTTATAAGAGTCATGAGACTGAATCCACCGTCGGCTACAAGGAGAGGACAGCTACGTCATCGCACTTCGCCGCGAGCTGCATGTAATATTTAAACATTTTAAACATTTTAAACATTTTAAACATTTTTCAGCGTTAAACAGTAGAAATAAACTGCGGTTTCTGATGGCGTTATAGAAAGGTTAACTTTAATCACCGGTAGTCCCGCGCACTGACGGTATTTCCCGCGTTGACGAGGTTTTTGTCTCATCCTTGTCTCCGTCAACCGTGCTGACGTAGAAACAGGAAGTAAACAGTTGGAAGTGTCTCTGCAGTAAAATGTCTGTTTCCAACCCGAGACAAACCTTTCTACACCCGGTAAGACTGTACAGCTATCTGTTTCTGATCACTCTCTTATCGATTGATTCCATTATCTATCGTCTCCAATACGTGCTCACTTTACATTCTCCTAAAGATCAATAATCAATATTTAACGAGACGTGTTCAAAATACTTTCCTCAGGTTGCTTCTATCGCTGCTGAATGCTGTTCATCCACTAAATAAACTTTAGTTCTGATCAATATTCTGATCAATGTTCTGATCAGAGTTATGCTGTTTGGTTTCCGCCCGGTACCGATACTCATTCTCTTGTTTCCACTCGGTTATGTTTCCACTGGAGCGGAGCTGGCTGTTTGGGATGAGGCCGAATTAAAGTTCGGTTCGTTACAGTTTGTTTCCGTCTTTGGTTGAGTCGAGTTTATTGTTGAAGCTTCAAAATACGCGAATTCATATTAAAACCGTTAGAATTTATAATGGAGTTCGTCGGCGACCGTGTTCGAAAAGCTGTGACCTGTAAATATATTTGAACTATATTTAACTTATAATCAGTTCTGTGATCACAGCTCTTATTATTGGTGTTCCACTACAAGAGTAGTCTTTGTATTCTTTCATTAAATAATAATGAATAATAACAATAATGAATCTGATCTTTTCTAATGTTGTAAAAGTGTTAATGCTCAACTAAAGAGTTCATAAACCTCATTATTAAAATAAGTAAAACACCAGTTGGATTAATTAATTGATTAATTGACATAATAAACAAAATAATAAATATCTGTTTATTGCCATTGAACCCAACCCATTATTTATTGCTGCTGCAGATTGAACAGTTACTGATGATTATTGTCAGATGTTTCCAGATGTTTGACTCCTGTCTCCCCCCCCCCCCCCACAGACGATCCCCTTCGCTGGGACCATCCTGGGCGGTTTGCTGCCGGGGGAGATGGTTGTTATTCAGGGTTCGGTGCCGTCGGACGCCGACAGGTGAGGACTCAGAACAGAACCGGGGACACAAAGAGACATTGAACATATTATTATTACAAATATAATCATTATGTTTATGCTTCTGGAATATATATAATTTTAATTGTTAGCTGATGAAAATGATTTATTGAGACCATCAGGGAAAAGGTAGAAATATATTTAAATACATTATAATGTATTCCTATTGATGCTCCAACAGTGCCAAGGTCTCTACCTCTCCTCTTGGGTAGGTTTTTAACCTTCTCACACTCTTTCTCTCTGGATCTTTGGATTTCGGGTGAAACTTGAAGTTAATATTTAAACAGTTTGTTTGATCTTCTCGCTCCCCGATAGATTTATTTAGAATATACGACGTCCCCGTAGTGAGTTTGTGATTGTTTGGCTGAATAATAACATTCAGAGAGTTCGTATGTGGAATGTAAACCAATCACAAACAGTTTGCATCGATGCATTTATTGATCAAACAGTCAGAAATAAAGAAACTTGCTGCATGGAGGACCAGAGTGCGAGTTATTAAACTATATTGATTATGTGGTTGTTCAGTCTGTCGCAGCTGAAAGCAGAACTCAGATTTACATCGTTACAAACCGACGTTCTTACATTTGACTTTAACCAGCAGCAGAAACTCTCCAGAGATCAAACTGAGACAGAATATTGACTCTTCTTTGTGTCTCGCAGGTTCCAGGTAGATTTCACGTGTGGCAGCAGCGTGAAGCCGAGGGCCGACGTGGCGTTTCACTTTAACCCGCGGTTCAAGAAGTCCCCGTGTATCGTCTGCAACACGCTGCAGGGCGGGCGCTGGGGCTCAGAGGAGATCCTGTACCAGATGCCGTTCACCGTCGGAGGGACGTTTGAGCTCATCTTCCTCGTCCTGAAGGACAAGTTCAAGGTGAGACGAGCTCCTGACGCTGGGACAGTTTGTATGAAGGGTTTGACTGAATGTCTGAGTGTGTCCACCAGGTGGCGCTGAACGGAGGTCACGTGTTGGAGTACAAACACAGACTGGAGCTGGAGCGGGTCGACACTCTGGCTATATCCGGAAAGGTCAAAGTTCAAGCTGCGGGCATCCTCCCGAGCTCGGTGAGTCCGTCCAGATTCTGCTGGTTTTACTTCATGTGATTAAAACTCGTGAAGATTTGATGAATTAAATGTTTGTTTGTTTGTTTGTTTGTTTCTTGTTGTTTTTCAGAGTTCAGCTTCTCCGGAAACCAGTTTGACCAGCCAGGAATCCCTGAGGACAAACGCACCCGTCAGAGTATGTTAAAGTTCCTGTTTGTTCCACTGACAGACTCAGGTTGTTATTGTCAGTGTCTGACAGCATTATGGAAAGGATCCCTACAGAGATAGACCTTTAGTTTAACCACAAACAGTCGTAATATCAATATCACTCTCCACCAGACTCCAGAGACAGAAACACTAATTTTACCTTCAGATCATCAGAACTTCATTAAAGTGAACAGAAACAGAATAAAACTCATTAAAAGCGTCTCTGTTAGTGTTTCCAACAATCACCAACTCTGGTTTGGTGGAAATAAATCCTTAATTCACCGACGTAGATGATAAAAACAGCAGTTTCAGTCGGAGCAGACCGGCTATGGAAACAAACCACAGAGAGGCTGCGATACAACACAGGCAGAGGGAGAGAGACACCATGTGACTCTGTGACTGTATATAGAGAATATAATGTTTAATATCTCATATATAACCTTTAATATTATGTTTTATATGTTTATAATCTCTTTCAATGTTTTTATTTATATGAATTTTAATGTTTTCTTTGTCTTTCAGTCAATAATCTCGTCTTCAGGCGACTTGGTGAGTTTTACTGTTGCATGATGGTCGATGTTGTTCAGGTTTATATTGTGAATGTTTTTACAGTCAGAGTCCAAACTGCAAACCTCAGGTCTTTAATTTCTTTATTGGAAACATATTTTCATCATTAAACAATTACAGAAACAAACAAACTCATTCAGTCACATTTTCTCCCGTTGATTCGATTTATCTGAAGCTGTTCCGATGTTTGAGTCCTATAATGTTTATTTACCCGTTAACAAGATTATTAACTGTTATTGGTGCTTTTCTACTTTATACAAACAGTATTTAACCAAATCAAACGTTCTTCAGAGAAACTGTGGTTATACATCTGTTTACTTTTCACATTTAATGAAGAAACTAATTTGATTTTCCAGAATTCTCTCAATAAAAGTGAATCAGTGGAAGTTTGTCTGAAATATGAAGCTGAAATGAACTCCCTGTTTCCTTCTTTATCTCTTCATCATCAGTACTACCTAAATGTTAAGTACTGATAGTGGAGAAGAGAATTTACTTTAACTGTTGGATGTTTTCAGATCAGTGGAAGGATATTTCTTTATTTCTTTAATTCTCCTTCCTGGTTTCTGTATTCAGCTGATCTGAGATCTGGTTTGATGAGATCTCGTTTCCACAGAGCATTCCCTTCAGAGGAGAGCTGGTTAAAGGACTGAGTGTTGGACGCAGCGTCACTGTTAAAGGAGAGACTAATCAGAAAGCACAAAGGTAAACAACAGCTCCACACACAGTTCAATGTCACACAAAGTCACTTACAGCTCAGAAGGAAATCCTTAAAGTTTATAAAAACTAACATTTGTTGGTCGTCAGGAATCTCCTCAGCTGTTTGTGAATCAGCTGTTTGTGTTTCAGTTTCGCTGTGAACCTGCGAGTGTCCGGCAGCAGCGACATCGCTCTTCATCTGAACCCTCGTCTGAAGAAAGGAGTCTTCGTCAGAAACTCCTTCCTGTCGGAGTGCTGGGGCCCCGAGGAGACGAAGCTGGACTCCTTCCCGTTCACTGCGGGCCGATACTTCGAGGTAACAGACCAACAACCAGACACTCTGATACACTGGAAATGTTTCTGTTTACAATTTAACCTTCCTCATCATGATGATGATGATGATGCTTCATATAAACTCATACTGAGTTCAGCAGAAAGAAAAACAATGTCATTATTCTCTCCTGTAGAGCTCTTTTATTATTATTATTATTATTATTATTATTATTTAGAGATGTCCTGATCTGAGTCATTTAATATTGACTATATGCCAATAAAGAATCTCAAGTTAATATTTTTCCTGGATAATAGTTTAAAAACTATTATTAAATTAAATTAAATGATTCAAATCAATCTAATGTTTATACTTGACAACTGAATATCTCTGTGATGCATCCAAGCTTTTTCTTATAGTTTTATTTTTTACAAAATAACAAAATAAACATTTTCAGGGTGTCTGCAGGGTCCTAAAGTCTCTTTGAAATGTTGTATTGATCATTCTGTAACAACTAAAACATTAACAGATGTGGAACCAATATCAGTTTTCCTTTATATACTTCGTACTTTTACTGACAGTCTGGAGTAAAATACGTCTTAAAAAGTCTTAAATTTAACCAGTTGAAACCTGCAGAAACCCTGAATGTAGCTCTAATCACAACTCATTTTTTTAAAAGTAAAGTAAAAGATGTCTTTATAAATACCTCTTCTGGAGAATGTTTTAGCCTGTGCTGTGGCTGAATCAGTGTTACAGTTAGAAGAAAGCTATTACCACAGATATTAAAGTTACCCTGATATTGATCTCTGAGGTCACAGTAACGACGGTGTGTTTCTATGCAGATGATCATCCGCTGTGACTCGCAACAGTTCAGAGTTGCCGTGAACGGGGACCATCAGCTGGACTACAAACACAGAGTCCAGGACCTGAGCCGCATCACGCAGCTGGAGGTGCTGGGAGACGTCACGCTGCTGGACGTCAAGATCCTCTGAACTCTGACCTTTAACGCGCCCACGCCATCCTGTAGAACATATATATTTATATAATCAGTGAGGTTGGAGCGAGATATTTCTGAAGAGACTGAAACAAACTAACTGCTGTCAGTGATTCTTTAATTGTTCCTGTTAACGCACTTTGTGAAGGATTTAATTATCAGAGAACACAATGCATCATGGGAGTGTTCCTTTGTAACCAGATCAAATAAACTAACCACTTGAACCTTTAACGTTCTTCTGCTGAATTCTTTCTTATTTAGTAAAAAAACAACAGATATTCAGTTTATAGGAATTTAAACTAACATTATGTAACTTTTCTACCTTAAAATAACAGTTTTAAATCATTTTGATGAGTTTTAGAAGATGAACGTTGCCTCTAAAGAGCGTTTGGTGACATAAACGCTGCAGACAGACGGCAAGCTGTTGAACTACAGTCAGTAATATTAGCTGCCTGCTGAACTCACTGTCGACTAGTTTCAGATCATAAAGTCATTTTAACAAATGTACAGCCGTCCATATTTACCTCAGTGGGAATGTGACAAATACTATATATTGTTACATAATGTTGCTTTAAAAATTCTCACATTTGAGAAGCTGAAACTTTTATAATGTCATATAATAATATATATTAATCAATCATCATATTTGTGGAATATTTGCTTGAAACATAAAAGATGATCAGAATAGTTAATTTTCTGTCAATCAACTAATCAATTCTGCTCTAGAAATACTGAACGTTTTACTACACTACATTTATTTTAAAAGAAATAATTCCTTTTCTGATTTTCACTTTAACAAACAAACAAACAAACAAACATCCCTCCATTGATACACAGATTCATACCTTGATACAGTCACACACGTCTCCATGAGGGACGACTGCTCACATCTGACCCGGTACCGAGCTCCTGTTTCTGTCCTTTACTCTGTAAAAACAAAAATGTTTTAGTTGTAAAAAAATAAACCAAACCTGCAAAAAGTTGTGACAGTTTCATCCCTCGTTCATCGACACTCACCTCAAGCTGATGAAGACATCACAGGGACGTCGACCTCCGAACGTGATCTGTCCCAAGAGCTGACTGTCGTTGGTTGTCGGTGTGAGATAGAGACAGACTCTCAGGTCGCCGTGTTGTCTGCCATCGGCTGACTGGACCACTGCTGAAGGAACTCGCAGTGAGGACAGCTCTGCATCACCTGGAGGAGCGTCCCAATAACCGTTTTAAAAATGGTACAGCTCCGGCTGCAAACGGGACACATCTTAACGAGGTAATCAGTTGCTGTACGAGGGGATTCAGTGGAGGGACTGTGAATAAAGACGTGAATAAAGCTGCATCATTGATCCTGTTTACACCTGGAATTAACCTGTGATCACTTTCCCGCTCTGTGAGCACATTAATAGGATTTCACAGGCTGCTTTTGGAACAGTTGCAGACTAAAATACCTGATTTCACTGCAGCTTTTCTATAAAACTGCAGTGTTTTTAGTTTAAGGAAGTTACTGGCAAAAAAAGAACAAACCATATTAGGAAAATTGGTTTTGGCTCCATGTTGGTTGATCAATACACATTTTTCCCATAAACATTTAAAAGAGACTAAAAAAATAACTTTATACAATTAACATTAACTTCATTAATCCAATAAAAAAGACATTTTAACAGAATATAATATAATATAACAGAATATAATATAATATAACATAACAGAATGTAATATACTATAATATAATACAATATAATATAACAGAATATAATATAATATAACATAACAGAATGTAATATACTATAATATAATACAATATAATATAACAGAATATAATATACTATAATATAATATAATACAATATAATATAACAGAATATAATATAATATATTATGATATAATATAATATACTATACTATACTATAATATAATACAATATAATATAATATAATATATTATGATATAATATACTATACTATAATATAATATAATATAACAGAATATAATATAATATATTATGATATAATATAATATACTATACTATAATATAACAGAATATAATATAATATAATATATTATGATATAATATAATATACTATACTATAATACAATATAATATAACATAATATAATATAATATAATATAACAGAATATAATATAATATATTATGATATAATATAATATAATATAATACTGTAACAGCAGCAGTACTGTGTATTATCGTTCGTCAAGAGCCCGCCACGACAGTGATTGTGTCAGATGACATACTCGTGTCAGTAGTTTGGGCCTGAGTCGCTGTGGATGAAGAAAAAGGTTAAACAATAGATTTATAAGATATTATATTATTTATAAACACATTCACACCCTGTTGTTATCCGATGAAGCACATTTTATTGATTGATTTAATGATGAAGAAATGATATATATTCTGAGAGTGAAGGCTACAGAGAACTACAGCTGATGAGTGGAAACAAACATTGTGTGTAGCTTCAGCTCACTAACGACACATGGAACAGGTAACAAGATAATATTATGACTCACCTTTGCTCCTCCTGCTCGGAGTCACGTTAACCTGTCCAGCAGCATGTTTTGTGCTGACTGGTTCCGTCTGGCAGCCGATCTCTCTGCTCGGTTTAGGCTGAAACAGAAAACAGAAAACTGTTTTATGATTCTACTTTATTCATATTAATGACCTTTATTTCTGTATTATCTGAGGAAGGAAGACACCAGGAAACCTGCTAGCCTTCATACATATGGACTATCTCACCGTTAGACTGCAAACAAATGATTTATATATGAATAAATAGATTTGTTCTGATGCATCAATGTTTAACAGTGTGTGATAGCCCACAGAAAGATCTGGTCTACAGTTAAAGAGAAAACATTCCTCTTGACCAAAATATAAATATATATTATTATATTAACAACTGACAACAGACAAACATGATAGAGATAAAAGATAAAAGTGCTCCAGGCTCCAGAAATCAGGACTTATAAAGAAAGCTCAATAATAAAAACACTAAGATAAACAACCATTAGAATAAATAAGTAGTAACAACAACAACAACAACAACAATAATAATAATAAGTTGATCTTAACAGCTGCTAGAATAAAGCTAGTTTTATTTTTCATTGCAGTTTTCAATGTATTGACAGATTTGTACACAAAATCTGATCAATAAAAATTCAGTTTGCTTCCTGTTTATATCCTAGCCGCATGCTCAGTGTGCACTAATTGTCACGTGACTTCAGGAATGTAAACATGGAACTAAATCCTCATATAAAAGTTATCTAAAGTCTAATATCACCAACTACTGTTCCACTCTGGAGGCTTAATGTTCACAATATTTATTATATATATAATATTTATCACTTTATAAACAAGATACAGACACTGTAAACTCTCCTGTAACAGCCGCGGGGCGGTCGGTGCTGCTGTCGGTGCTGCTGTCTGTGCTGCTGTCGGTATTGCTGTCGGTGCTGCTGTCGGTGCTGCTGTCGTCAGTATTGCTGTCAGTATTGCTGTCAGTATTGCTGTCGGTGCTGCTGTCGGTGCTGCTGTCGTCAGTATTGCTGTCAGTATTGCTGTCGGTGCTGCTGTCGGTGCTGCTGTCAGTATTGCTGTCAGTATTGCTGTCAGTATTGTTGTCGGTGCTGCTGTCGGTATTGCTGTCAGTATTGCTGTCAGTATTGTTGTCAGTATTGCTGTCAGTATTGTTGTCGGTGCTGCTGTCGGTATTGCTGTCAGTATTGCTGTCAGTATTGTTGTCGGTGCTGCTGTCGGTAGAGCTGTCGGTAGAGCTGTCGGTGCTGTTGTCGGTGCTGCTGTCAGTATTGCTGTCAGTATTGTTGTCGGTGCTGCAGTCGGTATTGCTGTCGGTAGAGCTGTCGGTATTGTTGTCGGTGCTGCTGTCGGTATTGCTGTCAGTATTGCTGTCAGTATTGCTGTCAGTATTGTTGTCAGTATTGCTGTCAGTATTGCTGTCGGTACTGCTGTCGGTAGAGCTGTCGGTAGAGCTGTCGGTGCTGTTGTCGGTGCTGCTGTCAGTATTGCTGTCAGTATTGCTGTCAGTATTGTTGTCGGTGCTGCTGTCGGTATTGCTGTCAGTATTGCTGTCAGTATTGCTGTCAGTATTGTTGTCAGTATTGCTGTCGGTATTGCTGTCGGTACTGCTGTCGGTAGAGCTGTCGGTAGAGCTGTCGGTGCTGTTGTCGGTGCTGCTGTCAGTATTGCTGTCAGTATTGTTGTCGGTGCTGCAGTCGGTATTGCTGTCGGTAGAGCTGTCGGTATTGTTGTCGGTGCTGCTGTCGGTACTGCTGTCGGTGCTGCTGTCGTCAGTATTGCTGTCAGTATTGCTGTCGGTGCTGCTGTTGGTATTGTTGTCGGTATTGTTGTCGGTGCTGCTGTCGGTGCTGCTGTCAGTATTGCTGTCAGTATTGCTGTCGGTGCTGCTGTCGTCAGTATTGCTGTCATTGCTGTTGTCAGTATTGCTGTCGTCAGTATTGCTGTCGGTAGATTTGTCGGTGCTGTTGTCGGTGCTGTTGTCGGTATTGTTGTCAGTATTGCTGTCGGTGCTGCTGTCGGTATTGCTGTCGGTATTGTTGTCGGTGCTGCTGTCGGTATTGCTGTCGGTATTGCTGTCGGTGCTGCTGTCGGTGCTGCTGTCGGTAGAGCAGTGTTTGGAACCGCGTCCCTCTTCAGCTGGAGCACTTCGGTGAAACCTGCGTCCACCTGCATGAAATTAGAGAAACAATCTCGGGTAAAATGTCGGTTGCAAACTCCAGCTCTGGGCGGGAGGACCCGGTCCGGAAGACCCAGAGCTCGGAACCACTGACGCCTCATCGTGATGTCCGCTGGGAAGCTGTGCAGTCCGGAAGTGTTTCTGCAGCCGGGAGAGCAGCACTGCCGACCCATACTGGGTCCTGTTAATGCTATCAACACACAGCCAACAGTCAGTACGACCTTCTATCTGATTAGTAGATCTCAACCTGACGTGTAATGGGGCACAGCGCCACCTGCTGTACAGAGTGAGAGACAGCAGGGCTTTACATTAATTTATATACATCAGGTTACTTTATATTGAAGTAAAATAAACTATATGTTGTGATACAGTCAGTGATTGGTTTGTCTGTTCTGGGCCACTGTAGACAATAATGAAAATATAACTATAAATATTAAAGTTAATGTCTGACAATAGACCTTCCTTAATGTTTCATACTGGACCTTTAACACATAATAAATAACCTGCAATTATTGTGTTTATCAAACAATATAAACATATTTACAACAATAAAATAGTGAACTCGAGCTAAACATTTAATTTCTTAAAAAAAAACATGATTAACTGTATTATTAATATGTATTAGTAGCACTTTATATGAAAGGTGCATTATAAAGTTTTATTGTTGCAGAGGTCACATAAAGCACCCTATAAGAAGTGTTAACTGAAACTATATTAACAGTAAATCTCAGCTGTTTGAAATCAGAAGAAAACAGAGACACAATGTTTGTTTTTTATAACTTTATTATAAAAAAAAGTCATTGCTAAAAACTGTACATAATTAAACTATCACAATATAAAAATCTGGAGTTTACATTTTATTACAAACTGCTGGTAAACCTTTATTTACACAAACAGGCTGCAGAGAGATTTCATCACAACGCAGCTTTTAAAAGTTTATCTTCTGTATTTGTGGTTGCAATCCCAGCATGCACTGGGTGAGAGGTAGAGTACCAGTCTGTCACTGCGGTTTGTAACTGGACACCAACGTCCTCCTGCAGCGTGGAGTCAAAGCACCGAGTCCTTAGTGTGACACTGAGTGCGGGTCGGTCCGGGTCGGTCCTCAGAAGTCTGCGTCCAGCCTGAAGGTGTTGTCTGTGGCTCCGGACATGACGCCCATCCTCTGGTACTCGCCGACCCGCTTCTCAAAGAAGTTGGTCTTTCCCTCCAGAGAGATGTTCTCCATGAAGTCGAAGGGGTTCTCCACCCGGTAGATCTATAGAGACACAGCAGAGGTCAGTTCCTCATATCTAGAGCACTAACAGCCACAGCAGAGGTCAGTTCCTCATATCTAGAGCACTAACAGCCACAGCAGAGGTCAGTTCCTCATATCTAGAGCACTAACAGATACAGCAGAGGTCAGTTCCTCATATCTAGAGCACTAACAGACACAGCAGAGGTCAGTTCCTCATATCTAGAGCACTAACAGCCACAGCAGAGGTCAGTTCCTCATATCTAGAGCACTAACAGACGCTCACATTAGGAACATTTAAGGAGGTTCTGGTTCTGACAGTAATTCCTCTTTAAGCTACTTTAATCTGCACTAGAGACGTTCTGCAGGATGAGAACTGGAGATAGAACAGATATTCAGATAGGACCGGTTCTGGTTCTGGATCAGTGGGGTCTGTTCAGAGTGGCGTCTGTCTCGTGCTGCTGTTGGTCTGTCAGTGAACCACTCGTCCTCCAATCAGACATCAGCAGCAGCACTCAGCCCCCATCACTGGCTGAGGTCCGTACCCCTGCGCTTCTCATCATCACAGACCCGATCCTCCTCCAACTACCTGCAGCCAGTGGGCCGGCCCTACTGGGAGCTGTGGTTTCACCGGGACCGGGTTTACCTTTGTGAAGCCGAGCTCCAGCATCAGTCTGTCGGCCACGAACTCGATGTACTGTTTCATCAGCCCGCAGTTCATCCCAATCAGCTTCACCGGCAGAGCCTCCGTCAGGAACTCCTGGACACACAAACGGGGAACCATTAAAACCATTAAGACCAGTAAAAGCATCAGAACCAGTAAAACCAGGATCTGCATCAGGTTGAGGACCGACCTGCTCGATCTCCACGGCGTTCTTGATGATGTTGGTGACGGTTTCTGACGACGGCTTGTTCACCAGGTGTTTGAACATCAGACAGGCAAAGTCACAGTGCAGACCCTGAAACCAGTAACACACACACACACACACACACCGTTACACCCTGAAACCAGTAACACACACACTCTAAATATTGATCAGATGCTCCGATCGATAATCAATCACCTCGTCTCTGCTGATCAGCTCGTTGGAGAAGGTCAGTCCGGGCATCAGGCCTCTCTTCTTCAGCCAGAAGATCGCAGCGAAGGAACCAGAGAAGAAGATTCCCTCCACGGCGGCGAAGGCCACCACGCGCTCACCTGGAGGAACCACAGAGTCACGATCAATACCCGATAGAAGATCAATACCAAACCCCATCGATCGGGAACATCACGGCGAGCAGCTTTACCGTAGTTGGCGTTCTTGTTTCCGATCCAGTTGATCGCCCAGTCGGCCTTCTTCTTCACACACGGCAGAGTCTCGATGGCGTTGAACAGGTATTCCCTGTGGGTCAGTAAAGGCAGCGTCAGAGACCAGCACAGACCAGCAGGGTCCAGTACAGACCAGCAGGGTCCAGCACAGACCTGCAGGGTCCAGCACAGACCAGAACCAGAGCGCTGTCTCACCTCTCTTTGGGCTCCCTGATGTAGGTGTTGATGAGGAGGCTGTACATCTCTGAGTGGATGTTCTCCATGGCGATCTGGAAACCATAGAAACACCTGGCCTCCGTCACCTGCACTTCCTGGGAGAAGCGCTCCACCTGGTGGTCAAACGGAGAACAAAGGTGAGACAACCAATAAAGATCATTGATCTGAAACAGAATATTCTGAGTTTTACAGATTATTTGATTAAAGTTTGTCTTCTTGTTCCGACAGTCGGAGAGAAACTGTGGAAACATCAGACACATTATTCCTCCTGTTTCTGCCTCGCTGCGTTCGAGTGTCTGAGACTAAAACCAGAGAAATAAGAAGCGAGCGCTCTTCCTCACCAGGTTCTCGTTGACGATGCCGTCGCTGGCGGCGAAGAACGCCAACACGTGAGAGATGAAGTACCTCTCCTCGTCCTTCAGAGCCTCCCAGTGCTGCAGGTCCTTGGACAGATCCACCTGAACAAACACGCTCCGTTAACATCTCCTCATCCAACAGCTGCTCGTGTGACGGCGTTCATAAAGAGAGGACGCCACGCCGCCGTACCACACATTGCTCTCCACTGACAACCTGAACCACAGACACTGGTCCACACGTACCTCCTCTGCGGTCCAGAAAGACGCCTCGGCCTTCTTGTACATCTGCCAGATGTCGTGGTACTTGATGGGGAAGATGACGAAGCGGCGAGGGTTTTCCTTCAGCAGCGGCTCCTCCTCTTCCTCACCGCTGCTCTTCTTCACAGCTTTGGGCTGAAACACAAACAAACAGCGTCCGTCGACCACGAGCTCAAACACACGTTTTACAACCCGTCTGTGGGTTCGATTGTTAACGGCCGACTTTACTAATAAAGTTTAAATCAGAGCTGAAACGTTCTCCGGTTCCTCGACTGTGAGCTGCTTCTCTTTAATATAATATATAATAATTATAATTTATATCATCACAACCTGAAGATCTGTCAATAAACTAATCCGTAACAACGGCAATACGTTGATTGATCAGTTTGTCAATAAAAGCCCAATGTGACCAAATATATTCAATTTAAAGTCACTGACGACTAAAGAAACACAAAGTATTCACATTATAGAAGATAAAATCAGAAAATGGACTTTTAAAATGTTTAGTGATTAATAAAGAGCTGACAATGGACTGATGATCAATAATCATTAGTTGGAGCTCTCTGACTTCAGTCTGCTGCAGTTAAACTATATTAAATATATATTATAATGTGCATGAAGCCAGAGTTAAAGATAAAATGTGTTTAAAGAGTAAAATAATGTCAGAATATGAAGATAACCGATGAGCCGAGCTGTTGTGAGTGAAGAGTATTCAGTTATAATCTTTTACATTCTGGTTGTTCAGGTATTAAGAAGCCTCCAGAATAAAGTAATAAAGCTGTAAATGGAAATCGATTCTCTAATAAACCGGAAGCAGTATCAACAGCTGATCGTCCATGTTGGCGCCTCAACCGACATTTTAGGCGCCACATGACGTCAATAACCGGCACAAACTGCTCGTTATTGACTTTAATATGAACCCAGAACATCTGTCTGCAGCAGCTGTTCAACATCTGGAAGCTTTCAGCAGCTTTGGATCCACTTACCGGAGCATCGTCGAAGATTTTCCGCGCGGTTTTGGACGCCAGGATGCGGGTCGTGTTCAGACTCGGTGGCTGGAAGACAAACGGACACAAACTCCTTCATTTAGTGACCGAAACACGATTTATACCGCGAATTAATGCGTTTATTGTACCGCTCAAACACACTTTATATCTGCAGCTAGCACACTGAACCGGGCAGGAAATGGCTGCCGGCAGTTACAACTTAAAAACAGTGTAATTGTAACTTCAACCGGAGGTTTTACCCGTTAAACGGATCATGACTCGACAGTTTTAAGGTATTTTAGTTCTCACCGTGTTTTCTTTGTCCACAGACATTTTGTTGAGCTCACTGCTGAGTGTGTTTTCATTCTTGACGGAAAGAGGAGAGCGAGCAGAAAGCATCTTGGTTCCTTCGACTGAAGAGAAATAAAAAGATAAGTTAATAAATTAAAAGTTGGAGTAAAAAGCAGCAGACAGTGTGAACTAACGAGCGGCGGACACAGACGGAGAGCACAGACTGAAGCGGCTTCTGTTGGCCGCTCGCCTTTTTATTGAAATCTTCGCGCTAGAACGCAGCTGGCCAATAGGAACGCAGCTCGCGGCGGCTCTTTAAACTGACGCAGCGAACGGAGCCAATCAGGGGGCGAGCCGCGCTCACGTGCCACCCGGAGCTCTGCGGGAGATTCAAACGGCTTTGTTCGTGCGGGGTTACAAAACCGCCCGAAACCGCAGTTACACAACGAAATGAGCCTTTATGCAACAACTGTGACAAAGACACGCATTTATTTCACTTTAACAACAGATACACTGAGATTGTACAACTGTTAAATAAAGTTAAAATAACGTTGAAGCCGCTAAAAGTCCAACTGAGTTCCGTATTGAGAAACAACAGCTTGTTAAATGTTTAATTTACTATATTAAAGGTTAAAGTGTAAACAGTTCTCTGTATAGTTACACATCAGCTCAAACATCCTGTTTATAATAAACATTATGACATTTATTTATACTGTTAATTACTGGTTGGTTTCCCGCCGCCGCGCTTTTCTTTGTTTGTTTAATATAAATAAAGATGTCGTCACCAGCTGACAGTTTAGCGTTATTTTCTTCAGCACAAATAATCACAACTCTACATTTATTAGTTATTTATATTTACAGTTACATTCAGAGTTTGGTTTGATTATCGGTGATTGATTATTGATTGAAAGTCTCGCATCAGTTTCCGTCTGAACGGGAGATCAGCTGTTGGGGATGGAGCGCTCTGATTGGCTGTTGGAGAAGAAACGTCACCGGCTGTGAATGTAGGTCAACGGTCGGAGTCGCCCCCCCGCGGCAGAGTCCGGTACTGCAGGTCCTCTAATACACAGTGCACACGAGTTTAAATCTTTATTTAACATGAGAATAACAAAACATCTGCTTTATTTATGTTGTTTTTATTTATTCATTTATTACTAATATTTATATAAATGTATTTTACACTTGTTTTTGGCAATGTTTCCCCCAATAAAGCCTCTTTGGACTGAATTTAATTGAATTAAATAAGATGCTGAAACTTGTTTTGGAGTTGGATATTAGTTCTTATTAAATTTGTTGTAACATTTCTGATATTTTTTTCTTTATCTGTTTTCTCGCTTTGACAGAAGACAATAAAGCTGAGTAAGAGGATATAATACAGAACAAAAGTATTATACGTCAAAATGTCTGCTGTGAAAAAGGTCTGTTGACTTAAAAAGGAAAGAAAAAAGAGGGAAATTAAAATGCTGTAATATACAAGATCCATGATTTACATTATTTTCTAGAACTTGTCCCATTACAGTCTAATAGAAAACATTTTCTTTCCGTCCTAAAGAGTCTAAATACTCAATCTAATCACCAGCTGTATGTATTTCTGGTTTTAGCCACTTCCTACTAACAGAATAAGTGTCTGACATTAGAGGTAATAATGTTATTTACAGCCCAAACATCATAAACCACAAAAGTTCTTCAACCAGTCTACAACCCTTTATCTTCAGAGCCTCGATTCAGATAAAGAAAAAAACACAAACATTGAATAAAATATATAAAATAAAAGAAACTTGTAGAAACCAACCTGATAAAATGACAGAATATATATATAATAGTAATATTTCTGTACTTTTAGTTGAGTAATTATTAATTCAGTATATTATATTGATGTGTGTGTGAGCTGCAGTACCGCCTCCCGCCGCAGGGTGTCGCTGTTGCTCCGCCTCCAGCAGCCTCCTGTTGTTATTTATTTATTTAAATCTTTTTTTATTCATTTTCTTTGGCTGCAGCTGAATGTCGGTCAGTAAGGCAAGTGGGCGGGTACCTCGTCAGCCAATGACGCAGCCCTCTGACACGGCGTCGTCCGCTCCCATTGGTCACACCCCCTGAGCGGCGGCTCCTGATTGGCTGGCCGTTGTTACCGGGTGCTGTGGGGAGAGAGAGAGAGTTGTATAACACAACACGTAACAGCGCCGCTGTAGTCGAGCAGAAACCTCCTCTCCGGGACAATGTATGCGTTTCTGTGCGTTTCTGTGCGTTTCTGTGCGTTTCTATAAAGCAGCTGAGCCGTTACACTCTTATCTGTGACCCGCATTCACAACAACGTCCAATAAACTCATCTAAAGGAGCTTTTTATTTATTATTAACTGTCTAATAATGTACAATTATTATTATTATTTAATATTCATACGGTGGTAAATAATCACTTTCATCAATATTTGCCTGTAAATAGATATTTTAGCTTAAAAACAAACATTATTAATAGCAATAAGTATCAATAGGTGGCATTAGAAATCAATATATTCTTTTATTATCCACACTTCTTTTTACATTTAACTTAAATGTGGCCAGAACAATCATTAAATTCAGTTTTTTAACATTTTATTCTGAAATTTAATGTAATTTAATGAGTGTTACTGTAATTTATTCAGTGGAAGAAGAAGTAGTCAGGATCAATAAAACAGTTTATAAATACGATCATAAGTTACAATACTTCTTTAAAAATGTCACTTTTATATAAAATTAGCGACAAAATCCAAATAAAAGTAACCTGATGTTTATATTAATGATTAATATTATTGATAATGAATTAGCCACGATGCTAACCTGTTGTATTTAAAATACACAACAAATAAAAGCGAGAAACAAACAAACAACACTTTATTTTATGGTACATTTTTATTATAAAAGCCACTCTTCACCTTCGCTTACAGGCCAATGTTCAGAGAGGGATTATTCCGATATAAGCCGTTATTATTAAGAATAACATTTAATAACTTGAGGTATTTTCTTACTGGCTACACTATGGGCCAAATCAATATATCAAAAAACAGCAACTGTCCTCAACAAATGTTTATTAAATAATAATAATAATAATAATGTGTAAAGCAAAGAGAGTAGGTAGTATCACAGTGAGGAATACTGTCAATAACTCGCACTGTCGATAAGATTGGAATACACGTAACATTCATATAGATATCAATAATCAATATATTTACAGTATTTACAGTCACACACAAACAGAAGAAGAAGTCATCAGCATAAAGAAGCACGATACCGAGGCTTTGGCAAATTATATAAAGAGTGCATACAGTTTGATAAAGAGACATTTACACATGTAAGTAAACATGATTATACACGGAGAGAGAGGGAGAGAGAGAGGGAGGGAGGGGGGAGGGAGAGAGAGAGAGAGGGAGAGAGGGAGGGAGAGAGAGAGAGGGGGAGGGGGGGGGGGAGAGGGGAGGGGGAGGAGGGGAGGGGGGGGGAGAGAGGGGGGGGGGGGGGGGGGGGGGGGGGGGGAGGGGGGGGGGGGGGGGGGGGGGGGGGAGAGGGGGGGGGGGGGGGGGGGGGGGGGGGGGGGGGGGGGGGGGGGGGGGGGGGGGGGGGGGGGGGGGGGGGGGGGGGGGGAGGGAGAGAGGGAGGGGGGGGAGGGAGAGGGGGAGAGGGGGGGAGAGAGAGAGAGAGAGAGAGGGAGAGAACAAAAACAAGCAAGATTTTATAAATCCAGTGCAATGTCAGGTTCTTGTTGTTCGGTGATGAGTAGCAGCCGGTCGGTGAGTTTGTGGTCTGTGGGAATAAAATGTCCTGAGCAGGGCGGGAAACTCCGGCTGCGACTGCGAAGGTCTCGACGTTAATTCAGAGACGAAGCTCCAACAATGTGACTCTGTGGCAGCTGGAGCTTTAAACAGACCATAATAAACACTGTGTGTTTAAACACAGGCTCTAACTCTGCAGTTATAAAGTTTAACAAACATCAGATTTATTTATTTATAAATCCGATAACGGAGGAAACCAGGATCCCAGCTACATGCTAACGCTAGCACGTTTATCGTACTAATTGTGCAAATGTTAGCGTATTAAAGTTGTTAGCATGCTAACGAGGTCAACGTGCCTCATTACCATGCTAATACGCTAACGTTAGCACGCAGCTGACCCTGAGGAAACCTCCGTCCTGTTGTTGTTGTTGTTGTTGTTGTTGTTGTTGTTGTTGTCGACGCAGCCGGAGCTCAGCCGAGTGAAGAGCTGTAGAGTAGAAAACATCCTCCTGATGTGGAGCTGATTGAATCATCCATCACAGTTTACTGTTAGAGCCCCCCCCCGGGTGCCCCCCGGGTGCCCCCCCGGGTGCCCCCCCGGGTTCCTGAGTCAGTTGGCGGCGGGAACCAGGACGCCGACAGGAAGTGGCGAGCTCCTGTTTTGGCCCTTGGGCAGCGCCACCTTGTTGAGGTCTCGGGTGTCGGCGGGCCACGAGGACGCCCTCTTGGTGGTCATGTGCCGCCGGGCGTGTTTGGTCAGGTGGTCGCTGCGCATGAAGCGCCGGTCGCACACGCTGCAGACGAACTTCTTCTCGCCGGTGTGCGTCCGGCGGTGGCGGGAAAGCTCGTCGGAGCGGGCGAACTTTTTGTCGCAGCCCTCCCAGTGACAGCTGAACGGCTTCTCACCTGCAGAAGAAGAACAGAGGAGCCTCGTCAGAAGGTCAAAGGTCAAAGGTCAGAGAGTTGAACTTTACCTAGGTAGCTGCTGGCGTCTCTACCTGTGTGCGTGCGCAGGTGAGCCTTCAGGTGCGAGCTCTTGAAGTACGTCTTCTTGCAGCCGGGGAAGTTGCAGACGTAATTCCGTCTGCGGGAGAAGTCGGCCTGCGAGGCGCCGCCGCTCGCTCCCGTCGGCATGTAAACGGGCGCCGGGGCCAGGGGGAGGAGCTTGGTGTTGCCCAGGGTCATGACAGTCTGCTGGCCCTGCGGCGGCTGGGAGACGGCCGGCTGCGGGACCACGAACATCACGGTGCCCTGCGGCACGGCGGAGCCCACCAGGAGGGGCTGCGCGAAGCTGGAAGGAGACTGGGGGAGGATGGGCTTGTGCCCGCCCGGAGTCTGCACCTGAACCGGAGCCTGGACGAAGGCGGAGATCATCCCCGTCCGGCTGCTCACCGGGAACACCTGGCAGAGGACCGGGGAGGAGGAGACCGGGGGGAGGAGGAGACCGGGGAGGAGTGGGGGGGCGACGCCGGGGAGGGAGGAGAGGGCGGGCTGTCGGGAGGCGCAGGAGGTCCGTCCTTCTCCTCTGGAAGTGTCTGTGGGAGGCCCAGCTGAGGCGGCGAGGAGGTTTCTGACGGCTGGGTGGCGGCGGGAGGCGGCGGTGGAGGAGGAAGGCGGTCGGCGGTGTGGCGGATGACGCTGGTGACCATCGCTCTGCCGGGCGGCGCCAACTCTGTCTGAGGCGGGAGCGCTGAGGTCTCTGAGGCGAAGGAAGGGGGGGAGGAGGAGGAGGGACGGGGGAGGCAGGTGTGGGAGTCGCTGAGGAGGGCGGAGCCAGGGCGGGGTAAGACTGGTCTGGAGGCGGAGCTTAGAGCGGTGGCGGTGGCGGTGGCCTCGGCGAAGCTCGGACTGTGAGGCGGAGTCATACACTGAGGGAGGGAAACAGAGGTCAGTGTCATTCCAATCAATCAATGAATCGATTAATTAATCAGCAGGAAACAATAATGATTGTGTTTTATTACATACATTAAATATATAATATATATAATACTATTAATAATATAATATATAATAATAATAATAATATATAATAATAATAAATATAATAATAATAATAATAATATATAATAATAATAATATAAATAATAATATATAATAATAATAATAATAATAATAATAATAATAATAATAATAATAATAATAATATAATATATAATAATAATAATAATATAATATATATATATATAATAATAATTATATATATATAATATTAATTATAATATATAATAATAATAATAATAATATTAATAATAATATAATATATAATAATAATAATATATAATAATAATAATAATAATATATAATAATATAATATTCATTTATTTTATTGTTTATTATTCTCCGGCGGTGGGTCTGGTGTTTCCTACCAGTGACGACAGAGCGATCAGGTCTTTGGGAGCGTCCGCCGCCTCCGGGTGGAGGTGGATGGAGTCGCAGGAGTCGGAGGTGGGCGTCAGTGGGCGGGGCTTGTGCAACCTTTGACCCCAGAAGCTCATGCTGACGAGCGCCTCGGCGGCCTCGAGGTCGTGGTACTCGACGCACGGCTTCAGCTCCATGGTCGTCGCCTGCCGGCCGTCCATACGGTCAACCTGAGGAACATCAGGAGGTCAAAGGTCGCTTACATCTCTGAGGGGGCGGGGCCTACGAGCATCATTGGTGACATCACAAATAGTCAGGAAGAGACTCGGTATGAAACAAGTTGCTCAGACGTTACAGGAAACTTTAGAAATCAACTAAATGTGCAAATTAAACGAGGTAGACTCAAACAATATTACTGTAGATGTCTGAGGAGATCTTTAACTTCCACTCGTGTTTCTTATACGGACGTTTAAAAGCAGTTATTATTATTATTATTATTATTATTATTATTATTAACATCTTTAATGTTTGACGTTTCCTCCATGACGACGTCAACCTGCTGTCTGGCCCTCGTTAATCCTTTAGGAACGGAGGCGCTCGTCTAATTAACAATGATGTCACTGTTTTACTCCTGAGCCACAATAATAACAATAATAACAACAATAATAATAATAATAACAATAATAATAATAATAACAACAAAATAAAAAAAAAAATAACAACAATAATAACAACAATAATAACAATAATAACAACAATAACAACAATAACAACAATAATAACAATAATAAACATAAGTGTGGTCATTAAGCAGCTGAAATTACAACAATATAAAATAAATAAATGTAGGTGGGAGGTGACCGGGGGGACAAAGGGCTCCTGGGTGGGAGGCTAAGTTGGATGGCATCTGGCGAATGCTCAGCTGCACGTACAGGAAGGGGGGGGCGAGCGAGGGGCGAGAGACTTAGATATATAGACACAGAGAGAGAGAGAGAGAGAGAGAGAGAGAGAGAGAGAGAGGGGCCCCACTGCAGCGGGTACACCCAGCCGACGGGGAACCTCCCCTGAACCCAGAATAGAAGACGGGAGGTGGCGTGCCAGATATTAACCCCCCCCCACCGCCAAAAAAGAAACAAGCCACGCCCCCTCCCTCCTCCCTCATTAACATGCACCGACTCGCCCCAGAGAGAGAGAGAGAGAGAGAGAGAGAGAGAGAGAGAGAGAGGAAGCTCCCAACAGGAAGTATAGTTGGAGAAAACAAAGTCAATCTGTTGCAGCAAACACACACACACACACACACACACACACACAGACACACACACACACACACACACACACACACACACACACACACACACACACACACACACACACACACACACACACACACACACACACACACACACACACACACACACACAGACACACACACACACACACACACACACACACACACACACAGACACACACACACACACACACACACACACACACACACACACACACACACACACACACACAGACACACACACACACACACACACACACACACACAAACAGACACAGACACACAGACACAGACACACACACACAGACACACACACACACACACACACACACACACACACACACACACACACACACACACACAGACACACAGACACACACACACACACACACACACACACACACACACACACACACACACACACAGACACACACACACACACACACACACACACACACACACACAGACACACACACACAGTATTGTGCTCCGGCGCTGTAATTTCCCACGCAGAAGATGACACAAACACACCACACAGCAACATGTAATGAGATTACAATGCAGAGCCATTACTACTCTCATTAGCCTCATTATTATTGATTAATGTCACACCTGCTGGTTGACAGCAGACACCTGATTGAACCCACAAAGATCTGATCATATTTATTGATTTTAATTGATTATTGACTTTATCTTTTAATTCTGATGCTGTTGTTGTTTTGTTTGTGTCTCTTTGTTGTTTCCATCTGCAGCTTTATCAATAAACAGAGTCTGATGGATGGATGGATGGGGAACAGAAGAACATATTGATCTGATGCTGATATTCATAGTGTGATTGACTCTCAGTGTTCCTCCTCAATCACTGGCTGCTCTTTATCAATGGGATGATTTCCTGTTTCCTTTCAGAATAAACTGCATATATATATAAACACACTATTTCACACAGCAAACAATCATTAATCAATACATTAATTAACCAGAATAATGTCTACAGGCAGCTCCACACACACACACACACACACACACACACACACACACACACACACCTTATTGATTTAATATCATTATAAATGAAACATTAATTATAACCACAGACTAAACTCAATGTGACTCTGCAGCAGAGCATCTTTAAACTTCATCAGACAGAGATGCATTGCGGTGATGCAACTGTTGTGAACACACACACACACACACACACACACACACACACACTGGGTTCACTATGACCTCAAATAAACCAGCAGACAGCTAAAATAAGACAATAACAGCTGATCTGAAGCAGCTTTAAAGCACCGGAGCTGACCTGAGACCAGCCTGTTGTTGTCCAGGTAAACACAGCTCCCTTACAACAACAACAACAACAACAACAACAATAATACTACTACTAATAATAATAATAATAACAGCAACTTTATACTGAAACAAGCAGCCGCTTTTAGCGCACGAGAAGAAGACTCACCTGGCAGGAAGTGAAGCTGAGCATGAATAAAGCAGGAGAAGAAGTAGTTGTAGTTGTTGTAAAGGCAGAGACAGTAGCGGGAGTGTGAGCAGTCAATAATCTGAGCCTCTGCCAGCAGACTGCTTCAGCTGAGAGCAGCCAACAACAAAAAAGAAAAACCAGAAAAAAAAACACAGAAACAAAATTGCGAGCAGTCTGGCGGGTGGTAACGAGCAGCCAATCACAGGCAAAGGTGTAGCGGGCGGCGGCCAATCAGCGGCGAGGCGGTGCGTGCTCAGTACGTGATCGACACGCCATTGGCTCGACGCGGGGTGCGTGGCTGTCGGGGGGCGTGGCCAGGGAGTCAGCGGTGTCAGAGTAAACCCGGTGAACCCGGCAGCGCGCGCTCGAACTGGGGGAAAGGTTGGGAGGCAGACAGGCGCGAGGCGGGACCGCGACACGGCGCGAGGACGCGCGCGAGAGGCATGTTAAACTGCAGAGCACTTATAAATGTACAAAAATATAAATTATTATTAACAGAAAGGCTGTTAAACTCACAGAATTATAACGATAGTAATGGGAATTATAGATATTAACACAAATATCTGCCTGATTTTATTCATTTAAAAGGTTTTTATATGGTTACAAGTACAAATAGACTTGAACCTTTTATAGTTATTAACAAAAACATATAAAATATAGAGAATTATATTTTTATTAATGTTAATTATGGATATAAAATCAACTGTCTGCATGTTTTAATGTTTTTTTATGCTTGAAATGACAATTAAACTTTTAACAGCATTCATCACGTCATGGTCATCCAAAATATAAGATATTAATAAAAATATATATGTTTATATATTTATTTGACTCCTTTACATTTTAAAGATGTTTTTTATTACCTGAAATGACACATGACCGACACATTATTAGAATATTATGGTCATAAACTCACATTCATACAAATATATGTGTTTTTCCTCTTGATGTTTTTCATGTTTTGTTGTTTTTTTTATGGATGAAAAGGATAAAATGTATGTGTCTGTTGAATTATGTCTTAATCTGACACAATCAATCCATTAACTGATAAATAATCTGCAACAATTCTTTCATTTAAATCCATTTTTTAAGAATAAAATGTGTTTCCAGCTTCTGTGATGGGAATAATTGCTGTTTTTCACTCTTCTGTGATGGTTAATTGAATATAATGCAGAAACAAAGCAGTTTAAATATCATTTCCAGCCTGAATGTGTGTCTCTTACAGCGTCTACCTGCAGTGATAGACTCTGCTGTTACATGACGCTCATGTAAAATGTAGATGTAAACACAAGTGTGTGGGGGAGGAGAAGGGAGGACTGTGTGAACTACAGGAGCGAAGGAATTTCTTTCTTTCTTTGCAGATTCTCAACAACATGCATGTTTTTCTACATCCCACAGATAGTTGAGAATAAAGGAATATCTGTTTGTGACTCCTGGTTTCAGTGTTTCTCTGTTGTGTTCCTCCAGAAACAGACGGGTTCCTGCCGCAGGATGAGGAAGAACAACCAGAATAATAACACGTGAAAGTGTCAGCAGGAGAAGGAGGAAGTTGTTTTTCTTTCTCTTTTTGAAGCGTTTTCTCTCCAGCTGCTGCAACGTGTTCGATATCGTTAAAGA